GTATTAGCCTTTTTAGGTATTTCTTAAATGCATAGCGTATTTAAAAATGTCGCTATTTTTGAAGAGACACATTTCAAGTAACAATTAATGTCTGTATCTGTTTTTAGTCCCAGTTCGTTATATGAAGAGTAAGGGGGAGATAATAAAGGGTTATCTTGATATCTACAACATAGGTGCTTCCTTGGTGGTGCAACAATGGCATGGAAAATTCTCGTGGATACTTAATTACTGCAAGTTGCAAAAGTATTTTCGTAACGCAGGTTTCCCCTTTAAACGTGAAAAATATCCTCCGGGTGTACAGCGTAAAATCCCAACCCAAAATTTCTAAGTAACTTTACATGAAGAGAATGTTTCAGTAATTGCTACACGGTATGATGGAAATGACCCAAAATCGTAATTAATTTTTATTAACCGAAATAAGAGCAAGGATTTAAAAAAATTGCATGTTCTTTACAGACCGCTTTAAACCCACAGTGAAACTCAAGAATTCGGGTCATGTATCGCTTTGAACACGATATAATGAAATTCCAAGACCCTTCACATGTACTCAAAGAGAGTCCAGTAAATTCCACAAATTGCACGAATGGGAAATTTTAATAAACAACGGTACAGAATGTAAAACGCCATAAGATACGCGAATTGTAACCATATGTTCTGCGCAACATGGCAAAATAATTATTTCGACTAAGCGTAGTACTGAATGCCAATTTAACTATTACTACTTCAATAGTAAAACTCCCCAGAGAGGTTAGCTACTAATGCATGTATCGTTACTCGGGTTTCCTCGTAATTTTTACAAGAAAATTCTCTCTCCATACATTCTTGCACTTCACCTTGGATACATGTATAATAAACATTAATGGGGAGACAACTTCTCGAATCGCTTTTGCAGTAAATAATTCCCGTGGTTATACTATAAAAACGGATGATTTACGGATAATTATTTATTACGTCGTTAAAAGTTCGTCGACTTACGGTTGTCGCAACTCATAATTGTCGGGTTACTATTTATCGTACAGTTAATTGTCGGTCGTCATCCTGAAATTAACCGTAGAATCATTTTAGAGCAGAATCCCACAGCGAGAGTACATTTGCTGGTTTTTTACTTAAATTTTCGTAATCACCGGTCGTCACTTACTCGCCGTTCACTTGTGTAGTCACCTGAAGCGGGTTAATTACAGCAATTAAACCTGCTTAATAATTTCCATTCCATTGAACGCATTCCCAATTATCTGGATGATTAATAATAATACCTGACACACGAACAAGCTTAAGCGAAAGAATTACCTTTCTTTCATTTATATATTTTATTTTTTTAAACCTCAAGCCCTGGCGCTTAATTGCGATGTCGAATTGGAAAAGAAGAGAGAATACGGATGCTAAATAGGAAAACTAAACGTCCAACGGACTATTAAGTAGTATTGCCAACGTGATTACTCTACCTTCGCGTGATCAGGCGTGTTAACAGGGCACGCGAATTCACCGATCGATTTCTCAAACCAATCGGTTGAAACGCATCGTCCATTGTTATCTTTATTCATGACATGTCGCCAAATCATGCGTCAACCCCACAGGGTGTGGACAAAACACCGACAATTGGAAAGAAGAGCCTTTTTCACGAGAACCGTTTACAATAGGTTGATTGTTATCCTGTGTCGTCACATTTCGCGGCATATGCAATGATTGATTTGAAACTTCGGCACGTAATTGTGAATTAAAAAAAAAAAGGGAGAATACGTATTCTTGGTTCTAGGCGGGGATAAGTGAAAAAAAATGTTTATTAAAAATTGAAATTTCTAGGAGCACCAAGTTCTTCCTCAGGGCCTACATAATCACATGCTGAAGTTTCCATCGATACGGTGCATCCTGTTTGGAGAAAAGTTTTATAAATATCTTCACGTTTTATACATATAGAATGACCTTTTCATTCCATCTTAATGTCCACCTTTTCCTTTTACTACTACTGTTGCTACGAAATATGTGACGGACTTTAATGTTACGTATGCACGTGTACGTAATTTGGCGCGAAACTCTACCGAGTTTCTTGGTAATTTCTCGAGCAAAGTTATTTAAACCTAATCATTCGAGTACTCGTTTTGCTTGAATCTTTTTGGACGACGGTTTGAAGTTCAGCTTCGAAATTCGCAGAGGTATAATTGGCGCACACCTGCGCACTTTTGCCGCGGGCCATAACACTTCCAGCGAGCATTGCGACACGTGCACCGAGACCGCACCGACTCAACAGTCGATTAAAGCCATGCCCATCCTCTTCCTGTGTTCGTTCCCTCGTCGGGTCGCACTCTCGTTTCCAGTCGCACCACAATTTTCCGGGCCACTAGAAATGAGGCTGAAACCACTTCCTGTTCAACGAGCGACCATTTCCAACTTCGGAGATAACCCCAGAGGAGAATGTGCTCGGCGGCGGTTCCGACATTTTCATAAACCTTCCAAAAATCCAGAAATTAATTACATGCTTAGTTTGACTTTAGAATCGTTTCAACGTTTATGCAAATTAATGTTGTAAACGATAAACCGCGCAATAAACAATTGTATTCCGACATTTTCATAAACCTTCCAAAATCCAGAAAATAATTAGATGTTTCGTTTGACTTTAGAATCGTTTCAACGTTTATGCAAATTAATGTTGTAAACGATAAACCGCGCAATAAACAATTGTATTCCGACATCCAAAAATCCAGAAAATAATTAGATGTTTCGTTTGACTTTAGAATCGTTTCAACGTTTATGCAAATTAATGTTGTAAACGATAAACCGCGCAATGAACAAACTTAATAGAAATAGACTTATTGATTTAATTATTAACCGTAGCTAATTTGTGATATTTCTTTCTTTGCTAGTATGCTAATAGTTCAAGGCGTGTTAATAAACACGTAGTGACAATCTCCCTGCAAAAACCCACGTCGAGAACTCGGATTGCACACGGGATGTATGCAGATCTTTGTATTTAATAAGAAATAACTGATTATCCGGCGCATCCCTTGCTACTTGACAATTACATGATCCGTCCTTGACACCGTTCGTGTAGTATTGTACTCGGCTGTCGGACTATGGGAATTTTAACTTGCAACCCATAATATGGACTTCCGTTACCTACACATTACCGGAATTAGGTAAGTTTCCTTCTATGGACGATAGCCGTTCAAGAAATATTACCTTTAAGAATTCCTGAAAAAAATTTCCCAAGCCGTAAAAATTTATATATATTTTCCTGAAACCCATAGGGGCAGATTTACATTATTTACATTGTCAGGAGTATATTTTCTTTCACGGACTGGTAGACTATCGTGAAGAACTAGCCTTGAGAATTTTTGTGTTTTGTCTTGAGAATATCGTCGTGGAGACATCCGTTATCTGCAATGCCAGAATTGGATAAACTTCCTTACATCGGCGGTAACCTTCTCGGAAGAGTTTATTTCCAAAGAATGGAGAAATCAAAGGCTCAGAGCGAATTGATTTCAATGTCCAGCTCCTTGGACGGTAATTGTACTTATAGCATTGCTATTGTGCAAACCCACCCATTCTTCCGTATAATAACAAATTATTCGCTATTAATCGGTATGACGGTCAGTACAAAAATTATAGTAAAAAACGGAATTTTAAGTATCGTCTGTTAAAAAAATAACGGCTGAGATTAAAAGTCGACACTGTAAAAGGGCAGGATTTCTACTTGCCAAATTATGTTCAAGCACACGTATGATCGGTTAAAAGTTTAGATAGTACGATATGGAACAATTGCCCGCGCTATACACGCTACAGGAATGAATGTGATATAAATTGATACATAATTAATTAAAGACGACAGGAGAACCCTATATTTCACTTAATATACACTACTTACTCACGAAATACATACACAACGTTATTCTAGTTCCGAAAAGTAAATACAAGAATTTATGCAAATGTAACGATGAAACGGGTCAATACTCTGAAAGGCGGACTTTTAAAAAATAATCTCCCGCGATTAAACGTGCCGCGCATTCGACCGATCGTGACCTTGAATTAGCTGCATGACGTATTTACTTATGTACGCGCCTAAATATTAACCGACTTAAACAGAGCAATATTTCAATGTTGTCTCCTTTAGGAATAAAATGCTTTATAGCCTAAGTGGTACATACCATACCTGAAATACCTCGCGATTCTTAATGAATTATATAAACCAGCAAAATACACCGTTATCTGCACAAATCTTCCAACTTTCATTAACCCCCTCGCACATTTTCTAGTTACACTATTTATACATATATATATATATTATGAACTCTATTCAGACGCCATGTTTCAGTTGATATTTATAATAGAATTACAGACTAATGCATGGATCGTTAACGTGGTAGGCAAAGCATCTGAATTTGTATTTACGAATACGTAGCCTCTCCGGAGTCTCGTAGTTCGTGTAAAAAGTCTAGTGATGTAGTTCTTCCTCAAAGTCATCGCGTATTACATTCGAATTAAATTGACAAAAGCACGAGTTTCATCGAGAGTTGAATAAGTTGCAATCCTTTTAATCGATAGTCACTTACGGTGATGTGAAAGTGTCATAAAAGAGTTCTTATTCATGAAACTTTTCTCCAAACTGGGTGTACCGAATCGATTCAAACTTTACAATATAAATGTAGAGAGTACAAGGAAGGTCCTAAAACTCATAAAATTTCAATTTTTTAACAAATTTGTTCAAATATTTTCAAAATTTATTACAAAAAAAATGAAATTTCATGAGCGTCAGGACCTTCCATATAGCCTTCACATTCACGTAGTAAAGTTTGAAACGATTCGGCACACCCAGTTCGATGAAAAGCTTCATGAACAATTGGCTCTTCAGATGCTACTTGCACATCCCCTTAATAAAAAGAAATATGTTCTTGTCATGCTAATCGCAACATCTTCCTTAATAACGAATTGCGAGGTGGACCACTTTTTCAAACTATTTTGCATTTTCATAGATCACAGCACAATGGAGTCAATTAGAGTACAGTTAATGAAAGTCTTCCGAAGTACCCTTTATTCTATATACAGAGACTTTAGTAAAAAGTAATTGCAAATACCTAAATGTAAGTTCGAATGCAATTACTGCCTGCTTATCCGGATCCATTTGCTAATGCCTTTCTGGATAGGGAACGTTAAATATCTCTTAATAAAAGAGTGTCAAACTAGAAGCGATACTCTGAAATCGTGAAATCATATTTAACGCACACGGTTTCTAACAATCAATTTTAGAAGCCTATTTACAGGGCTATCGACGTAAGGCCGTAAAAGAGTCAAGCATTCATTACATTTGTTACTCGATAATAATGCGTAAGAAGAAAGCGAGGATAGGATTAATAACTTATTAACTTAATAAGAGATAATTGACGGCACCTGAAGTCTTTCTCATCCTCAAGGGCATCCAATAATTTACTCCTTCGACTCAGCTTTCAATAATAAGGTACGTAAGGATGTTACCGAAAAAAAGAAAAAAAAAAAGAAAAAAGATATATCCACAACATTAACGCCGCAATGAATAACGTACACGATGCAATACCACCTAGCTTTATAAAAGGTTCACTCTATTATTTTCCTTCACTAAAATTACAGTTTTTGTATTCGCACTCTGCAGTGATTACATTCGAAATAGGAAGACTTTCGTTAAAGGTATTCCTTTTAACTGCGCAGCATATATCTCTTCCTCTCCTATCCGTAATTACTAAAAGAAGCTCTGCGGAAGTCATATTAGTGAATTTAGTGTAATTTATTTACTAAACTATTTTTCATTAAAACGTTCCTCCCATATATGTTTCCGGTGCTGAGCAGTCAAGATTGGGCCAAGGACATGTTCCGTACGGTGTATGCGACTTTTGAAACGCTCCCGGTCTCGAGCAATTTCTTCCCATGGACCTTTCCGGGCAGCTCTGTACGCATAATCCCATGTGACCATCGAATGCACTATTGGAACCAAGTTAAATCGCACCTGGAATAAATATTTAAGAATTCACTGATTAAGCCCCTTATTTCAATTTGAAATGCTACTCTACAAAGGTCTGCAAACTGTTAAATGTAGGATAGAAGACTCCCATACAATGCAATTATACGTTGCGTATCGTGTGAAAATCACGCTACGAGAAATCATGAAATCCGAAAATTTTCCCCGTATAACACGGATATAAATAACATGTTTAGGATGACTATTGTCAATATTGTTTTCGTCCGAACGGGACCATTACGACACAGAAGAAATCGATAACGATGAAGATAAGCTATGATACGCTCGACTAAAGTAAACAGGGAATTCCTGCATTTTCTTATATAGCGCATTGTACAAAAGAGTACGTATAGAATACTTTCTTTAAACTTCTATTACCTTTTGAGTTGTTTCACTGTTTTCATTTTGTTCAAAGACATCGTCCTCATCACTAATTTCTGTATACTCAGAGTCAGTGTCATAATCCGATTCAGATCTCGCTTCGAAGACAATGCAATAACTATCCTCCGAATCAACAGAACTCTCAGAAACCAGTCTTGGTCGAAATGCGTCGTTACATTGAAATTCTTTCTCGATAGGTGACCCGTCAATTTCATCCACGTCAGTCTGAGTACCTGGCTTGTATCTCACCCTCATAGAAGATCTACGTTGCTGTGGTTCGTGTAATGCAGGCACTTTTTGCTTCCTTCTTCTAGGCTTTAATTCGGCTAATGTAAACGACATAACATATTTTGAGGTTTGTGCTTCTGGAAATTCACTATCGATTTCGTTGATACTCGAGGAATTTGATAAATCTCCACTATTCATATCGTAGTCCTTCCAACAATCAAGGTCATCTTTAATATCGGCGGATAAGTTTTGTCGAATTCTTTCCTGCCTGTGCCTCGTTTGGCTCACACCAGAGCGTCTCAATTGAGATTTTGCTCGTCCTCTACCTCTACCACTCGATATGCAATTAAGCTTTCGCCGACTCTTCGGCGAATACGGTCTTTTTGTTGGTATGTCAGAATCCAATGAATCAGTCCTAAGATTTAAATGCCCAGATATACTATTTACAACCTTCTGCCACATATTGGATATTAGATTTGTAACAACAGCTTGTCCGGAAGAAAGAGAATCGTGAGATCTCAGACAATCAGAATCGTTCATTGATTCGAGCAATTGTGTTGGATATTTTGAATCTACCTGTAAGCTTGAATCGCTACAATTGTTTATTGGTGTCACTTCGTCATTTATTTGATCAAAAGAGATGTGCTCCTCTTCTTGCATATTTATTCCTTCATCAATATTTTCTCCCAGACCACTGTTTTCATTTAACCAGGAAGAATCGCTACTCGTCGTTGTGTCACTTTCAGTCGCCAACTTTTCCCAATTAAGTGCAGATTCTACCATTCCTGTAATATGATTTCCAGTTTCTTGCTTCTTCTTGAGTTCGTCAGTGTTAGAAATGAACGAATTACAATTAATTTTTGGATCTAGACAATCACTGGAAGTTGAACTGTATGTTCCTTTCCAATGTAAATGATTTTCTAAAATAGAATGACCAGCATACAGCGTACCACTATGCATTCCACCAATAATTGGTATTGAACTTTCGCTGTGTATTCCAGGAATGAATATCTCACCTGATGTCAATTCCCTGTTTCCTGTCAAGCTTTTAAAAAACTCATGGGAAATGATCCCTTCATTTGGAACAACAGTGACAGATAACGAGTTGCTGATACCAGCTGAAACCATACCAGGTACTCTAGATATTTCTCCAATCCTAGTGGTAAAAGCATTAAACATGCTTTGTAGCAAGTTTTCCTTCTTCGGAGGATTCATGCTCGGTACGCTGTCTTTTCCTCTGAGATTATGATCAGAGTATATTGCCTTGGTCATTGGTTTTGACATCGTATCCAGATGGTGCGCAGAATACATGTTTGTAAAATAGTGTGAGAGTACTGGCACTGAAGGATCTAAGGCAGGTATGGACAGCAAATCCAAATTTAGAGATCTATAGCCAGAAGCAGTTTCCATGTCCTGACTCAGCAAACAGGAATTTCTCTCCCGTCTGTTCTCAAAATTCTATTACCTTTATATGTGGCTAAATAAGAAATAAAAATACATGTTATCATCCATCACAAAAGAGATATAATTGACATCGATAAGATTTTAATTACTTAAATTGTATGCCATTTCCAACGTACAAAAGTACCGCGTATAAGCTTTTTATATCAATTATAAATTACAAATTGTAATATATAATAGTCCAAATAAAATCTTTACGAATTTTGGATTAGCTTCCATATATACAATGCATACGTATTATTTGAACATGACATTGCATATATATATATATATATACACAAACATGACTCATCAATACGTGGGCGTAATAAAGAAACATGATCTCTACCGGTTGCTGATGTAAACTTTGACATGCATGAAGTACATCTGAAGCAATCGAGTGTACGACTGGTACGCACTGACTCATTGCCTCCACAAAATTTTGTAAACACCGTGTTTTCATTTGGACATAATTGTTCTTTCATGATTATATCCATAAGAGTTTACAAAGAGATATGTGTAACGAGCAACAAAGGTTTCAAAATGAACCAGGAACGTAAACGTAATTCTGATATGGGAAATAAAAGAGATATGACGTGCGCGACGCGATAACGCGCAGTAACGCTTTGGACCTTCCAATAGGTAGTTAATGTGTTACCCTAACGTTAATAAAATTTTCATATGTGGCATATATGTAATGACGGAACTCGATTACGCATTTTTCCTGCTCGGCACTTGCACACTCATACTCACAAGGACAATTCTCGCAAGCGTGACGACGATAATTGTGAAGCTGAACGGACTCGCTGTTTGACAACCGAATATTTTCCACACCTCGACAATTGTTTCTACAAGGGATGTGACCAACACGTGTCGCAGCTTCGATCGTAAACTTTGGCTCAGAAATCAAGAAAACCTGAGTAGATTCCATTGTAGAGAAGCACATTTTTGCAGTACTTGTATCACTATTATCTTTTAGGTAGCCATTTTCAACTTTCAATAACTCGGCATGGAGGGTGAAGTACTAGCGTGGGGAATAGAGTAGAATCAGAGATGAGTTCGGAGATTGCTCACGGGCAGGGTCGCGCAATTACTCCTGTGCTGCCCTCTGGTTTCGTATGTTAGCTTTCACCGTTTTTTGCTCCCAAAGGCGGCGCAACGAATTTCTGGTAGTGGCTCGCGTACTCACCATGGCGGTACCATCTACCAGTCGCCGTTGGCGGCTCACGTACTCGTGATGGTAATACCATGTGGCAGTTGACGGTGGTGGCTTACCTACGCTTACCGATACTGCTCGCTTTTGATGGTAAGGGAAGAACACTCGTGACGCTCCATTTGACTTTATCTACTTATCTACTACTATTAAGTACATTGTTGCCTCGAAGTCGACGTTATACGGAACTTTGGGGAACGCGTCGGTGTCGCGTACGGAACTCTCATGCAGCGAATCTGTGTGAGTGCGATCGCTCCTAGAAATCTTCGCGCGCTCAACCAGCCAAGCGCCAAGCTACGGGTCGAGACGTTGAGTATGTGTGCGTTCGGCGCTACACTCGACGAGTATGCGTGAGAGTCGAATACTGCGAAAAATCCTCCCGAGGCTTACCTAACTGCGGATACAAGCCGAGTCATTTCGCGTATGATTTTTACATTTTCCTACTAGCGTTATCGAGCGTTTCTCGATCATTTTCCGAGCGTTTTCAAGTGTTATCGATCTTTATCGAGCATTTTCGAGCGTTTTCAAGCGTTTTCGAGCATTATAGAGCGTTTTTCGACCATTTTCGAACGTTTTCGAGCGTTTCTCGATCATTTTCAGAGCGGTTTCGAGCGTTTTCAAGCGTTATCGAACGTTTTTCGACCGCTCTTGAACGTTTTCGAGCATTTCTCGGTCATTTTCAGAGCGGTCTCGAGCGTTTACGAGCGTTTTCACGCATTTTCGAAACGTTTTCAAGTGTTATCGAGTGATATTCAAGGGTTTTCGATCGTTATCGAGCTTTTTTCGAGCATTATCGACAGTTTTCAAGCGTTTTCAAGCATTACTGAGCGTTTTTCGACCGTTTTCGAACGTTTTCGAGCGTCATCGAGCGATTTTCGAGCGTTTTCAAGCGTTGTTAGAGCTTTTTCGAGCATTATCGAGTGTTCTTCGAGCGTCCTTCGAGTGTTTTTGAACATTGTCGAAGGCCGTACAGTGCCGTTGCGTGTATAAAGTGTCGGAGAGTGCCGGAATGTTGCCGCAGAGTGCAGAGTAGGTAAGCCTCGGGAGGATTTTTCGCAGTTTCGAGTCTCACGCATACTTGTCGAGTGTTGCGCCGAATGCATGCATACTCAACGTCTCGACCCGTAGCTTGGCGCTTGGCTGGTTGGGACGCGCGAAGATTTCTAGGAGCGATCGCACTCACACAGATTCGCTGCATGAGAGTTCCGTACGCGACACCGACGCGTTCTCCAAAGTTCCGTATCATGTCGACTTCGTGGCAGGACTGTACTTAATAGTAGTAGATAAGTAGATAAAGTTAAATGGAGCGTCACGAGTGTTCATCCCTTACCATCAAAAGCGAGCAGTATCGGTAAGCGTAGGTAAGCCACCACCGTCAACTGCCGTATGGTATTACCATCACGAGTACGTGAGCCGCCAATGGCGACTGGTAGATGGTACCGCCATCGCCAGTGCGCGAGCTTCTATCAGAAATTTGTTGTGTCGCCTTTGGGGGCAAAAAACGGTGAAAGTTAACGTACGAAACCAGAGGGCAGCACAGGAAGCGATCGCACGATCCTGCCCGTAAGCAATCTCCCAACTCATCTCTGATATTACCTGATTTTACCTACTGAAGATTTGGTGCTACTTTTTACACCCAGGGTTGGGTAACTCTTTGGGTGACTCCAGGTGACTCTTAACCTCTAAGCTGCACGTCACCCTACTCAGTTTAAGTTCTAGGATACACGCTTGAATTGATGGACCGCTCCATTGCTGGTATCAACCAATCTCGGTAGATCTCGTTCAAGTTCGCTCAAGTTTTGCTGGTCGTGCCGTTCCGCGTGTCTTGTAAATATTTCTTAAAAATGCGATAAAACCGAACTGCCATGAACGGACCAAGTGTACGTATCCAGCGGATATTTGTCTCGATCCCTGCGGAAGCGTTGCAATCTGATTGACCCGTTAGTTGTTGGATACCTTTCGAAAAATGGGAGTTTTCGCACATAACCTGTTACGCTTGACAGCTAATACTGCAGGTTAAATTTTACTCGATAGCGGAATGCGGAGGATCAAGCATCATCCTGCCGAAAGTACCGGTTTGTATACTTCGAAAGAACGGAGCTTTTCAGCACAGACGATTCGCCATGGAAAACCATTCCGGCCGTGTTAGTCACAATCAAAACGCTAGAGACCCTGAGGAGATGATGATGGTGCTCGATAATCAAATAAAACATTACTCCGATCACAAGAGGCGAGAAGAAGAGTTCGTTCTGGCATCGGACTCAAAAGACGGCCTCTTTAACCCTAGAGCTCTATTCTTCTTAACGCTGTGGTACATTTTTAGTGGGTGTACTCTTTTTTTGAACAAGTATATATTGTCTTATATGGAAGGCGATCTTACGATATTGGGTAAGATTGAGTTAAATACGTAATATGCATTTCTGAATTCATAGAATAAGTTGAATGTCACAAACGGTATGCTTACAATGATCTAGGAGCCTGTCAGATGTTGATGACAGCGATTTGTGGCTTTATACAAATGTACTTTCCTTGCGGCATGTACCGAGCCAGTTCTCGATTGATGAGGCCACCTGGATTTTATAAGCACATGATGCTGGTTGGCTGTACAAGATTTACTACCGTTGTACTAGGACTAGTAGCACTTAATTACGTAGCGGTTAGTTTTACGGAGACTATTAAAAGTAGCGCGCCACTGTTTACCGTCCTAATTAGCAGATATTTACTAGGTATGATACATATGGATCCTTTTATATTAAAACTTACGTTATTTTTTATGTTTAAAGATGGCTATTTATTAGTATTGCACTATTTAAGATTAATTTCTGCATATCTTACAGGTGAACATACCGGATTGTACGTAAATTTATCTCTAATCCCTGTAATGGGAGGTCTAGCTCTCTGTTCGGCTAATGAAATAAGTTTTGACCTTCGTGGTTTCATAGCTGCTATGGCTACAAATTTAACAGAGTGTTTACAGAACGTATATTCAAAGATGTTAATCAGTGGTGAAAGTTTTAAGTACACGTAAGTGAAAAAATCTCTCATTTGTTCAGTAATGTACAGTTGTGACAATTATTTGTGCTAAATAATTCAACGTTTAAACGCATTTTTCAGGCCCGCGGAGTTACAGTTTTATACGAGTTTAGCTTCCGTAGTTGTACAAATCCCAGTGTCCTTATTGCTGGTTGATTTGCCTACATTTCAGCATTCCTTGAGTTTCAAACTCTTCTCGGCATTCCTTTTGAACGGAGTGTTCTTTCATTTCCAAAGCATCACTGCTTATGTTCTTATGGACTATATTAGCCCCGTTACGCACAGGTAAGTTTATTAACTGCCATTGTCTTTCCACGAGTGATACAAATATAATCAAGTAACGATAAAAAATGTGCACTTTGATTACAGCGTTGCGAATACAGCAAAGAGGGCTTTTCTAATTTGGCTGTCCGTATTATTATTTAACAATCCAGTAACTGGTTTATCGGCCTTGGGTACTTCTTTAGTAATTGCTGGAGTGTTACTATATAATCGGGCTCAGGAATATGACCGAATACAAACAGCAAAACTGAGATACACTTCTAAAATTAATTTACAGTGATATCTAAGCTACAGAAAATTTTTATACACCAGACTTAATTACACCTGCCAAATAAGAGTCTAAATTTAACTAATTCGTTTTCTCTTGATCGTCATTAACAAACGTAAAGTCCGTACAGTGCTCAATTTTCATGGAGCATGGCCAAACGATTTAAGTATTACTGTTGATTCATGAAGTATGTAAACTCCATCTTTTTCTACGATCCTAGGCGAACATAAGCACTCAGCATTCCGACACAAGATTGAAAGATACCGATTCCGTTAATTCCACCCTGCTTCCACTTGAACCGAAAACTCAAATAACATTTGTAAACATTGTTAACTGAGGCGTAGTGTAAATGCAATGACATCGTAAACAAGTGCGTATGAGAAATTGCGAGAGAAAATTCTTTGAACACTCTCTGCAGTTCACAATAGACATATCAAGTGTACGATGTGTAAAATTTAAAGATTACTGAAAATGCAATGTCGATATCTTTTGTAAATATTTCTACCAACAAGTTTCGGTGCAGAACCGTCTGCAAATATTCAACTGTACAGATGTGTGTGTGTGTGTACATACATTCGTTCGTATGTATCATGCCGCATAATATCGCGAATGCGTGCACATAGTATTTATCAAAGATGAGAAATGTCTATTTATCCGTTGCTCCCAGTAAACAATGTACCTCGACGAAACTCTAACCGATGGATATCGTACAATAAATTATATACGTAATTTATTTAAATTATATATTCTCCGTATCATTTGCTATTACACTCTTTATTATGAAACCTACTATGGAATGGTTTTAATTTACATAGGTATCACTACTTCAGCCGATCTATACTCCGTTTCCCAGTTGTGGATTCCGTTTTATTCCCCTTCGCCAGCAAGTTAACGCATTCGCTGTCAAAACAACTGCCAAGAAAGCTGCGGTAAATGTGGTTTCCGGCTATCCGTGATTTCCAGTCTTGAAACGCGTCAATGTAAAGCAATTCGTATACGCCTACTTGGTTCGCGTAGACTCGGATAAATAAGGTACACGTTATGGAGGGCATTCAAAGACTCAACTGTGTAAGCTAAAAGGGGAAAAAATAAACTCCAACGAGATCATCGTATTCCTGATTAAGGGATCCGCCGTTAAAATCTTAGTTCCTAGATATAAATTACATAAATTAAATTGTTCAAGGCATTCTAAATTGTATCATACTCGAAACGTAGCTCGAAGAGTGAATGCCCACGAAGGCTGCGATGGTGTTTCGTTAAAATATTTTACGCAGGGAGTAAGACGCCAGAGATTTGAAAATTCCAGGTCACTCCCACAACGATTGTATAAAATTTTTGTCTCGAGTGCAATGATTTTTCATAAAATATTTGTCTTCTATAATTCACATTATCGGCGTTGGGTCGCGTCTTCATTGGCAAGCCTTCAGAGCTTGATCGAGGTCAGCTAAAATGTCCTTTTCGGTCTCAAGACCAGCGGACAGGCGGATTAGTTGGTCGTTAATGCCCAGCAATGCCCGCGTTGCTTCCGGTACGGATGCGTGCGTCATTACGGATCTAAACGGAGAATAAACCAATTATATTATTAACGGGGTCGGGTAAGTAAAATACCTTAGGTAATTTACGTAGTTTTTTTTTTTCTTACAGTAAATTACTAGGTATTTTACTTTACAAATTTCATACGGGATGTAAATTACATGATTTGATGTTATCGCGTTCCCTTTCCGACACCTTTTAACGAATAAATCGGAAGAGTTCAGAGTACTTACGGAAGCTCCGCCAGAGACTCGTATCCGCCCAGGGATTCTGCGAGGGTGAATATCTTCAGCGCTTTAAGAAATTTAAACGCGTCACCCTTCAGATAAAAAGTCACCATTCCACTGTGGCCAGTTGTTTGCTTGAGTGCCAATTCGTGTTGCGGATGGGAGGGCAGGACTGCAAAGACCGCGTCCATAGAAAACACGAATTAAGAGCGAAGGAACGAGTGGGTGCCAACTATTTCCGTTCTGCAAACCGTCCTAACATTCTAATGAGCATTCGACTTACGAGGATGAATGACTCTCTCGACGAGCGGGTGACCGTCCAGAAACTTCGCCACGGCGAGGCCATTCTTCATGTGCTGTTGCATCCGAACTTCCAAAGTCTTCAAACTACGATTAACCAGCGCACAGTCGTACGGGGACGGCACGATTCCCATTGCTTTGGATATAAAGGAATCGTTAATCGAAAGAAAGTTCCAACGTGTAATTTTGGAAACCTTTTCTACATATACAATAAGTAAAGAGAGGCAACACACCGTTCTGAATAAAGCGCAGCTGACTCTCAAGATCGTCCCTTCTCGTAATCGCCGCACCCATTATTATGTCGGAATGTCCGTTCATGTACTTCGTTAAGGAGTACACGACAATGTCCACTCCGTATTCCAAAGGTCGCTAAGAAAAATGATTTTATATTGATAATGGTACTTAATCGCTAATAGTTGAGTGCAATGTCAATGTCAGTTCAGTACTTACTTGAAAATAGCAGGTAAGGAATGTGTTATCCATTACCACGAGAATGTCCGAACGAACTGCTTTTACGGCTTCCGTAATAGCTTTAATATCAGCTAGTTTCAATAATGGATTCGTTGGTGACTCCAGCCATACCATCTAGAAACAAATTTGTGAAAGGCTTATTATATCTAATTAACGTAGAGGTATCGAAATAGTCCATTTCTATTAATCTGCGATTGCAACAATTGTTTCCATCGAAAACGCGATACATCTGGTTACTGATTTTTACAAATCAGCATTTTTCTTTTCCTCGGTTCTGGAGTAAAATCAATGCCAGATTTGAGTATCGGCTGTCTTTTAACCTTCCCCCTAAAAACAAGTTATCGAGGCACGATATTGATTGGTATTTTGCTCATTGTCGTGCTTAGAAAATATCGGCTAATTAATTCCAAAACATTCACATGCCCGGTTATCGTTATCTCGACACTAATGATGCGCGGAAATGATAAGTCTTAACCGATTACAACAGGCTTTGTAATCGGTTCATTTGCCTTTATCAAAGGAGTTGCCAATAACAAGGGACCTCGAACGACTGCATTTCCGTAATATATTGTTTTTCAGAGGTTACGTGATAGCTTCGATTGTTGATAACTTATGAACGATAACCCTAATTATATCAAGACACGAGAGAAAGAGTTTAATTGAATTTGGAGGACCTTACGTGACTTTTGCCTTGAAAAGGTTGAACTTACCTTTGTGTTGGGTTGTATAGCATCCATTACATTTTTGGTATTTGAAGCATCAACAAAGGAAACTGTAATTCCCTGCTTACTAACACATTTTTGAAACAATCGGTTGGTTCCACCGTAAACGTCATCCCCACAGACTATGTGATTTCCCGTCTCCAACAAAGCACATAAAGCTGTCGTTGCTCCGAGTCCTGATGAAAAGACAAGTCCGTGTTTGCCATTTTCTAAAGCTGCTAGGCAAGTTTCAAGAACATTGCGTGTTGGATTCCCACTTCTGCCATACTCGAAGCCCTATAAGTGAAAAGTAATACGCGTTTCATTAAGAAGTTTTACTAAAATATACGTTAATCTTTCCCTTCCTTTTTATCCTCTACAATGGAAGTAACATAAGATGATCAATTTGAGTCTTTAAATAATTAGTTCTTTGAGGCATAAAACTGGCTGAACGTTATGGCTTATTGATCACAATTGGAGCAGTCATTACTATTATTAACTCGCTCTAATTTTTGCCAATAACAGCAATTGGCAAAAGTGATATCATGTCGTTTAAATGGTAATTCATAAATACATGTTTCTTTCAGGAATCGTGCGTAAGCTTACTCTATGTTGGGCAGGAGCATCCTGACGGAAAGTGGTTGACATAACTAGGGGTGGTACGACCGAACAATGACTCCATTGCAAAGGGTCCTGTCCCGAATGAATGGCTTTTGTTGCAAATCCTTCCTGAGTATTTGTAGGCATGTTTAAGTTTACTAAAACAGAATAAAATATATTTCCATGATAATTACCATCCAAATAAATGTTCCGCTTAAAACAATTTACTTTACTCGCTTAAACTTTAAAACTTTATTTCACAAGAGTTGCTCATAAATTAGTAAAACAATAACTTATGACTATTTATGCCTATACCTTTGAAAAATATTAAATCCACAATGTTCAAAAGATTAAAATACGGGTTTCAAATAATTTCGGGCATAAAAATAACTTCAAAATTATTTTTCATTGAAGTAATTACGTAAGCATTAAATAACATCATGCCAATGAGATGACAAGGATTACATACAGTACATATATCCTGTGGTTATAATTTTATGAATCTACATCAACGCACAATTTGCAAGTAATATTTAACGAAGATAGATTAAACGTTTAGAACGACTTATTGTCAAATAAATTGCATCCTTGCTGAAATTAGGAAGTCGTCAAATTTTACGTAACTTCCTAAAAGTCCTCATAAGAGCCGCTTTCACCCCCATTAAATAAACCGGAGATTGAAAGTTATTCAGCGAAAATATGTTGCATCATCCTAATTGATTCATATTACATCTCTCTAGGCAATCTCTTATAAGCCGTGTCACCATGGAAATAATCAAGTTACACAATCTAGATAAAATAAACTCATTCCCTGTCCACGGAATCAGGTGATGCAGAGGTAAAAATATGTTGCATCATTCCTACCCTAATCCGAGCTTTCCCAACCAAACCAAAATGTTGAGTAACAATTTACAAAGCCTCCCTTATTGACGCAATTGAGCTCGAATGTCATTTAAGCAGACTGTCACGTGGCATGCCTGGGTCTGTCCGTCACATGTGGCCAGTACCCTATCGAGTGCTTGACAAAAAATTGTAAAATCTCCATAAGGACCGTTTGCCAAGCGCTTATCACGTGTCAAAGCCTACGCTGGTGTATCAGGGTGTACCTGTAACGACCTAGGTAATTGATTAAATTAAACACCCAGAACTTACATGTAAAAACCGTGACGGTATACCTTCTAAGCCGTGACAGCGCACGTTCTAATTCCGCCTGGTTCTGATTAAATAACGAGTAAAGTACCGGCTAATTACAGCTTACCTTCACGTTTATTTTAACGTGCTCTCTTATCTCTCTTACCGTTTGAAAGGAAGGTTGAAAACGATGGAAGCCGGGAGCTGATGACGCGACACACCACCTCCTCGACAGCCGACGGCAGACTGAGCAGGTTGAGACTCGTTCGGGGCTCGCGGGCGGCGAGCTGGCAAAATTTCCTATTTCTCCCGGTCACGCCTGGACCACCGAGATCCGTCGACGACTTCGTCAGGCCAGCCGCTCGCGGGTAATTAACGTAGCCTTGAACCTAAAAAAAGGTTCCGACCACGTGCGAGCGGCGCAGCCTGAAGGTGGCCGCAGTTTCGAGTCCTGAATCCCCGAATCGAGATTCGAAGCGTCGGGCACAGTTTATAAGCCCTTTGGCCGTTCCACGGTTAACGGCGCGGCCCACGCAGAGGGGCACCCAATTCTCCGTAATCGCGCCGAGCCGATAATAGGCGATAATAATATCGGCGTGGCGTGAGGGAAACAATACATGACGACCGGCTGCCTAGGCGGTCTCGTCACGCGACTACACCGATTAAATGCGAAGCTTTCGAATGCGCAGAGATATATCCCCGATTTCTGCTATTTTCGAAATTCATTCAGGATGACTTCGCGAAACTGATTCCGTGAACAGGATGACGAATTAATTGGTATTGCGCTTCTTTACGCGTTACAGAAGGAAAACGCGCGTGTCGAGGTCTTGTCGTTAAATACTTTTCCGTCTTTCCGGAATTTGTATGCTTAGTCAGATCTCGTAATTATGCTCGCGAGTTAGTTGGAATTGCAAGCTGAGCTAGAGAATGGAGTTTTACTGAAAAGAAATGCAAATTCGGAAATAGGTTTAAGAGGTTCTTTGGGAATGCTTTGCTCGGAACGGAATATTTCTGTTTTGGAGTTGAACGATTTTGCAATTGCATGTTTTTAATTTTCCCGGTAAAGATGGCGGATCTTGGTGCCGTGCGCTGATTGGTCGAAAAGGTGCGAATAGACGCGATTATAACCGACAAATTTTCACCACGAGTTGGAGTTATATTTTCATTGTGATCATTGCTGTATGATAGCGTAAAGTAGTGCGGAGTATTGTGTTTAAGCACGTCGTTTAATAGGATACCGATTTAATATTTTAATGCGGAATCGTCCAATATAATGTCATCGACGACGCCTAACGGAAGCATTAAGTATATTTATAATTTACCGTTTTCTGAACGAGTTGAGCTGTGCAGGATATTAAATCAAAATGATAAGTGGGAAGAGCTTGCAGGTATGTGTTGGTTTCGTGATGGGGAAAACCCGTATTACAGGATACTCCATTAAAAATGCAAATACAATTTCCAATATATGACTATGTTTCTGGTAAAGCGTGTTACATTAAAAAAAAAAAACTATTTATAAATAGCATTTCGGAATATTGAATTTGTACAAACATCGTGATAAATTTGTAATTTACAGACAAAATTCAATTGAGTCATTTAATAAAATGTGAATACTGATCATTGCTGCTATCGTTATTTAATAATACCTATTATTTCTAGGCATGTGGATGAAGTACGATGTTCTAACGATCCAAAATCTGCGGAAAGAAAGAAATCCAACTGACGAGCTGCTGACGATGTGGGGACATCTCAATCATACCATTTTAGAACTTTTTATATTGTTGTCTCGAATGCAGCATTATCAAGCGATGTTACCATTGAAACTGTTTGTAGATTCTAAATTTCACGAGCTCATAGATAACGGGGAAGGAAACCTCCAGAGGATGCTTGGAAAATTGAAAAGTAAAAAGAACTTGAAAGATCTGAAAATCGGCACGCAGAATTTTAATCAAAAGTGTCAACCTCGACCTAACATTCCAAAAGTTGTTCTCGAGGAAAATATTCCAGGAGATTCGCAGAAGATTTTGAATCAATCTCCACGCGGCCAAAACTCGCCGAGTAATTCAAATAATTTATTAGTAGCATCTCCTATAGCAACTCCACACTTTTCACCAAAATTGCAACACATTGCTGGAAAAAGAACTATCGAATTGCCACTCCCAAGAACGGAAGCGACTTTACCACAGTGTTCATTTAACGAATTGGCCGTTGCGACAGATAGATGGAGCCAGCATAACATACTAGGCAAAGGAGGCTTTGGAACAGTATATAGAGGTAAATTTGTTTGAAATTTTCTAAACTTTGATCACAGAGTAAATTCCAAGGTATTTTAGGATAATTGTATATAATATTAAATATTTTTCAGGTACATGGAAGAACACGGAAGTGGCAATTAAAAAGATAGAGCGACGAGGACCTGATTCCGATGAGAGTTACATGATGCAACTGCAACAATCTTTAAGAGAAATACAAATTCTGAACTCTCGTGCTCATGAAAATATATTACCACTATATGCATATAGTTTAGGTGGGGAGGCACCATGTCTGATTTATCAATTCATGCGAAACGGTTCCTTGGAAGATAGGTTACTCTTGAGACAGAGGACTCAACCCTTAAATTGGTTGCAACGTCATGAGATAGCTAAAGGTGTTGCAAGAGGTCTACAGTATTTGCATACCATTGGAGACAAGCCATTGATTCATGGCGACATTAAAAGTGCCAATATTCTACTAGACAAGAATTTTGAACCAAAGATTGGAGACTTTGGTTTAGCGAGAGAAGGGCCTGAGAAGGATTATATGAAAGTACGTAAAACTGTATGATTGGATCGAAGGGTTGATCACTATTAATTTCTGTCAGCCAAAATTGTTAATTTACATATTTTCAGTAGTGATTAATACCTTGAGTCGATATACAAATTAATGTACGTATTCTCTTCTTATTATAACAAGGTTTCCTTTTTCCAGGTCAGTCGAATACATGGAACGAGACCATACTTGCCAGAGGAATTCTTACATGGCAAGAATCTATCTACAAAAATAGATACCTACAGTTACGGCATTGTCTTATTCGAACTGGCTACAGGTCTGTCAGCTTACGATGACTTCAGGCCAGAGAACAAGTTCTTAAAAGATTTTATAGATAACTGGCAGGACAAGGATCTTCCTCTTTTAATGGACAAGAAAGCTGGTGAAGAGAACAAACAAGTGTACCATAACTTAATAGTGTTGGGAAAATGGTGCTCGAACAGATTATCAAAAGACAGGCCTGAGATGGAGCTAGTATTTCGTAAGCTGAACGATTTGTAAAACCACGTTCGCTGTCGACAATACTTCATGTTGAATTTCAGTATCTGCAGCCTGACATACAGCGAATACTAACCTATAAGTGGCAAGAACTTCTGCAGGACAATTTCCATTATTCTCGTGAATGTTTACTGTTACTATGTAGATATACAGACATATCTATTTGCATCAAACGTAACAAAACTGTGATAAAAGAAACGATACTAAATCACGGGAAATTAGGTGCGAAGTGCCAAGTTCGCGGACTTGGTGATATTTTTTACGGTCATGTGTACAATAGATTTATGTTTATTAACAACAGGTCTTAATTGTATTATCGTTCTTACACCCTTACCTACTGTGTTCCTTCCCTCCACCAACCACCACCGGCACAAAGCGTAGGACTAACTTGGTGGTTAATCATTATCCCTGTTTCCGCGTCTCGTGATTTATCTCCATCGCTGATAGTATGACAACGTAATGTAAATATCTATTTTTATTACAGATCCTTTCTTCCATCAGGACGTCGAACCCCAATCAGTCTTTTGCTTTTAGTACACATATCGCGGATGGTTTACAGGCGTTCATAGAGTGCACGATGCTCATGAAGACAGCCTCGAGTACATGCTGTTCATGTTTAAACATTTCTTTTAAATTCGACTAAAATATTAATTCTAATCGAGTAGATTCGAGGCATGTTCATGAAGGTCTCGAATACATGTTCGTATCTCAACATTTCTTTCAAACTCTTCCAAAAAGGGCAATTATAAATCCTAGTTGAGCAAATTCAAGGTAACAGCTTAATCCTTCACATTTCCTCACTAAATTACAAGCTGATTATTTCATAGAATTTATAGTACATGTCGTTCGACTTGTCTAGATTTGCAGTTCCAAGGAGTGCAGGAGAAATTCACAGTAAACGTAGAGGTGGACGCACGATAGCGCATGTACACGTTTGTGTAAGAAAACTAGAAAATAGACGGAGAATGTTAATAACACGTGCCTTTTCGCAAGATCGACAGGTAATACATGTATGGCTGAGATTTTCAAAATTATCGGGTTATTTCGTATTCTGTAAACTGATACAATGATGCGTTGATAACGAGAGTTTAATGTTACTTTTTTTCCCTTAATTTACACCGTAACGTTACCACCACAGAAACCACATGAGAACGAAAGGGAATCCTAGTCGATAGAGGGATCACGGAAGAGTGATAAAATGAAGATGATAAAAGGATAAATTATTACGCGTACCGTATAAAACGTGTATCTTGTGAAGTCCTTAACGTGAGATGGTAAAAAATATACTAAAGTAATGTAATAACGTTAATCCATAGACTGTTTGCGTCGTTGCTCGATTTAACGGCGACGCTCTAGTTAGGGATTTGTAACAATAACGCCTATCTTAAGCCTTAACTAGTTATTCTAATCATTCTAGTGATTCGAGCGCAATAAATCGCAGATGCGGGCTGCATCGGCAAAGACAATCATTCAGGAAGCGAGACGTGCCTTCTAGTACACTTCGGAATACAGAACTAGCATTAGCACGTTTGATTTTCACTTTTGCAGGCAATCGAAGTGCAAATATCATCGTATCATCATTTCATTTCGATTTCTGGACGGTGCGGCTTCGACAATATCCGCGACACTATCAGGTTCTTCTAGGAAACACAAGTAAACGTATGGACAATGGAACGCTGGGAAACCAGAACATGCGTGGACGTCTTACTTTTAAATGTACCCGGCCACATAATAAGACACTCGATACCGACGAACCAAAATGTTGGAAACATTGTTTCCAGCGTCGATACGCTGGCGGTCGATATTGAGACGGGTTATTTAAGGGGATGTGAAAGTCCCATCCGAGGAGTCAATCGTTCATGAAACTTTTCTCCGAACTAGATGTGCTGAATCGTTTCAAAGTTCACAACGTTAATGCGGAAGCTTTAAGGGAGGTCCTGAAACTCGTGAAATTAAATTTTTTACAAAAATTTGTTCACAGATAATTCTAACAATTTTTGTATAAAACATGAAATTTCATGAGTGTCAGGACCTTCCTTATAGCCTTGTTAACGTTGTGAAGTTTAAGACTATTCGATACACCCAATTCAGAGAAGTTTCATTAGGAAAATCTCTTCCACGCCACTTTCACATCACCTTAAGGATGGGACGAAAGAGAGCTATCCTCGAAATTGTAAGCGTAACTATTAGGAGGCCTGGACGGATCCTGCGAGGTCGTCGAATGGACATCGAGTTCCATCGACGACCCACGACCCGATTCGTACTCTCATCGAGGTGGAACAGAAAACGTCCATCGCTGCGACCACCGAGTCCTCCCTTCCGAAGGTTTGAGAGCAGAAACGAGCGATTACAAGTTACTTGGGTGAATCGGTCTCCTCGGCAAGTTTTCGACGATTTAACTGAAGAGTTCTGACTTAGAGGTGATCTTCTTGATCGCCGGCAAGATCCTAATGGCCGTGTATTGTCCGTAGCCGAGCGATATCCGGAGGTCGCAGCTGTCCCTCCTCTTGCTATCTTCCTCTTGCTGCTGGTTGAGGACCCAGAGGGATGCTGAGAGAGAGAGCAGGAAGGTCGTTACTCCTGCGATGGCCAGCAGATAAATTAGGACGGTCTGCACCACCGGCATGATGTACAACGCTAATTTTATCATGAACATCAAGTCGCTAGGCAGGGACGGTATGCTCTGGAAAAGGAAAATGCTTTTTGTTGAGATACGTTAACAAAATATTCATAAATATCTTCATATCGTTTTTAGAAATCCACACCATCCGGTGGGTAAGATAGTTCGATTCTAAGTAGGTAATTAAAACCCGGCTAATTTTGAGAAATTTACAAGGTAGGCGGGTAAAACCGTTCGATTTTAAGTAGTCAATCAAAACGTGGCTAATTTTGGGAAATTTACAAGATCGGTGGGTAAAATCGTTCGAATTTAAGAACTAATAAAAATATGGCTAATTTTCAGGTTGGAAGGCTTGCTCACCAAGTCTGTCCAAAATAGGGGAACGACCAGTCCGTTGAAAGCAGTGATCCTCGGGTTGTACGAGGTGTGTTCCATGACAAGGTTCGTCTGCAGCCTCGAATTGACGTGGACCGGGATTCCAACATCCTGAAAAGAAATGCGACGCCTAATTAGCATATCGGCATCTTCAAGGAGATCGATCTGCGCGAAGACCTCTTTGGTCGAGAAACGTGGCTAATCCATCGGCGATTCATCGCCACAGGACATGTGTTGCTCCAGTTACCCGCTTTTATATATCAAATTATTAGTCTTTCCTTTGGCTACATGGTATAAATCAACTAATTAAGTACTTACTGGCTGAAGGATAATCCTGGTGGCGTGCTTTTCGGGGTCCGGATGGATACCCTCGATGCCGTCCATCAGACTTGGATCAGCGTCCAGGAAATGTGGCAAAGAAATCGCCGCTGGAATGTCTGTAATTTGCGCAATATATTAATCACTATGATTTTAAGCTAGTGGTTCTTAACATTTTTCAAGTCACGGAACATTTTTGACTATAAGGAAAATTTACGGACCAAAGTCACTACCGTACATTGATAAAAATACCCATATAAGTTTACATAATCAGTCATTATTTCGATACCACAATATAAATTCCAGGAACATTACATTCATTTCATATAAAAATGCACTAATACAGTGAATACACAATGTTACGTTTATTTACGTACTTCCTCATCTGTAGTTTTTCCACTTTATGTTCTTCTACTTGAAACTTCAGTTATGAGTTGTGTAAAGTGTATGTAAATTTCCATCGATTTTTATCAGTATATGTAGCCTTTTGGCATGATTTCGCATATAAAATATTTAATATAACATATAGATGATGTACGTAAGCAATAGAGTTTCCCATTTTTATTTACTTGCCAAGTCGCATAGGTGCGTTATTTATACGTGCAAAAATTACGCGTAGCATCGGTTAAGAGCCACTGTATTAAATGATAATATTAATTCATGTTTTACAAATTTATCACAAATTTCTGCGCGATGTTTCATGGGTCTTTCCGTGGTAGCGTTTAATTTTAGACCGTTCACGTTTAAGTAACTAGTAAAGTCAACAAGAGTTGTTGTTTTTTTTTTTTTTACGCGGCGAGTCAGGAAACTCGGCAGAATCTCGCACCAAACACAAAGACCCTTGTATATTTCATTCACGGGTTAAACGCGTATAACGTCACTTGGCTTCGCACGTAGTTCACAAGCATTTATTCCCAGCTTCGTTAATTTTCCCGAGAACTGTTAAGAATGGTTTTACGATGTTGTCCCGACGTTAATCTTTATTGCTAGGAAAGAGGTATTCAATGACATCGATCTTCCAGGGAGAGGATCGTGAACTCGGCGTCGGAGGAATTTCCATCCATAAACGATGAATTAAAAAAGGAAGATAGCGAAGATAAGGGGTCGAAAAGGAGGGACTCTGGATTTTGGGAGCTTGAAGCGGATTCTCGCGGTAATTAAATCCGTAAAGTCGGTCGTTAAAGGAGTGATTTAAATATATGAGACGACGTTTGCCCAATCGCTATCGAGGAGACGTGACGTTTGATGGAAACATGATGCAAATGGGATCCACACACGTCCTTTGGATCGAAGGCTCTTGCGTTCGTTAAAATTTAACCCAGATTTACAAGGAGAATCTCCACGGGGAATTGTTAAACCCAGTGATCCTTGTCTGATTTCTACACGAGGTTGAGTCGAAAAGTTCAGGGCGTGACATTTCGCTGGGCTAGGGGAGAAAATGTACAAAATTAATTTCGCCTTGCCTAAATCAGCCCATAGACATTTCCCTTATCATTCCTTTTCATATGATGATTAATACACCTAATTTCATCGATATGATTTAATAAGTTGAAAGCCTTTTTTATAGCGTAGAAAAATATCACCGATGTTTAACTGAACTTACTTAATTGTTTGTAGAGTAGAAAGATGTATTGCAACAAAATTACTTACTGTAATAGCACGGTGTCAGGTCCGAGAGTCCTCTCTTCAAGCACTTCTTCATCTTCCGGCAATAACACTCGTTCTCGGGATTCACATCCGGCGTATCTAGGAAGTTGTCCGAAAGACTGTACAGATATCCTCGGAATCCATCTTCGGTGATCAGTTCCTCCTTGAAGTCGATCGGCAGGGTTCGGCAAAACGCTTTTCGGAAAACTCGAAAGACAGCGGTTTTGTCCAGATTCGGAGGGAAAAGGGCGCCTTCCGTCGCTCCCAGGATGCGATTGCAGATTGTATTCCTGTGGAGAAATATTTTATTGATAAGGATCGCGTTCAACTCATAAAAGGAATTATGTAAAATTCTCCCAAAAAATGATAAATGTTTCATCAAAAAACGGAAACTGGGTCATTGTTACCCGATACCACCATATAAACGCGCACCAAAATTTTCTCTCATCTCTATTTTTTTTCTCTCCGATTAATAATAATAATTGCAACTACCTAGGTGAGGAAATGGTAAAGTTTCAGATTGCATAGGAATACTATTTTTAGAGAACGGGTTACCTTTCCCGTCGACCCAATTTCTATTTAAGGGTTAATGAGTGGAAATGAATTATAAGAAATTAAATTTAATAAGTGATTATTTAACCAGAGACCAATAAACGACATGCAACACGAGGTGCAATCAAGATGCGTCGCAATTTGTTTACGGCTGTCCGAGACGTCTTTCGTAAATTTTCTGTCCTCGACTGTCGACACATTTATGGGTCTTAATTACAAATGTCAACGTGCCATGCTTTCAACTCGTTCACTGACGAAACCGGGCGGAAAATTAGTCCGTCGAATATAGAAAGTCCAGACAAAACCTTCATTTGCAATTTTAACGTCCCTTTCATTTTCGACATATCTTCTTTCACCCGTTAATTGCATAATTAGAAACTTACGCCGGATTAGGCTCATTATTCTCTTCTTCGACGTATCCCCAGTTAGATAATCCTGGACTCCCATTGTACGATTCGATGCTCAAATATCGACCGTTTTCATCAGTCATGTTTTCATTTTTCTTCACATTCATATTGATCACGTTCTCTCCTTCATCGTACATCTGTTAAAGAAATAGTCCGTTATGAATTAAAAAATCAATATTAATATTATATGGTGAAGGATATTTTTCACACGAGTTCCTACGAGTTGCTGAACAATCGTCATACAGAACTATCATTTTGTTTGACGAAGTTGTTCCTCAAACAGCATGTGTCATGGGCAAACTATGTCAACAACGTTGGACATATCCTTTTGCGTTTTTTTTTTTTCTACCAAGTAATGATATGCACACGCGATATGTCTAGACCACCTAACATCGCAGTTATCCGCGTTGCTACGAAAAAGTACCGCTTAAATAGATTTCACTTTTAAAAGCCCTAGACTTTACTCTTTCTCGGGGATGTTGACTTTTGTGAGTAATGCTGGTCCATCGTTGTTGACTTATTCGGTGGAATACCGAGGAAGATATTAGCATAGACTATTACCATCGCAACATCCTGGCGTATCCTTAAGGTCAATACTGCAACTGCACTAAACAACGTGCTATTCGGTTTATTTAACTTTCCTACCTTGTAAGGAAACAATCGACCCGCCGCCATTTTCTGCCAATAACTTTTCTAATAGAATCCTTCGCAGGGTGAATTAAAAAATGCAAATGGATCTTAGATATTTCTCCTTTAAGCCTCAGCCCTAACATAAAATCTAGCGAATTTAATTAACCCCCGAATGTTTACTTCTAATAGTCCCAATTCACCCTCTATTGGCATCGACTTGACATTTATTTTTATTTACAGCCCGAAGAGTGGAAAATATCAACGCACTGGCCTGAACTCGTGGAATCGTTAGAAGGGTTTATTTTCTAGGTCTCTTGCCAAACGTTTCTAGATGCGTGTCGAGGGGAGAGAAAAAAATGGCAATTACTCGGCGACTTGCAGTAACTGGATATTACGACACATTCTATCCGAACTGCTACTGGTTTTCGCAATGACTCTTGTACGAGTCCTTTCACTGCATCAATTGGTTCAGTTCATGAAGTTAATATCGACAGATATGTGTCTATCAGCCTCCTTCCAAAATAGATGTCCGCGATATGATAAAAGGTAAGAATAACTTAATTGCTAAAGACGATCCGAACGATCGCGAAGGTTCATAGATGATGATTTATAAAATAATATAATACGACAAACAAATTTTCTTAATCGTATTTCTAGGTCTGGCAGAAACATTCCGTGTATCTCGAAAACCAATCGAGAACTTGATGTCTCTATTTCACTCGACACGGAGACGTTTATTTCAGGTAATCATTCGCGTGACATTTCAACAATTTACCGTGAAAGGTACGCCACTTCAGCATCCTTGTGACATTTTCATAAAATGAGCTTAACAATTGCTGGCTCCCTCTCTAACAATTTTCACGTAATAAGAGCACCGCCGAGGTGGCGGTAAACTATTTGCAATCCCACTGACATTGACCAGTAATGCATTTTCCCTCTTTTGCAGAGATTCAGGGCCAGATAAGGTTAATGCAATCCTAAGCTGTCTGGTTCTATTTTTATGTTTATCTTTTATCATTCTCATTTGTTTCTTTTTCTCCAGTTTGGAATGACGCAGGGAGAGTCGTGATAGTTCTATTTTTATGTCCATTATCGCGCATTCTAACTTTTTATTCACACACGCGCAGTTTGAAATAGCTTATCAAATGCTTAGAGTTCTATTTTTATATTTATTGTCTGCCATCCTTTTATTCAGTTTCGAGTAGCGTATGGAGCATTGTGACGGTTCTATTTTTATATTTATTTTCCGTCATTATAACTTTTTGTCCGGTTCGGAATGACGCAGGAAGCGGCGAAAGAGTTCTATTTTTATATTTATTCTCGACCGTTCTAATTTTTTGTTCGCACAGTCTGAAATAATGTATGAAGCGCCGAGAGAGCTGCACGATCACGATTATTCCATATCGCTTTTGGATACTTCTGGGTTGTATTATTAAAAAATTGTCTCGAAGAAAGACGTTCCTTTTTCTGAGGGGAATTTTAGATTTGCGCAATGGCGAAGATGTTCATGGATGCGACTAAACGCTGCCAAGGATCCGTCAAAGTGAGATTTTCCGTGCCAGGCAAAGCACGCGATTCGTTGACGAAGAGTAAAAGAAAAGAAAAGGAATGACATTAAGAGCACGCAATTATCGTCGGTACAGCACGTGGAAGAAAAATTCCTACGCGGGTTATTTTCTCTCGACGAGCGTCGTAAGGCGAAAAAGAAATTCCCTACTGCAAAGATAGTAAGCTCTAACATTAGGTTTCGACATATGTTTCGTTAATTTCAGGTAAATCCAAAAGGTGTTACTTACCCTATCGAGTAGACCAAATTTTCGGAAATTGACGAAACGAGGAACGATCCCACTGGCCAATCTAACTAGAGCATCCTCATAGCCCCACAAATAATCGTACACGGAAATGTTTAGAATTGGTTTGCTGTCGAGATAGTTGGCCAGTCTTGCAAACGGATAGTTAACGAAAAATCCGGCATCGTGGATCGCCGACGAAATTCCCTGCGAACAAGGCGAAAGAAACTTAACAACACAACGAGGATTTCCCTTTAGGGGAGATGATTAATGATCCTTAATGGCGTGGCGCAAATGATTTTACGAGCTGTAAAAATCGCCCAGTGTCTGTACCTCTCCGATAAGGCATCTCTCATTTGGAGAGGAGATAAAAGGATAAAGAATAAAGTAGAAAAACACGATCAATGCTGCCGAACTACGCTCGTCCGGTTCTTCGAGTTTTATGTCGGAGTCTTGTAGGTTGACTCCTTCCTCTTCAAGGTCGATCGACTTCTCAAGGCCTCATTCATGTCTCTTTCGTTTTGCCGGAATTTCTCCGGTACGATCGGGATTTGCTTCGGTTTTTCAGAAATGAAAGCGCGACTAGACGCAAACTGGTTCGAGACCGGTCTAGATTATTTTTATGGTCTAAAACTATTTCTTGAGACACTCGGCGGAATTTTCGATTAAGCTTGAAGGGAAAGAAGCATGACATTTCTTCGGGATTGAGAAATTCTCAATTTGCTCGCTTACTTCCGAGACGGAATTAATAATCGACGGGAAATTTACTTCATTTTACCCAGACATTGTTAAAAATGTTTTGTACATTCCTGTAATTTGAGTGTTTTGTCAATTTCACTCTAGATTTTTTACATGCTGAGGGTGCAAAGTTATACAAGAATTATAAATTCGACCCGGTTGATCTTAATACGCCACGTTCATAAATTGATGAACGCCTTTCTTTTTGTTTTATTAATTTCGTGACATTCTAGCGGAAATTTGTTCAGTCAATTTGTAAAGTTATTTTTGTTACATCAAAAGTGTTCTTTGATCGGATGAGATGCGTCATGCTCTACGGGTGTATTTTTATTGAGCATGCATTGAATGAAAGGTTCGATACGTATTTCATGTATTTGTTATATTGCTTTTCTTTTCAACGGTGTAGGCGAAATTTTTAAAAACGTAGTTGGATATCTCCTTTAAACATTTCTTAAGGATTCTCGAATGTCATCTATGAGCCCTGTCGACTGGCATACCTAATTACAGGTGAAAGAAAATAATACGCCTGATTGTGCAATCGCATTAGCATCACGGAAAACTGCACGCAAGTGCAAAAGTATAAACAACTTTTTTCGCCCTGCCTTTGACATATGGCGGTCTGCACTGTTTATTAATTTCTAATTATTTTTTACATCCCGCGGGTTAAGCGGGTTAAGTTTAATGATCTTCAACAAGACGGCTCCTAATAGCTTGATCCTCCGATACTGAGAAATAACTGCGTGAACAAAGTAACGTGCGCTTATTCAATTGCGCGTCTTAGCTCAGGGCGAATAAAATGAAAATAAATTAAATGGCCAATCAATCATTGGAAAAATTTTGCAAGCCATAATATTTTTCAAAAAGTGTAATAAACTCATGGAAGATGTATTGGAAGTTTTATACGGCATGCCAAATTTATAATACACGTTTTTCAATTCTACAGATTGGTTTGAAAAATGTCAACGTTAATGAATTTAAATGGTCGAATCTATGAGATCGATAAAGTTAAACGAGTGTTGTCAAAGTTTAAAATAAAAAAAGGTCGTTAACTGATTACGTCGGTTCTGGAGGGTACTTTTGCACCTGCCGATTATTTTACGAGAGCAAGTAGGATGCAAGAATTGCGTATGCAAAGCTCGTTCCATGCAAATTTCCACGAGTGAGGAAACCGTCCGGTGAGAATAATGCCCACAAAAAGAGAATGAATAATCGCATTAGGTTTTCGTGACGAAAGAGTCACGAAAAACCGCCGCCTGTTTAATCGATAAACCCGTATGCAAGGTGAAAAGGGGAGAGAAAGAAAAACCGGCGAGATGTGAACAAAAAAAAACAAGAAAAAACTCGGAAGAGCGCCGAACAATTGATTTATTCCCCTCATTAATTCTGCCATTATACGATTACGTGTGCCATCCTTTCGGTTATACATTACCGACTACAGAGGTCGCTATAAAAACTGATTGGTAAAAAAAAAAAAACTAACTCGAATTCATATGGAAATTAATGGGTGCAGACGTTATATCTGAGACATCGGTTTCTAAGGAACGGAAAAATGAGAACCGCGCCAAGTGCGTTTGGCGAAGCGCGCATTCGCCGGAATGTCTTTACGGAAAATGTCGGAAAGCTTGAAATTTCATACAATTTTAATTCATTCGAGCTTTCACGAGACAGATTATCGTGACGTCGGAGAAAGTATCGGAATGTTGTAAAATCCATCGGGTAATTGTACCGTGCAGATTGCAAAAACGAAGAAAAACGCGCGCTTTCAATAAAAAGCACACATTGTATACGTATGTAAGTCGAGATAATACTCATGATAGTATCGAGCATTTATCATTACCTCAATCATTGCGGTTATCATAGAAACAAAGAAACCTACCATTCAAGTCCCAGTCGGTCACTTTTTACTCTCTAATTCGATGGAGCTTTAATATACAATCTTGCTCGAAGTGTCAACTAGAAACATTCACGATATTTTTCCGCCACTCGGACATTCTCATGCTCGTATAAAATGTTTCCTTGAGTTCCTTATTATTAATTATTTACACTCGCCGCGACGTTAATGCAAATGTCGCAATTTTTGTACCGACCTAAGAACTAGCGAAATAAAAAAATAAACGTTATCCTACGAGACTCTCGTTCGATGTACACGTATGACTTTATTATTAGAATTCCTGGTTTTTGTGGTCTAGTTTCTGAGTTTTTCGTGTATAATCGCTTCGAGAACGTATGTGAGTAATGCCGTGTTTTTATAATTAACGAACAGTTAAGTCACGTGATAAGATTCAGGGAAATTATTTAACATTGACGAAACCAATCGAACGTATCTAATCGTTAAAAATTGTTCCAAAAACGATTTCCTCGCAATCTGACGTCTTTGAACTGCGCAGTATTTCGCTACTTTGTAGAATACTTTATAGTTCGCAGCGATACGTCGACATAAACACTTATTTATAATTCTAACGAGTATTGACAATACTCGGATTAGGTATTATCCGCAGCTTCGCGATTGTTTATGCCAGAGAATATCTGCATAATGCAAAGAGCCGGTATTTTCGACGACACTATTAATTCGATCTACTTCTGCCTAATCACGCTCGATGAGGAAAATTTTCCCTACTCGGATATTTGTTTATGCGAATTAATTAATTAATTATTGCACGTCTAATTGGAATCATAAATTGCGTATCATTCAGCTCGGTGTATAGGTATTGGTGAATTCTATTAAGGTTACTAAGAAATGAATGTCGAGTTCCGCCGCTTTAAAAATTTCGCAATTTGAAATGTGGAGTAATTCATATTTTTATACTTACGAGCATGGGTATATTAGGCACCATCACAATGTCGTCATCAGGATTGCCGACGGACATTTCAGGAATGTAGAGTACAGTCCTCTTCGGTGAGTACGATAACGTACCGTTATCATGCCACCTGATATTCTGGTTTTCTAAAATCTCCCTGAAAATTAGAGCAATTTCATATCGTTAAAAAGTGTTTATTTGAAATTCACGAAATCACGCGCATTAGATTTTACTCATTTCATTAAAAAAAAAAACAAAACAAAAAAAAGATGATTTAAAACTCATGAAGCCGCGTGCACTCGATTGTACTAATTTAATTTTAAAAATATCGATTTAAAATTCATGAAGCCACGTGCACTCGAATGTACACATTTCATTTTAAAAGATTTCCATTTAAGACTTATGAAACTATGTGCACTCGAATTTAACTCACTGATATACATAAGGTCCGACTTCTTGAAGTTGAAGTTTCTCCTCGCCGTTCAGAAACTCCACTGGATTAGTAATATTAAATATGTACACCTTGATGAAGACGTCTATGGGCGGCTTCTTCCATAACGTGAAGGCCATAGATCCAGGCACCATTTGAAGTTTCTGAAAGTCAGATTTTCTCATCAGAAGTAGTTCCCCTTTTCCTCAATCTTTCCTTTTATTTCAAATCCGGATAAAATAAACTTACGTGCTCCAACAGTGCCTGGATGGGGTTAATCACATAAACAGCATATGCCAATGCGCTGGTGATAATGCTCACCATGAACAAAATGATACATTCTAAACAATCAAATAAAAATATCAGTAAGATTACGAAAAAACGCTTCTATAACCAATATCATATAGGTAGTACAATTTGCCAAAATATCATCATAAAAGTTCCCAGGCAACGATCTTTCTCTACGTTTGCTGAATATTCATTATATTATTATAGGTCATAAATTACGCGTCATATCGGAATTTCCCGTATCGCAGGACGAAGAAAAAGAATTCGCAAATGTCGTTCACCTTGTCTGTTCCGGTCGGCTGTTAAAAAAAAAAAAAATAAAAATAAGAGGATAAAGGTAAAAGATACACTTATCGCACTCGAGGAGACATTGCCTAATCCGGCGTCGAGATCACCGCGGGGTGACCTTACTCGGCATTTTCGTTTGCCACTCCACAAAATCTCGATTCATAACTACGTCGGCGACTTTCTTCCCCGCAAATGGCAGCCAGTTTCTCGCATGTCGATCGCTTGCATAACTTAAATTTTTCCGGCAGTCTATTTGTCGATGAATTGCACTTCTTCTGCACGCGGAAGCTTAAAAGTGCCTGGTTGCAAGTATCGCCCATATTTTTTTTCTTCTCGAGGCCACTTATCGTTCGATTATGAAATTTCCTGCTTTGGGGAAAGGGTTCCAAGTGAATACTGATTAACAAATTGTTTTTACTGTGCCAGATATGAAGACATTGTTAGAGCAAAATGACGGGTAATGAGCATTATGATTCGCGGACTCCAAGAATTACTAATGTTTTTGAGGTGTCACGGGGTGATCAATTCCTTCTGTAATTGATGACTCCTATAACAGTTATGTAAATACAGCATGGCACGGTGAAATTGCATCACGGTTATGTAACTATTACATAAATGTTGCACGCGTGTTTTCCGATCAAATTGACTGGACGCGTTTAATTGTAAATTCAAAACCTGCATTCGGCGAGGGAGCAAAGTGAATGGTGGCCAGAATTCATATCCAAAATTCCGCATGTGGAGTGTACGTCTTAACCTATGCACAGTTAATGACGTAACGTGGGCGTACATCATCCAATTTCTGTCCAAACCAGCTAAGGACGCATCAGGTAACTCGACTCTAGTGAAAATGCCCAAAGTGAGCACCTACCGCGACTCTGTACCTTTTGCGATAGTAAAAATTTCAGATACGTCGCGTGAGACTACCCGACCAGAAATATCGCGTCGAATAACGAGATCTCGACCGAGTTTTTTCATCCTGAAGATTTCACATTTTCACTCGGAGGATACAGAATCGGGTAAATAAACTCACGTGAGGTGACAGTGCGAGAAATGAGCACTCTCGCCAAAAATACAGAATCGACCCTCTATGTGTATGTGGAACTTCCATGACTGCGAATATAAGTTCCACTTTCTGATACTAATCACGTGACAGTGTCCATGGTTTGAAATCAAAAGCTGCGAGTTAGATAAAACCACTTTTACGTATATTCATAAGGCGACAGAGTCTGGGTCAAATAAAACACCTCATTGCTTATAATCCGAGCTAGACACGAATTTATGGGTATATAATGTCGCACGTGTCAGGCCTCGCGTTCTGGTGGCCGACATCTGCGCGTTGTCCACTTTTTCTCCCCTCGAATTAACGATCTTGATCTTTGATTCTCGATCGACTTTGCATCGAAAAGCCCCCCGCAAGGCGGGCGAGCTAGACGCTCACCTTGGCTTATATGTTAATCGATCAATGATGGCGATTAAAGATCCACTTATTAAGGTTCCTCCCGGCCTGGCAGGCTTCGATTTTGGCACGCCCGAAGGTAACTACCGGATATCGCGATGGCGGCCTCGACACAAAACCCATTAATGTCGCCGTTTATGTTCTCCGACAGACACGAAAACGACGTGCTGAAAAATTAAACCACCCTTCCGCCTGCTTCGAAGGATATCGAGGGTATTGCGACAGCGCCGCAGCGGCCATCTTTGTTTCTCGATGTTTTCCTACATTGAAACGATTTCGCTTGTCCATTTTCGTCGGGTCGTCAAAATTGCTTATCAAGATTGCAAGACTACCTCTTTGATCCGATCGATTCTTAAAGAAAAGAGTCTAATCCTCCATTCTGCTCTATCGCTTTCGAAAGATATAGAAGCCATTGCGACAGCGCGATTACCCTTCCGCGATAACGCCCCGGCGGCCATATTTACTTTTCGACGCTTTCCGAGATTGAAACGACCCTACACATCAACATTTGCCGAGTCGTCGAAATAGCTATTCAAGATTTTCAAGAGCGGTGGGCGACCTCTTTGACCCGAAAGTCCTTGATGGACGTTTCCGCGATGGCGAATATGCCATTGAATATTCACGCGGTGCCTTCTGTTTATCAATTCATTTACCATATCTCATTGAGATTAATTATTACATCAGAAATGATTTCGGAGATTATTCCCGAAGGATGTTTCCGAGATATCGATTGTGGGATCAAGCTAGGAATTTAAGACAAGCCAGAATACCATTTAATATATGGTAAGTTTAAATCCTCAGATTTTATTAATATTAATTATCCTATCTCCGTATTTAATTTCAAGGATCATTCCCAGTGTACAATTTCCTTAGCATCGGAAGTTCTATGAAATTTTAAATTTATGGAGGAAGTCTTGTTAATGAATGACACGTTACTCTATAAACATAAAGACGTTCTGCGCAAAAGGAACAAGAAAAAGGGAAGAATGATAAATAACGACGCCACGTCAAGATTGATTATCATATCTGAATAGGTGCCGAAGATGATTTCAGGGATCACAGAGAATACCTCTTCCGACATGTTTGAACGGCGTGACTTTTGACACTCGAATGAATGGGATATGCTGTTTTTTTTTTAACGTCAGAGGCCTACACAAGTTTTTGGGTGACGATCAGTATGCATTAACATTCCGGCTACGTAAACGAACCTCTTTTTACCCCTTCTTGGAGCTTCGAGTATCTCGTGCCGAATACAATTACTCACTCGTTAAAATTACTATTAAACGTGCGATTACTTATTTCGTGGACCTCTTACTCAGGAAGTTCATATGAGCACTTGTTATCACGAAAATACGCACCTCGTTTAGTGAAAGAGAAGCCGACCAGACGACAAAGATAGAATTAGGGGATTAAATCCTTTCGACCTATGCGGACTTTTTGTTTGTGGAAGAAAAAAATAGTGATAATCAGTGATTTCCTACGACCCATTATTACTCCTTTTTAAGAAATTCTCACGGGCAGAGAAATAAATTCTCTGCTTCGAAGGAGGAGGTTAAATGTCCACGTTAAATGTTAACCGCAATTTTGAGTTTTTTTTAAAGTGCGATTTATTTCCGCGAACTCTTTCTTCAATTGTTTGTTTTGTCGATAAAATTTATGCATGAAAACGGTTCAATTTAAGGAATTTAATCCTTTCCACCTACGCAGCTTCTTTTAAGGAAAAAAAACTGGGACGATCAGCGATTTCTGATAATCTATTATTATTCCTTTCCGCGAGTTTCTCACGAGTAAAGTTGGGACAAATTTTCTAATTCGAGAAACGTTCAATTATCGAGAAATGTTAAATGTCATTTTGAATTGGTCTTCTCAGTTGTGATTTATTTCCAGCAACGTTTTGTTCAATGTTTACCTTGTCGGTAGATTTAATTCATTGCTAATCTGGTAGTAAAGTTGAATTTAAGAAATAAAGTCTTTACCATTTATGTAAATTTCTCCTTTAAGAAAAAAAAAAACAAATAATTCTCATTCGTTTCTCAGGAACAGAGTAGAGAAATAAATTCGATTCCTCGAGGAGCGCTTGAATATTCAAATTAAATGTTAGACACCATTTTAAGCTTGATTTTCAAACGCAATTTATTTCCACTAACTATTCATTCAATTTTTCACTTTGTCAACAGAATTAAATCACCGCCTGATAGCAAAGACAAGATTAAGAGATAAAATCTTTCCCAATTAAAGATTTCTTCCGAGGAAATTCGTGATCGGTGGTTTTTATAAATCTTTTAGGTAGAATTACTATTCTAGGGCTTCTCACGTGTAAAGTCTGGAAATAAATTGGCCATCTCGAAGAACATCCGGATATTTACGTTAATTTGTTACATGCTATTTTAAGCTTGCTTTTCGAGCGCGATTTATCTCCACTAACATTCCCTTGAAATTTTCAACCGATCGGCAGAATTAAATCACCGTCAAAGACGCAATCAAAAGAGATACCGCCTCATCTGCTTTCCGTTCACTCACGCGGTCACCTGATTAAATGACCTCATGAAAAATTATTAACAAATGCTACTAAATATCGCACTATTTAAAAAAAACTATGGAAAACATGAGATAGAAATGTACAGATTATAGGAATTTTTCCGATCAATTGTATTATCGTTACTTATCCCACTGTAAATAGATAGCGGTCATGTCCTCCAATTTGCTCGCATCGTTTAATTGCGCGATTGCAGTAACTGTCACGTAATAACAAATAATCACAGAGTTTCTTGATAATGAGTTCACCCTGGTATGCAGAAACAATCTGACCTTGCACACTAAAATTGTTGCCGATCGAGCCGGTATTGATAATAGTATTAATAGTACTCGGGAAAATCGCCATTTTGAATGATTAAACGATTTCCCAAGAACGTGAGATTAATTTACACCGATTAAGTGATAATGACAGGCCGATTTAACACCTTGTCAAATGGTCGAGAAAACGAACTGCTTCGATCTTGGAATAATCGTTGGCATGTGGATATTTAAAAGCCCCGTAGTTAATGCATAAACGATGGAGGATTATTTATTCACTGCACTGGTGACATTAGATGAATAATGTACTACTGAACAAAGACAGTCATTTTTAACTGCGATGTAATTGTAGTGGACGGACTCATTTACTCATTTGTTTGTGCAAAATGTCATCTCATTATTCAGGATTTATTTAATTATTGTATAATCCCGCGTTTACACGACTTCTCGACTAAATTAGATGTCAAAGCACGAAATAAACGAGACAAGCCAGTTGTTATCGTTACCATTCCAGATGATTTTAATAGCTAATGGCTCAATTATGAGTCCACCTGAGTGTGAAAAAAAAAAATTAATAATCTCGAGGAAAAAATCAAGACTTACGGATTCTTGGAGGAGGTAATAGAGTATTTCCAATTCTGCGTCAAGGAAGGAATTAAATACAAGAATGATAACTCGAACGTGTTGAAAAAATGATTTATGCTATGAGAGACTAATGAGGCTATAAAATATTCCTGTCGTCGAAAAAACAAGAGAACATAAAAAATACTAATCAGAAATTATGTCCACTTCTTCGAGCAGTAGACGTATTTGAGTCGTCAATCGATTGGAATCATTATATGTTGATTAACATATTAATGGCACATATTACAACATCGAAATTTAATTTTTGCTATAATAATTCGACTTCTATTATAGAAGTGTGAAGACAACCATTACCTATTGTAATTGAATTATATGTTATCAGTTCAGATATATGTGTGTAAACGAGACGTAAATATCTGCGAAATGGTTTTAGACTTCGTACATATTTATCGACATTATTACTAGTAAACAACTTTCTTCCAGTTGTATCAATTCCTACGCAATTCTCGTGACGTTAATCTCTAAGATTTGTCAACGATAAGGGACGACGAACAATACTTATCATAATATCCTCGCAAATAGTCATATCGGTGACCTGAACGGCATTATAAACATTCTGCGTTAATCAAGTCCCATTACGAGGGAAAAAAATGAGAGGCTAAGGCTACAATAGAGACGTCAGGGAATAATAATCTGAAAAAGAGACGAATAAATGAGAATCCGATCGGGCCAAGGAACGCAACCGGCCATCACGGAGCAAAATCACCTTTTTCTTCATTTTTTTGATCCATTGTCAAGTGTGTGCCGAGGTTCAAGGTGATGCAAAAAGAGAAGAACGCGAGAGTCTCGAGATCCACGACATCCTAATTTATTACACGTAATCCTTGCTTGGATGGTCAATGACGTAAACCTGAAGACCCGAGGAATTCCTTTCATACGATTTTTATTTTGCTTCCTCATATGACGTCAAGTTCGCAGGGTGCAAACGCCCACGTTGAGTGTTATCGAAGTACTAAATGTAGAGTGAAGTGATTCTAGGGGGCATAAATTTTAGGTGAAGTCATCACACCCAAGAGGAATTCTAAAGGTGTCTATGAGGTTTTATATTATTTTCTAATTTTTTGTCAGGATGAGGACCTGAAGAATTTCATTCAATTGATTTTTTTACCTTCCTCTCGTGACGTAAAGTTGTCAGGGTGCAAATGTCTAAGTTGAGTGTTATTAAAGTACTACATGTAAAGTGAAGTGATTTTGGGTGGCATCAATTTTAGGTGAAGTTATCACAGTGAAGAGGAATTCTAAAGATGTCTACGAGGTTTTATATTATTGTCTAATTTTTTTTTCTTTCAGGTAGAGGACATGAAGAATTCAATTGAATTGATTTTTTTTGCCTTCCTCTCGTGACGTAAAGTTCGCAAGGTGCAAACGTCTAAGATAAGTGTTATCAAAGTACCAAATGTAGAGTGATGTGATTTCAGGTGGAGTGATCATCATTCGCGTGAAGTCACCTCCCTCAAGAGGGATCTTAAACATGTCTATGAATTTTTACATTACCTTTCAAATTTTTTCCCAGAAATAACACTCCAAGAACTCCTTTCAAACGATGTTTACTTTTCCTTCCTCTCGTGGCGTATGATTCGTAAAGCATAATCATCAAAATTAATTGATTTTAGACTGTTTGAACGACACACGTGGAGGTATCATTATTCTCAAGTCGTCCATGAATTTATAAATTGTTTTTAATTTTTTCTTCGGGACCGAACCACGGCACATTTTATTCAAATGATTTTCTACCCTTCTCTTGTAACGTAAACCTAGCAGAGCCTAAATATTTATACCGAGTGTCATTGAATTACCAAATGTACGGTGGAGTGATTTTTAAACTACGCGAATGACAACAATCGACACGATTATTAATTCAAGTGAAGTCAACTCGCTGTTTACGAATCCTAAAGTTGCCTGGGAAGCTTTACGATATTTTTCATTCTTTCTTTTGGAAAAGAGTAAAAACAAAATGGGTCTCGATTTCGGGAAGGATGCACTTAGTACACTCACTTTTATACTGCTGTATCTCGATCGCTGTTCTCATGGTTGTGACCTGAATCCACGCTCCTTCTCCTGCGATTCCTTTTTTCCGCCACCTTGACTCTTAGACCCTGAAACAGTAGCATTAAGGTTCTACGATCAGTCGGAAGGAAAAAAAAAAGATCTTACGTGTAATTGTAGCACGAAACATGGACAACCTTAAACAATTACGGCCGTTCAATCGTATATTGACGCGAATGCTAATGTGTCGATAATGTATCTCGCTGGTCGATCAGCAAGATTATCCGATCAACCGAGGACTTCCAAAGCTCGGACAATAATATTTTCCCCTTGTTCCCATTTTTTTATGACCCTCCATTGGATGAATCTTCGTCTTAATCTATACATTTTTTAAGTCCAACATGATTTTTCCGGAAAAACTGAATATACCACTCCTCTTAACTAAGGAATTTACATATAAATTGGAGATTCATAAACATAATTTGTACAAATTTATATCAATTGTAAATAAATAAGCAAATAACTCGTTAATATCTGAAGTTGAATATTTTCAAAATATTCTGTTCGAATAGGAGAAATTGGGTTGCTAAGGGTTATTGATATTTAGTCGGCACCTTTGACAGGGTAATTTTGACATTTTCGGTCCTACTGTAGTTTCGTAACATATTTTGTCACTCCCGTTTGCAGAATTACGTCACGGGCAGCTTCCTATGTAGTAACCGTGGAAAATTATCTAACCGTTAGTCGGTCGAAACTTTCCTTTTCTCAATCTTTCACGTCGCTTTGGAAGTAGTACAGACTGAATTAACCACCTGTATATTCAGGGTCAATGTGAAAGTCTGGACCCAAATTGGGATGACCATGTCGACATATATTCGACTTTCTGTGACCGTACAACCTTTTCGCGGAATTTAATATCTATCGAGTGATTTTATCTTCCTATGCGAAAAAAATGCAATTGTCCCAAAAAATGAAGATCTAAAAAAAAAATACTTTTAGAGCAATAGTGAAAAATTAAATACTGACATAAATTTCAAGACCCAAGGGCGTGAAAAACATAAGATGGAAAAATTACAAATTAAAAACTATATAAATACACGTAACATTGTATATTTACCATATTAGTGATTTTCTACTTGAATTAAATGTAATGTAACATTGTAATTTCCAATTAACTTATCTTAGACGTCGAATGTGATATTAGAGACAATGTTATTTTACTGCAATTTATTGTAGCATCGAAATAACCAATGATTATGTAAATTTCCATGAGCATTTTTATCAGTCCACGATTCTGTTTAACTGATGGACTTTTTTCAATCATGTGCAATGCTAATTGTATTTCAATGATACAAGCTGTATATATTTCACGGAGAAAAAGGTGCAATTCGTGGGAACTCTTTAAAAGGCGTTTATAAATAATTACCGCTGTTTCTGAGAGTGAAAAACCTGATATGTGACCTGAAGAAAAAAATTCGAGATGTATTTCACTTTTAAGTATTATCGTGTAGCGTATTAATTGACGTATCTGTTTCTCCTCAGGAATAACATTGTGTGGTAAAGCAAGTTCTCTTCTCCTTATTTAATTGCATCTTTTCCTGACTTAACGATGAAGATCACATCCACGAGATCGAACGATTAAAAAGTATTTCTTGGATTTAAGGGGCCGGTTTTAATATCGCGTACGCATATATTTATGAATTAAAAGTATAACCACTCAAATATTGAAAAATCCAGACATCTAAGAAATCAATAATTTGATAATTCATTCAATATACTACAAATATCAAAAGATATTAAAAGAGGTAGTGATTCAGTAACTGGATAATCCAATAATGTAATAATTCAATATTTCAAGGATTCAAAAGTTAGTAAATTCTTGATGTTTTGTCAAAGCGAGAGAGTCATCATTTTCTTGCCGGCGATTCCTGCAATTTTAACGCGATGATTCGTCGTTAAACGAGTAGCATTCCAAAGTGTTTTCCTAATCAAATTTGAATTTCCATGCGAAGTTTCAACACGAAGGAAGATAGTGCTAAGGAGGATAAATGTTATTTTGGAGATCCCGTTAACATTTTCTAACAGTCGCTGCATCATCGAGAAATCATCTGGCCGTCAATGAGTTAATTTCGATAAGACTCACGTCTTGCATAATAGCGGAAAACAATAAATCGTTCATTCACTTGCAGTTCCGTTGTCCAATGATTACGATAAGTTGACACATATTATCGAACGCGATTAAATACAAATATTAATCATGACAGCAGGACTGCTTTGGAGTAATCTTGACTTTGACTGTCTGTTGCGATTGAAATTGTTGTCATAATTAATATTATATAACTGCATTATTTGCATTTTGAAATTTCCGATTTATTATTGCCGAATTAAAAAGCTGATAAGGGACTTACAATAGCCTTGTTTTGATGCATGCACTTGGTGGCAACAAGATTATTAAAACGAGACTCGTACGATATAGTATCTCTCTTCATGAATGATTTAATGACTATCTATCGCTTTTCCCCCGAAATACTTCCCATTAAAGTGTCAATGACCGACGGCAATAATAAGTAATAGTCAAGCGATAAGGAACACTCTCTACAATTTTTTTTATCCATACCATCATAGATACTTTTCATTGTTACCATTTTAAGGAAAGAAATCCGGAAATAATTCGATCACTCGTCTACTGAAGAATTTAATTATGAATAATTTAAGAAATTATCTCAGTCATTGTAAAATTGATTAGGCGAGGACAATTAATTTAATTGTATCAGGAGGTAATTTAGACATTTATATCGACACCTTACGCTGCTTGGATTTTAAGGAAATTATGCCGAGAATAAGGAGATCATTATCTTCTATAATTTATAATTAATGTAGAATTTAAGTGTAGATGAAAATAAAACAAATATTACATATTGCGAAATTGACGAGACGAGGTTAATTGAGTTAATTTTACCAGGAGTTAATTTAACAACCAGTTACGAATCTCTGTTTGGGTTAACTCGTGTCTTATCAATCCGATGTTAAATATAACAAAGTTTACAAGTAAGCTGGATTACGATTTTTAAATCTCGTAGCTGATAGAGAATTGTGAAAGAGATTAATCACATGTTGTATATTAAGGCGGCTGTGCTTTAGTTTGATACATTAATTAATGTATTATGACGAATGTCATTCTTATATCGAACATTAACTTTGATCCTCGTGTCTGTTTACATTATGAAATTTTTATTTTTAACTCTCAGACCAAAACGTCTCAACATTGAAAGAAATGAATGGCTGATAGGTTATCCTTGAATAGCGATAAGAATTTCTTAAATTGCCTCTCTCTCTTTTTTTTTAACAGCTGATAGAGAAACGTGAATGATAGTCACATGTCGATATTAGACATATCTCGAATATTTCCGGAAATTCTTCGTTTTATCGACAAAAATAAAACCTCGATATCTGGAGAATGAAATTTTTAAAACTAAACATTTTTCAATGATTTAGCTCTCGTAATTTGTATTGCAGTTAAAAGGGAAATGGAAGATGAAACAGTCTTACGGTGCAATTTATCAATTTTGTAATAAAATAACGTTTAATAAAGCACTCACGAAATTTTGTCATCGTAAAGGAGAAAATGTTTTACGAAACAATTTATGAATTCGAGTGCCGGATAGGAATTTTCAAAAACACATTTGCGTTGTCAAAGTTCGATTCTAAAATCGTGAGTTATCGCAGAAAGATGCCCGGCTACAAACGTACGTTTAAAATGCGATAAATCATGATGTAAATGTCAAATTTTCAATCCCAAGTCCGGAGATATCGATTAGACAGGTAATCATTGTTGCAAAAACGCAAATTTCCTTTAACAATTTAGATATTTATCGCCATTTGTATAATCGTATTCAACGCTGGTAGGGAGGAAAGGAAGAGATGAACCCTCTTTTTATTTCCTGATTGGCAAAAAAAAAGAAACACGGAAGATGATATAGTGTCGAATTGCGTGATATCACGAGAAGCAAAATTGCCGATTATGCTATCCAGTAAGCTCGATGCCGAGAAAAAAGGAACTTCATGGTATAATTATTAGTGCTGAAACGAAGCAAGACGGCTTCAAACAGCTAGTTAAAAATATGCATCCAGAATTTATACTTATAGGAAGAAAAAAAAAACAATTCGTACCTATTAATGACGTGTGCTCGATGAGAAATAAAGCGGGTAATAAAGATTTCTTAGAACGACACATGCTAAAAAAATACCCACTGACCTTACCGGAACTTCGATAAGCGATAAACTTTTTCTGATACAAATCTAAAGTTCATAAAGGTGTTATTGAGAGTGACATAATTTTTTACGGAAGAAATTCAATAACGGCACGTAGACACGGCGTGACCTTTTAATCGTAATCTTACTCCGAGTTCAAAAATGTGTTTTTAGTTCTTTCACGTAAAAATGTATCTCCTGGAAAAGTTCAACATTAAAAATGGAGAAATTGAAGTCTTAGAAATCCAACGTCAGATGTTAAAGAATAAAAATTGAAGAGAGTAAAACAAGAACTCAGAATGGCGAGATTCACTTTTATTTATTCTTTATATTTCACTTATTATCTCATTTTCTCGTTCGAGTGAAGAAACTGTTTAACTGGACACAGATACTTTTTCCAGTTTTCAGTGATTCTTTTTTTCTTGTTAAATCAAGGAAAATAAAGGTCATCAAGGAGATTCAATGATGGACACCTCTTATCAAACACGTCGATCGTCGTTATCATGTCACACATCGCGAGAAGAGCAGTCTTTGACAAGATGCACGGTACTTATTTACGACAGACGCTTAGAAAACGGATATTAAGTATTTCTTGCAGGACTGCATGCCGCGAAGATATCTATCGACCTTCCAGCGAATGTCATGAACAAAATCCTTGTCACGATAGATATCAAGTCTCGAGAGCCATGGATTGACAAAAACTAATTTACGATATAATCGCTGGAAGTGCCATCGAATAAAAGAACATAAAGGTACACAGGTCGCGGATGCAATGTCTAAAATTAGTCTCCATGAACATGATCGACAGCTATGAACAAGAGTGATGAAAAAAATCCAATCGATAATTGCAACGCCGCAAGAATGTGTTTCCCAATTAAAAAAAAGAAAAGAATCCGCGATAAATTGTAGAATTATTGCCACAAATGCGGTATGTGTGATTTATCGCAATATTTACAGGAAGTCCCTATCTCGGTCGATCCGATTTTTCCTCTTTTTTTTGTATAAAGTAAACGTGTGCAACTTTTTTTTTTTTATTATCCGGGATAATAAAAGCCGATAATTACTGCGTTTTCATCTCTTGTCTCTCTCTCGTTTTTTTTTTTCTTTTTCTGTGAGTACTTGGTGTCTCAAGGAACTTGGCTCATTTCTCCGCGGACTTCGCGACCGAAGGTCGTCAAGACATTTATTCGGATTTCTGGCCGATTCGGTTGCACGACCGATTGACGAGCCTCGACCTTCTCTTCCCGAGGATTCGTCACGAGTCATTACACCGGTTCCTACTTTTCAGGAACGCACGTGACGTCTCAGGAATCGATAAAAAGTGAGAAACGAAAGCGCCGATCGAGGACGAAAATCCTCTCGAGCGAGGCCGAAGATCTCTAAGAGTTCCCATTTCCATAAAAAATGACACTTAGACATTTTTCTTTATTGGATTTCATCCCAATCAGGAAACTTTGATATCTTTGTTAAAGAGATGCCATTTATTATCATCGTCGTAAACAAATTTTGAATTTTTATTCGAATGGATGTAATGTTTATAAAGGTCATTTTATTTTTTTAAAGACATCACTTTTATGATGAATACACTTTGATAATTTTTTTTTAAGAATATCATATTTATTACAATTAATACATCAACACCTTTTTGGAGGATGTCATTTTGATCACAACCGGAACAATTAAACATTGATAAAAATTGATGTAAGTATTTTCTGGACGAACGGGTAAACTCGGCTGTAAATTCTCATGAATTCCTTTTATCGCGAGGTACAATAATTTCCTATCCCGCGATATGTTGTAATTAATCAGTATCGTTGTTTTGTACGCGATTCTTACAGTATTAATCATTTCGAACTGCGCCCCGCCTGTATTGGAAATAACGTTAAGAGATGCAAGAAGAGGAATGCATAGGAATACAAACGAAATTTCCATGACAAGTAGAATCATTATTCAAGGAAGAGCTAAGACTTGACACAGAAATTTGTCTTGAAAAGATTTAGTTACAGTCTGACTTCAACTGGTTGTAGAAAAATATTCCGGAAAATTACGGTTGATGATTGAATTTGCAAACCGAGTCCGGATCATTAAGGGTCGATTGGGCGAATGGTGATTAGCATGAAATTCCTTAGCCATGATTAGTTAATCTTGAGTTATTGCAATTCACGTTGCCCCGACAAAAGTTAAGCTAACCGAAGATTAAAATCCACTGTTTGGTACCTATCTGAAATCGGGCAATTAACCCTAATCTCGCGTTAAGTAATCCTTGATCAAGAATTCTAACTCGAAGGTCGGTGCAACTTGCCCGATATAGAAATTTCTTCTAAAATAATTTACACCACGAATGTAAATGTTGTGCAACAGGTGCTCCAAGTTCTCCTTATACCTGCACGTACCTTATAAAAAGTTAAAATTTGGTTTATAAATTTATAATGAAAAAATTAAGTTCTGGCCAGTCCAGACCCCAACGTATCAAATCACCACTGGGCAAGTTTCGTGTCAACTAGTACTTATATTTTAAATAAAATTTATATATACAACGCATATTTGTAAAAAAGGGAATTCCCACCACTCGTGGCACATAATCCAGTGTCCACGCGAAGCACTCATTTCCAAAAAATCTGTATTATGTATAAAGAAAAAAAAACAAAGGAAAGGCGAAGATTATTCGAACTCACTAAATGGATCTTCCCCGAGGAGTCCCGGCGCCGGGTGAGAAGCGCAGTCAGACACCCCGGTTGTCGCACCGCACCACAATGTAATCCCTGCCGAAATAGTTTTTCGCAAGTCCTCGAACCGGGCGAAAGCCCGAATCTCCCGTTCGAAAACTCCGAGGTGAGAGTAACTACAGAAATGACCGAAAACACGAGTCAGCGCGATCGAGCGGTGCACGCGAGTTGCATATCCGCGTCTCGAGATTAAGTGGTCTATGGTACTCGGAGCACGGAGGCCTACTGCACTCAGTTTTATACTCTCATCCAAGACGTAACCCCGGACTCTTCCTACCACTGCGCGACGGCTCGGGACTTTTGGGTGCACGATTTTTGCACTGATGGTTGGTCGTCAGCCGGCGCGTCATTTCGAAAAATCCCTCTCGGAACCGGCCAGGTAGAATGGTGGGATCGACCAAGGGACGCTCGTGGGGATGTTGACGGTCGCCCGTCGACGCTCCGCCGGGCGATAGTCGCCCGATCGCACAGGTGCCCGCAGTCACACAGAGCGCGGTGCGTCGACGCGTCACCGGGCGGTAATCGCTGGATCGCGAAGGTGGTCCTACGCTTGTACCGCGTCCGCAGTCACACAGAGCGCGGCGCGTCGACGCATCGATACCTAAGAAATCAGCAGGGCTCTGACGAAAGTTTTGTTTCGCCTTGTTATTATACGACTTCTTTGTGAAAAGGAATTTCTTTACAAATTCTAAATTTATCCTCAGAATTTATATAAACGGTAAATTTATCCTCAGAACTTATATAAACAGTAAATTTATCATCCAAACTTATGAACATCTTAAATTATAAAGATTTGTATTAATTGTAAATGTATAATAGGTATTATCCGATGCGTTAACGCACAGCGCTCAGCGGGACTCCAGCCTTAAGGGGGTGTGAAAGTGGCATCTGAAGAGTCAATCGTTCGTGAAACTTTTCTCCGAACTGGGTGTACCGAATCGTATCACACTTTACAACGTGAATATGGAGGCTATAAGGAAGGTTTTGACTCTCATGAAATTAAATTTTTTATAACGAATTTTATAAACATCTGTGAAAACATTTTTTTTAAATTGAAATTTCATGAGTTTTAAGACCTTCCTTATAACCTTCATACTTATATTGTACAGTTGGAATCGATTTAGTACAGTTTAGAGAAAAGTTTCATAAGCGAGAGCTCTTCGACGCCACTTTCACATCCCCTTAAGACGTCGTCGATGGTTAAGCGATAATTAGATTTTGGGAGCCATGATATTCCGATGATAATAATGGTGGTTGGATAATGTTAGAGATGGCGCGGTGGCAATGATTTAACGTTAATGATTACAAGTGGGAATATTACGGTAACGACGTAATGCTGATGATAATGAGGTTATAACGATGGTGGTAATGACGATCGGGTGATGTTACAGGTCGAGCGATGATAACAGTACGATAACGTTAATGATCCAATGTGGAAAACATGTGGTAACTGTGATGCATATGGTAATAGAGTTATAATGATGGTGATGATTGTAGACAGGTAACGTTGAAGACAAGATGACGTTAAGGATCAATGCTGGGCAGGTTATGATAACTATACCATACCGATAGCAACTTTATGGCTAGGATAACGGGAACAATAAGGAATAATGAGCCGATAGACGAGATAAGGCATCAACATTGGCTGTATGATAACGATATGATGCCGATGGTGATAGGCGATGTCGATGATCGGACGATGACCACGGTAAGGCGAAGCCGACGGTCAAGTAACTATAAATTACCTTCCCACCATTCACCTAGGTACAAAGTTCCATAAACCGGTGACGACACTTTAAACTCTAAAAGATCTTACGCCGATGATTTCTCATTACGAGACGCAGGTCATCCTACATCTTATAACGATTGCAGCGTCCTTTCTATCGATGACCATTTAACTATCTCTTCACAGAAAGCTACCTACTTCAAATAATTCTATACAATATTTACGTTAGAAAGATTTCTCCGAAATGTTTACAATTTGTCGCTTGTAATTACCAGCCTTAAATAAAAATACAGCTTTTGGATGATTCGAGTGAGAGGAATGAGACGGGGGTTTATCTAATTGGTGCAACGACCACGTCCCTTGGGAAGAACCTAACTTTGATTCCAAGGAACAACTTACTCACATATAACCTAATTTGTCAACAGAAATGAGACTTGCACGTAAACTGCACTCTTTAGAGTGACCGAGAGTCGAATTTAAACGAGCTCTGAATAACCCGTTAACGGGCGTCGTTACGGAACTGTTTCCTATTAGGAGACACTTACTTTTCCTCCATTAAAATACGAACTACCTCGATAGCTATTCAAGAGTCAAGCATCGCCCGGTTCTCGAAAGATAGAAGAAACCTTCGATACGTCTCGACGATACAACTTTTCTGTCTTTATCATTGTTCTTTCATAAACATTTCTCTTGCGCGAAAAAAAGAAAATATACGAAGGATAAACAAAGTAGTCTTTAACTTGCACATAATATCGCAATTTAAGTAAACATTGAATTGTTAAAATTAACGTTAACAGGAGGACGTATTCAACGAGCTTCGGCGAACTTGACTTTCGGCTGACTAATGGAATCCTTTTCTACTTCACAAGTAGACTCCAACTCTTCTGTCGGACTCTTGCAGTAAACTCCATTTTTTCTTCGCAGCACCTAAAGGCAGATACAAAAAATGATTTCTGAATGAAGTTCACTGCAGTCAAGCATATCTCTGTAATATTTTATAATAATTCTTAGACTACTATTGAGTTGTTAGTTCTTGTTTGAGGAAGAGTTTTCAAACCTTGTCCGACCAATAAAGTTCGTTTCCACTGAACACACAACTCTGCCTTTTCGCTTCAGCGCGGCAATAAGAGGACGAATGAGGACAGTCTGGAATGAGAATTTATTATTTGAGGAAACTCCGAAAGATCTCACGTACGCACGGTACACGAGGACTCCTCTCAGCCTCCACCTCAGCCTCCGTCTTGCCCTAAAAAATTCGGGTACCATTAACATCCCGTTATCTCAACTTCGATCGCAACCTACAAATTCTCCTCTCACAGATTCAATGGTACTTCAAGGTATTAACCGTTAGACCATAAATCGAGTTCGGTTCACGCGCTTCCGCCCTCCGAGAGAAAAAGAAAATAGCGACGAGTTATTTTTTTAACTTGTGAATATATTCGATATCGATATGTGAGAAGTGGGCGCCATCTTGGAATATGGACGCTTCCTATTGGTCGTTTTCTTAGAAGCGACGCTCCTATTGGCTAGCCGCCTAGCCAATGAAATCCCTCCCCGTAAGCGGTCACCTCACTATGTCAACGTAGATTTCGCGGAGCATGAGTGATGTACAACTACTTTCATGTATATGTATAAAGTCGCTGCGAACGACACTTGGAGCTTCTTTTAATCAATTAGCATTTTTTGATCGTTATCGATGCGAAGCGTATGCATTACGAATGCGTAAGAGCGCTCCAATAAAAAAATGAACGTCATCGGGCTTCGAACAAGAAAATTACGTGTCACTAGGTACATGGAGACGTGTGTAAGATTTTATAAAGAATGGACCGTCACGCGAGCTTCATGCTCGTGGCTGGTGTCTTTAAATTCTCGAGAATGTTAGTTCGAGTTAAAACACAAACTGCGGAAGTGAAAAATCATCGCAAGCAAGAAAGAAATCACAATTTAAAGAGATATTATTTCCGGCCAGAAAGTACCTTAATCTTATGAATATTATTTATTAAAAGTATTGAATTATCTTGAAAAGTTAATTTAAATGTAGATGTTCAAAGTCCGTTTAAATTCTCATACATTCATTAAGGATCTTTAAATTACCGCAATATTTTCGGTTATGTTACTCGAGATTAAATTCTTGAGAATTTAAAAACACTAGCCAAAGCATCCGAAGCTTCACAATCTTCGGTAAGTACAGTGTATAGGTAGTGAGCCTCAAATTAGTTCGAAACTGGCAAATCATCGACTGGATCTTTTTTTTATCATCGGTCAGGACCTACGCGTGTGATGGCACATACGCCATCGATCTAATCGGACCTCTTGCATTTATTCATTCGAATGAGCCAGAACTCAATGTTGGAACTGACTGCAGCTGGAATGCAAAAAGTATGCGAGAAATGTCGAAATTTATCGGCGCAGTTCTTTTGCGATCGTAGCGCTAATTAAACGAACTACAGAGATGAGTGCATCTCCTTTTAGGCACTTGGAGATCAGAAAGATAAATGCAAGTGCATATGTATCTGGCGCGAAACTCCACCGAGTTTCCTGGTGTGCAGATCGTTAAATCTCTCTTTTTTGGTAATCGTCACGCCCTCGACGTGAAAAAGCACCTCTCTTGGCGATTTAATTGAGTCTCAGTCAATTATTAACGCCAGGTGGGTGGAAATTTCTTATATACAAACATGTTTCTTTTTCCATGTACGACATGCGTTTAATTACATTGACAAAATTGAATATTATTTTACAATTGCAAGACCACTTGCAAACAACTACAAAGAGGACTATGTCTCTTTTCAGACGATCAGAAGATTAAAAAGAGAAATATGCCGGTTCTTCTTTTCAACCGTCACACTCCGCTTTCAAGATGGCGCCTGCTGATTATCTGTACGAGCCTCGCGCATTTATTCATTAAAATAAGCCAAAAGGAATGAATTGTTCGACTAAATGTTGAAAAAAGGTATGTGACAGATTTTATAGCTTAACGACAAGGCGATGCGAGACACAGTGAAATTCCTCCGCGACTGCGAGGATGAGTTTCCTTTTATAGACCTAGAGACGAAAAGGGAGAAGGCAGAGAAAAGAGGAAAAGTGCGCGACATCGAAGGTTCCTTTTTTGGTTTTCTTGTACAAAATTGTAGAATTTCGTATAAAATTCCTAAAAGTGGGGGAGGAACTAGTCTTGCCGGTCTCGTCGCGTCAAGAAGCGGCTTTTCATTTGAGCGGGTTGACTCGTAAAAATGACTTGACAATTCCGTAGTTACAAGGCAGGAAAAATCAACGGTACAGGTCGTTTACCGTGAAAAACGAGAATCGTGCAGCTCGGCGTCCGCCCACTCGACAATTTATACATTTTTATTCGTTTATTTTAGCACGATTCGATGTAAACCGGCGAAGGGCGCACGGAGGGAACACTCAACACAAATATATAAATGTATATAGATATACAAATACACGGTTAACACTTCAAGAGTCGTTTAATGCTCGCCGATCACATCGCTTCGCGTTTATCGAGATGGTGACCTCCACTCGGAGTTAAAACCTTGCTAAAACCTACTTCCCCGGCATGTTACGGGAAGCAATCAGGTTCACCTGAAATAACATCACTGTAAAATGTCGAGAAGGTGCGGGATGTATTTTTTTACTGCTCGAGTCACTTTTGTTAACGTTGCTTTATTGGGTTTAACGACCCCGGGAATCCCCACTCCGGCGCACTGTTAAAAATATTCACAAATTGCATGCACCTTTAGTACTAGGTTGTACTATTTGCTCTAATTCTTAACTCGACGTTTTGAAAGCGAATTATTACGAATATTATAACATTTATTGCGAATTTATAATTTTATAACGGCATGTCATTGTAATTCCGTGAAATTTCTTAGGAAGATAATACACATGTGTACTGAATTTATTACACATGTTTACGAAATATACAAATAACGTTAGAAAATCTTTTTTAACAGGGTGGAGAGGATATTACCTGGGCATATTAAGGCGATTTTTATTATTTTTTTGTTCACCTTGATAATAATTAAGTTCAAATGCTAGGACGCAAAATGGGCGATCCAACAGTTACGAGAGGATGGGTTTTAGATGATACATCGGAATGAGTTTTTGAAAAAAAAACAACGCCCGTAATCGAGTGCGGTATGTCTAAGTTAATAAATTATTCAACAATTCGGACGGTCTTGACTTTATGCTTCGCGTAAACGGAATCGCATGAGTCTTTTCTTCTTGTTCTTGTCGCAAGCTCGTCATAATCGATGCGTAATGGAATTGAACATTGCACTTTGTGCGATATTACACCGTCACTCAATTCCGGAAAGAAAAAAGAACAGGTAAAAAAGGAAAAGTAACTTTTTTCAGAAAGAATGTTCATGTCAGCGAAAATACCTCGCGTCCAACGTTGATAAAGAAACCCGGAAGAGTTTTGCGCCAAATACATACATAAAAGCGTACAACTCGAGATGAAATTTTTCTCTCACTTTGAACCTACCTAAATATTCCTCTTTCGGTCCTATTTCACTCTTTAAGTAATACTTTTCACTCTATACATCCCACTTAATACGAATGAAGTCGTACTTTAGGCTTATAAGTAGAAGAAATGGAGATATCTACCATTTTTAAGATCTTTGGATTGGATTAGAAATTTAGTAAGGATTATGTAGAAATTATCCTTCTATTAGCTGAAATCCATCGTGAAAGGTCTGCATAAAAGGTTCTAAGTACTGTTGAAATTTTGAGTTGACAGCTCTAATATTTCTAGACTGTTAGAGGAAACGTTCATTATCGACTTATCGCTTTTTCCGCGGCCGAGAGAAATTCATTAATTTCATTCGCAAAATACTCGCCTCAGCATGCAGCACGCACAACAGGGGGGCAAAAAATCAATTACCATAAATCATTTCAAAATCTTACTTCCAAGACGGTCGCGGTACGTTCCGTGCCAATGCCCAATGTCAATGTCTAGAGTGCCGCAAAAAATCTGGTAAAATATGAGTAGCCTTCCGTACACCAATCTTCGATTGGAATTTTAGGCAAACCTTTGATTCCGCATGTTCGATCAATTTTTCGCGCAAAAAATTCGCCAAAGAAGCACATGTTCTTTCATAATCGCGCAATCAATTTTTCACGAACGCGACTTGGCGAATCTACCCGTTCGAAATTTACGTAATCTCTCGAAAATGTATGCGGCGGGCTTTTTTTTAAATAACAGTTACTTACGTCAGGAAAAGTATTGGTTAACATTGAGAAGAATAACGCTTCGAGGCGAGGAGGCAATTTCCATGACCGGATATTAATACTGCTATAATATCTCAAACGGCATTCATGGTCGGCTTAAAATTCGCAATTGAGCAATTTTATACCTTAATTTATACGAGTGATCAGTAGTATAATTCATTCAAGGACCATATGGAGGATTTCCTCTATCTTAATAGGTTGTTCCATAAGTACACGAAGAAATTTATGAAGGTTTAAACATTTTGTTTTTTGACTCGAACAGGTTGGAAATTTCTGATTTTTGTTCTCTGATTACACGATTCTAGGAGAATGATAAGACTAAAATAAAGTAAACTGATTTTTAGAAATTTTCTCATATTATATCAACGATCAATGTGCAAAATCAATGCAAAAGTGACTTCTAATGAATTTTGTTTGCTGTAATCTGAATTTTTTTCTCACCGAACAATCGTGTCGTCGGTTCTTAAATAATCTTTCTATATTCTAAAACCGTGAGAATTTTTTATTTCAGACTTGCCATTCTCCTCAGATCATGTACACCATAAAAGAAAAACAGAAATGACCACAAGTCCGCCAATTTTGAACATTTAAAATACTTTTTATCTAAAATTTTCCTTAAAACACCAGATAAAAAAGACCTTACCAAATACTTTCTATACCATTTTCATTCTCTTCATTTTCCTTTAAACTGACTTTAATTAAAACGCAGTTTACAACCTATTAACCTCCTTAACTGTGCAATTATCTCTGAAGAAAATTCATAATAAAAAAAATTGACTACAAATTTACGGAACCTGATAATAATTAGGTTTGGGGAATAATTTTAATTCATAAGATCGTCAGACTTATGTATGGTCGGGCAGGTAATGGTTTCTTGTACACTTTTCACGCAGTTTCGACATAATCGTAACCAGAACCTGCACACTCGACATATCGTTTCTCAACAGGCCGATATTCGTTATAGTTGCAAAACTAGCCTACAGTTCAAAGTGCAATTGCGCGTATGTTCGCGGTTTAATGTACGTAAACGGGAGTGCACTTTTACAGCAAATGGTTCTGCATTAATCGCAGCGAAGGGCTCGGCAGAAACTTGACTTTTACATAAATGCAGTCGCCGTTTTGCAACCGTAGAAACCCGTGATTAATCATTATCCTCGTCACACATTGATGCTAGTCAATCGCAGCGTTAAAATGGCCGATTAAAGCGATAAAAATTGCGCAAAAGCGCGCTTTTTACACTTTATAGAGAGCCCGAGTTCACGGGATGCGGGAAAAAAGAAGTGGCACAAAGCAACCCTGAAAAATACGGAAGTGGAATGAAATCATCCCCAGGATAATTTCCAACAATTTTTACCAATGACAATTAACGATTCCTCGCAAAATCGAGACGTTTCAGTTGTTACGAAAGAAGCATTAAACGTATACAGATATATCCAGACATTTCTAAAGAACGATGCGGAATTCAATGACGATTCAAATGGCAAATGAATTTGAACAATCCTGCTTATAAATAAGCTAATTCATTGCGTTAACGCGTTTCTTTGGAGTCGTTATTTAAATTATATTCTAATTAAGTATTACGACGTTTAATTGTAACACACGAGCTGTTTATAAGTTGCGTGAGTTATCTGGGCGTGAAGTTACAAAAAGTGCGGGTTATAAGAACTTATAATTTATGTTTCGTTGAAAAAAATGATCGCCAACCACGTGGGAAGTGAATGCACTAACACTGACGATGACTTTAACGCTAATTGTGGTAATACTGACACACAAAGGGGAATATTAATTGTAATTAATTATAAAATTAATTGAAAGAATGACGCATTAATACTAATGACAATGTTTACGCAAATTGTCTCAATAGTAACACGCAAAAATGATTATAAAGAGTAATTAAGGTGATGTGTAAGTAACGTCAAAGGGGTTTCGTTCATGAAACTTTTCTCCTAACTGGGTGTACCGAATTGTTTCAAACTGCATATACAGGCTATAAGGAAGATTTGACACTCATAAATGTTCAGTCTTTTATACATTTGTTTATAAACATTTTTAAAATGTCTAAGAAATGAAATTTTATGATTATCAGGACCTTCCTTAGAGTAAACGTATTTTTATAAATAATATATATTATAATTTATCATTTATAACGTAAGTGGTTTTCAAGTCCGTCGAGGAGCCGACGCGTGAAAGTCTACAAGTAACCACTTTGCTCCTCTTTATGGCGTCCGAAGAAGTTGACCAATAGTAACCTTGGCGATCCTTTTGCGTAAGACGGAGGAGGACGCTAACCTTGGCCATGAGATCTGCAAAAAATTGACGGATTATTAGATACTCGTCCCAGATAAATCATACTGGAAAGACGCATCCAAGAAGCCGAATTTTTGAAAAATTCTATTAATTAATATCGGATCGGATGACTAGTATTTTGGGATGCTGACGTCATCAGACTTTCCTGGTATCGTCAAATACATACGTCATATGTTCAAAAAGACCACGAAATATTTATCTTTGGGGACCCGATGCATATTAATCCTGTGAAGAGCTGTGTTGTTTTCCTCGTCTACTGGAAATCGAAGAAGAAGGTGTTCAACAACTCGTTAGGGATCTCGTTTGCACGCACGAGATGCAAAAAAGGGGTTCCCCGCTTTGACGCAACATGGATTAATGTATAATAAATGGAGTGTTAATCTTTCCTCGTGCTTTGAGAATAAATGCAGGCGGCTTCGATCATTTCTAGGGGATAGCTCTTGAAATGGACTTCGCCTGGACAGCCTTTTACTTCAGGCAGAAGGTCTTTGGGGTCTTTTGCGCCGCGCCATTTTCATTGCTCTTTTATGCACAAATTGAGAGCTACGAGACAAATAAAAGAATGCATTACCTCGTCCGATATTTTCCACGTAATTACACCTTGCCTCAGTGTTTTATAACAACTTAAGTTTACAAAGCATAACGTTTCAACAGCCATGCTTGCCATACTTGCGGGCGACATATTCAGACATTACTACATATCTGGAAAATAGCATGAACTTAATTTTTAAAACTGGAACAGAATTGCTGGTAAAAAGGAAAAATGAGAAGATTGGACAATTTTTCATGTTTTGTGCAAAAGTTGGCTTTTCCATTTTTTTACAACGTGGTACTGGATTGGAATCGATATTTGGTCTCGACGTTTCTGAAAAGTATCGTAAACGATATCTTTAAGACGTGACTAACTTTTTTTTTTTTTAACAGGAATCGCTGTAAAATGCGAAAATTGTGAAGAGGAGAATGACTGTAATGTTTTGAGTAAAGGGTAGTTTCAGTTTTTGTAATGAGACATTGATATTTATCCAAGTTTGTTTCCCCTTCTGGGAAACAACGTGAATAATATTTTGAAAATGTGAATAATACTTATGAACGTGAATATTTTTAAAACAAGAATCGCTGAAAAACTTGAAAAATGAGGGGAAGGGAAAGATGTTTGCAATGTTTTGGGTAAAGGGTAGTTCTTTTAGATTTTGATAAGACATTGCATTAGAATTGATATTGCGCCGCAGCCTCGGCAACGAGACGAAGAGCGACAGATGACGCGCAACAAACAGGCAAGAAAAAAAAAATGGAGAATGAAAGAATATCTAGAAATCTTGAAAAGCTTGAACGCGTGTTTACCTTGATGTCTAGAACTTAACAAGAGGCTACAATGTACGAGGATATTTTCTCGGTGCAACAAACGTCGTTTTCGGAGAATTTCTTTCGCGTGTCTCATTAGCGTTGAGTTTTTGCGCACCCTTGAAAACCTCAATGTCAATGCTGGAGGTCGCCATTCTTCCTCGAAATTTCCCCCTGAAAAGTAGTACTTTAAAAGTAATCATGAAGTAATTTCAACCTTTTTCTTACCAAGGTTTTTTTTTATGTAAACTCATTCCTTATCTAGGCAGACTGGCTGAAAAACAATCTATTACTACATCTATACGGTCACCTCCAAAATGTCCAACTTTTAGAAGTTGATTCGTAATAGAATTAATTTCTACCTTTTCAAATAATTTAAGAAACGTATATATTTATGGGGTTTATTCTTCGAGTGCTTTTCTCGCTGATTATTGCTGCATCACTTTAGTCACGCCAGAGGGAGCCTACGTACAAAAATCCCAGAGGCTGGTAATAGTAAATTTCATTCGAGTTTCCCTTCATTTGAATTCGTTTGATTTCTCTCCATGATTTCTTGCGTGTTTCCTACCTTCCTCGCTACATATTCTTAGCTTTGCTTTGCTCAGGGCATGCGCAGAATCGTTCCTCTTCTAATAACCGCGAAGCAAGAATATGTAGAAACGAAACTCGAACCATAGTTAAAGCCTAGTGCGCGTGCGCGTGTCCTGCTACGTCAGCCAATGGTGGGTGTCGACCACCTGCCGAATCTAACCTCTAACCAATCAGAGACTCACGTGCGCGACATCAAAGGAGCCGTCGAGAATTTTGCTCATCTGTTCTATTCATCCATTTCCTGTCACAACGATCGAATAATCGTTGACGAATTTACGCAGCGGCCCTGGATCGATCGCTGGGGAATCGCTCTAACCTATATCGAGCGATCTTTATATTTATTTACAAGATGGTTCGGGCTCCGCGGTGTCGTGACACACTTTTTCATCCGCTCGATAAAGTTTCGGAGTGAGCCAGAAATCTTGATAAGTGATAAACCAGTTCCTGAAAGATTCACATCCGCATTTACCTTGACCCTTGCATAGAAAGTGACCGCAGCCACACTTTTCGTGGAGGATGTAACCGCGACGATGCTGCGACATATCCAGTGCCAAAAATTACTCCAGATAAACGTTTTTAATTATTTATCATTCGTAGCGTGAATACTATTGATGTGGATGTAAAACTTTCGGTATGTACTCTCCGAATTTGTAAGTAACGTGTATTTTATTCAGTTTATTAATGTTAGTAATTTAATTGTCGATGAGGTGGCAGTCATAGCCTGATTATCACATTACTGTACGAATATTCACCCCGAAACTTCATTTTTGAATCTTGAGTCAGAAAAGCAAGGAAATTGTTATGTTAGTCTTAACAAAAGTTAATAGTTCCACAGGAAATAAAAGTATGGGAACATGTATTATCGTGTAAAATCAACAATAATTTGTTTCTTTCAGAAATCAATTTAAATTTTCCGAACTCGGTGAAGGAAGGTATTACACTGTAAATCTTGGTAAATGTGATCTTGCAACGATGATGGAACTGAGTCATAGTCTTACCCTCAATGAGGATGCATTGAATCAAATCCCAGAAGCAAAACGTCCAGTTTTTGTATTCGAGTGGCTCCGGTTTTTAGATAAAGTATTAGTTGCTGCTCAAAAGGTAACTTTTTTATGTAGTCTAATGTTTTTGGATGTTCACTTATCAATTCAATTTTGGATACCAGTTTAAGAGAATTTAAATATCATTGCAGAGTGACATTAAAGGATGTCAACAGAAACTTGTAGAACAATTAACTAGGCATATGCAAGGGGCACCTGGTCCTCCTACTCGCCGTCTGATAGCTCGTTGTTTAGCGACTTTGTTCAGTGTGGGTGATACATTCTTGCTTTTTGATACAGTAAACAAGTGCAATGACATTTTGAAGAATAAAGATGATTCTCCGAGTTTCTTACCTACAAAATTGTAAGCAGTAATTTATTCCCATTTTTAAACATGCCGTTAATTAACAGGTATTGGTTGTAATGATAATTCATTATGTATTTTTGTTCAGAGCGGCTATATGTTGTGTCGGTTGTATGTATGAGAAGCTAGGACGCATGATGGGAAGATCGTACGAAGAAACTGTGCAAATTCTCATTAAATCTCTAAGGTCGGCTGAATCGCAAACACGAATAGAAATAATGCATACCCTGGAAAAGGTAATTTTAAATTCAGACGTATTTACAAAGATTTATGTTATGTAATACTTGTTATTTGTTACTTCTTTCCAAAACATTGGGTTGTACTAGCAATGCATTTTCATCTGCCTACAGGTATGTGCAGGAATGGGATCAGCGATTACAAATGTGCACAAGGAGATATATAAGGTTTCCAGGCACTGTTTGACCGATAGAGTTATGGCTGTTAGATGTGCTGCTGCAAAAGTAAGTCTTGGTATTAGAAAAATCAGTAAAGAAATGCAACTACTGAAGCCTACATTTATTTTTTATTTAGTGTCTCCTGGAAATGTTAAATCATGCGCCTTTCTTATACACCACTGAAATTGAGAGCGTTGCAACACTTTGTTTTCGTGCATTTGAAGGATCTAATTACGAAGTACGATGCTCAGTGGCAAAACTTCTTGGCGCGTTGGTAGCGATGACTCAGATCCCAGCACCGAAAGGAAAGAATCCAACAGGTAAGTTTTCTGAAATTAATACTGTTTTAAAAAATAAAATACAGATTTTATCACGCGTAAAATAATTATTTACTTTTCAGTTACACAAAATAAAATATTTAAACAAATATCACTGGACGAAGTATTAAACATATTAATGTCTGGCTTCTTACGTGGTGGTGTTGGGTTTCTGAAAGGGACTGGTGAAATGATAAAAGGTAGTTCTGGAGTCAACAGAGAAGTCAGAGTTGGAGTTACTCATGTATGTACATTTTACAAAAAACGTGCTCTTTGCTACATTATTTACAATTTTATATACAAATTACTCTTATTATTTCTAGGCCTATGTTGTGTTTGTCCAAATTTTGGGTGGAACCTGGCTAGAACGTAACATTGGAACATTAGTGGCACACGTACTAGACCTCGTTGCTAATCCAAAAGCTGCTAGTTCACATGTCGATGCAGTTTATTCTAGGAAATGTATTAACTTTATTCTGCGTGGTACCATCGGAAAGCTTTTAGGCGAAGGGGCTCAAGCAGCCGCTTGCAAAGAAATAGCTCATGTTATTCTGAAACAGATGAATTCTATAGGTAAGATATAATATGGCATATTTTAAATATTCATTAAGGGTTGAATTATAAAATAACTAATTTCATCGTAACTACCAATTACATTAACATATAGTATAGATTCAAGGCAATTTTATTATTTTACAGATTTTAGTCCTGAGAATGCTAAAGACTGCAACCAGGAAACATTGTTCAGTCAACATTTGCTTGTCTGTGCGTTGCAAGAGATGGGAAATTTAATCTTGGGTTTAGGTACAACAGCATGTAACATTCTATGTGATCCATCATTAAGTAAGTGCTGTCGTATTATTTGCATTACTGCATAAAAAATGCATTATGAATATTTGTTATTCAGTTACAAGCGTAAGAATTCAATAACTGGAAATATCTATTATTTTAATACATTTTCCAGGTCTAGTTGAAACGACTATGGCAGTTTTAGTACATCCCTGTCAAGCTGCCAGGCTTGCAGCAGCTTGGTGTCTACGATGCATTTGTGTAGCAGTTCCAAGTCAAATTACTCCATTGATTGATAGATGTGTCGAAGGTATTGAAAATATGCGGAGCTCACCAGAGGCGATCGCAGGATATAGCAGCGCACTCGCAGCAGTTTTAGGAAGTGTTCGATTATCTCCTCTCGGAGTTCCTCACATGAAAGGAAAAGTATGATAAAACACTGATTCTGTATTCCCAAACAGTTGCATCAAAAGACATGTCGCATTAAATATCAAATTAAGCAATATAATAATTTTATTAACACTTTTGAAATTTATTCTTTATAGATCATTTTTAACACAGCCGAAGAGTTGCTAAGAAGTGCAAGTCAAAACAGTCGATTATCGTTAAACAGAACCCACGCTGGTTGGCTTCTTATTGGAGCTATAATGACTCTGGGTAAAGACTTCCATTAATTTAACACCATAATCATTGGTCCAAAATTATGTATTTAAGTTGATCTAACTTTCTTGTCGATTGGTTGGTACGATGGGCATAAATTACTCCACAGTCGGATGGTGTTAACTAAACTTTGTTTGATTCGATCAATCTTTCTTTCTTCCGAAACCATTGATTTTGAAGTAGTCTATTATTTCTTGCCCACATAGGTACAGCAGTAGTTAAAGGCTTGTTGCCTAGAATGCTTTTATTATGGAGAAACTCGTTTCCACGCTCGAATAAAGAACTCGAAAGTGAAAAAGCCCGTGGCGATGCATTTACTTGGCAAGTGACTTTAGAGGGCCGCGCCGGAGCACTGTCGGCGATGCACAGCTTTTTGTTGCATTGTCCAGAGCTTCTCAACGATGACATTACACGGCGACTTCTTACGCCCATTGAATCAGCCTTGGCAATGCTTACGAAGTATGCTGAACTACTTCTTCTGTTTTCGTCTATAAGAATTAAACGCTTGCATGATAATAACTCTTGCACATTGGACACTTTTAGAAAATTTAATAATCATTGTTTTCAGTTTGTCGACCGTCTTAAAAAATTATGGGCAACAATTGAAAGCTCCCACGGCGATGGTACGGCTACGGTTATACGAAACGTTGTTGTTGTTGCCACCGCAAACATTTGAAGGTAATTTTTTGTAATAAAATTACAATTAATACGTCATTACGTATCTATATATTTCAGGTTCGTACACTCACCTGCTGAGAATGTTGGTGTCGGAGTTTACTTTAACGGAGAATCCAGGAAATACGACAACTTCCTTACTGCGTGTTGTCTGTCATGCAAATGACTCCGTCATACTTGGCACTTGGCTGCAAGAAACGGATCATCGTACGATCGAAGATCAAGTTAGTATTTCAAACCCTTTTGTGTGTTTTTTTAAACATAAGCTGCACTATTCCTTTGTCAGATACCTGTCACAATTCGTGAAGTTTTGTCATTTAATAACTAATACATTGTGTCTGAGTGACGGCGAAAGCAGACGTTCTGTAAATAGGACCTCTTCGTTTTGCTTATTAAGTGTGTCATTTTATATATTAAATAACGTAGCTAAAATCCAGAGATTTCTTCCGTACGAAATATCCTCCCTACTAAACCTGAATAAAACAAATATCGCAATCATATGTTCATGACCATAGAAAATTGTGACGTGAAAACAACTTCATTTCGTACATGTATATATATATTTTTTTTTTTTCGTATGTTCTTCTCCCGTCTCTGGAATGTTTAACTTTGTTTTAATTGTTCTGATTTGAGGAAAGAAACGTGTCAGTGTTTTTTCCCCTTTACCGTCTTTGATGATGACACGAGCATGTCAATGTTGGTGACGGTTTCCCTCTTTCATTAACACCTGTCACTATCATTCATGTCTAGATGGAACCAAACCGAAGGGCAGATTTGGAACATGTAAGTAATATGTTCTGTAAAATTTGTAACTAAATAATTGCGAGAATAACACCTCGATGGGCATTTGAGCTGTCTTTCTGTGCTATGTGTAACTCATGCTTCCATTACGATGTAATTTGTTGTATTTCATCTTCCAAAATCATTCGACTACCTGCAACGTACCTTATTCTATTATAATCGTTACAATCAAATTGCTACACTGTAATTCCCTTCACCTGAGTTTACTCTTTCTGCTTTTATTCTTGTATCAATGATCCGCAAATTAATTTTAACAAATTTTGTTAACACTCATTCTCTATTCAGTTACAGCCCAACAGTGCTGCAGGATCTGGAGCGTTGGAACATAACTCCTGCTGCTTGTATCGTCCAGTACCTCCTGTACGTAAAAACGCTTAATTACATATTTAATTACTCTAGTTTTCATACATCTTTTTACCTGTTCACTTAAATAGCGATTATTCGTTACAGAATGAAATGATTCCTGGTCCTCTGCCATTAGGCGTCGCTGTCATCGACTTGTCGGTGTCTCTGTTCGGGCAAATATTCCCTCGGGTTGCAAACAAGCACAGATTGCAGATGTTGGACCACTTCAGCGAGTGTATAAAACACGCGAAGTCTGGTCGACAGGAAGCAATACAGATGAACGTATTCACAGCAGTGTTGAGTGGTCTGAAAGGTCTCAACGAAGCGAAAACCAGTTTCGGACAGGAGGACGTTAAGAAATCTGCAACTAATCTGATTGTTGTAAGTTAATCTGGCTATCGAACACATTATACTCGTGCGATTAAATTCTATAATTAACGTGAAACGTATTATAATTTTCAGAGTACATTAGTGAGCAGTAATTCCATTCTACGATGGGCAGCAGGGGAAGCAGTTGGTCGAATGGCTCAAGTTATCTCGGATGCGAAATTCACGGCGGAATTGGCGCAAACCAGCTTCGATAGACTGAAATCTGCTCGAGATGTTGCTAGCAGAACGGGTCATTCTTTGGCTTTAGGCTGTCTACATAAATATGTCGGCAGCATGGGCTCGAGTCAGCATTTAAATACCAGCGTAAGCATTTTGCTTGCCCTTGCTCAAGATAATACATCTCCCGTTGTGCAGGTACGTCATCCACGATTTCCTTGATTCTCCGTGATATCTTCACAGATTCAGTTCATCTCAATTTATGCAACACTTAATGGTTTCAGGTGTGGGCTTTGCACGCACTTGCTCTAATTGCTGACTCAGGAGGCCCCATGTTCCGGGGTTACGTAGAACCAACACTCTCGTTGGCGTTGACGCTCCTATTAAATGTGCCCCATTCTTACATCGATGTCCATCAATGTATCGGCAAAGTGTTATCGGCGCTCATCACCACGATTGGACCTGAGTTGCAAGGTAAAATATATTGCACGTAAATAATCAAACCTATTGTATATATTAAGGAGATGTGAAAGTGGCCGGACCTTCCTTAGAGCCTCCACATTCACGTGGTAAAATTTCAAACGACTCGGTACACCCATTTGGGAGAAAAGTTTCATGAACGAGATCCCTCAGACTCGCTTCCGTAGGACCTTAAGGAAATGAATTTCATTAATAAAAGGGAAAGTGGAAAGTTACACCCATCGATTCACTTTTACAGGGAATACCTCGTCGATCTGCATGGCACGATCCTCATTTTTGTGTGCCTGTGCCATAATGCAAGATCATCAAGATCCTCTCGTGCAGGCTGAAGCGACAGGATGTCTTCAGCAGCTGCATTTGTTCGCTCCTAGACACGTCAACCTTTCGTCTCTGGTCCCAACGTTATGCGTAAGGCTGTTCGACAGTGAAGAAAACATGCCAAACAAGAACCACCAATGTTTAAAACGCATTATTTATTTATAGCGAACCTTGTCCAGCAATCATCTACTTTTGCGGAAAGCAGCGATATCGTGTCTTCGGCAGCTCGCTCAACGCGAAGCTAAAGAAGTCTGTGAGCACGCGATGACGTTGGTCAACGAAAGCAGAGGAACTAACGTGGTGGAGGGATTGGTGATAACGGAAACCGGGCTTCCAGGAGTACTTTTTAGCATGCTCGACACGGAAACGGATTCCAAGCTGATCAGGGACATCCACGACACCCTGACGAGCATGTTGCAGATCTTGGCTGCAGACAATCTGTCTCAGTGGCTGTCCCTGTGCAAAGACGTTCTCACTGTGGCTTCCGGTAAGGCTGCTTGAATAAAGAAACGGGATAATTACCAAGTTCCTCAAGAATTAAAGCCATCGATTTGTCATTTTTATTGGTGCAAATTTCATTTCTTTGCAGAATCTAGCACTATCGAAGAAGGCACCAACGCGACAGTTGAGGACCCTGCCGCTGATAATGAAAACACCGATGCGGAAGGAGACGACGACCAGGCAGAGTTTCATGCCGACGAGTCTATGAGACAACGACCGGCGGTCTCTCCACGTTGGCCAACGAGGGTTTTCGCTGCTCAATGCGTTCGACGTATCGTGTCCGCTTGCGTTAACAATAAGCAGGCTCATTTCGACCTCTTGTTGGCCAAGGAGATGCAGTCTGCGAAAGGCAGAGGTACTACAGATCCAGTTGTTTAATCTTCATGCTTTGTTCGTATCTATTCAGACCTTTTCATTATGTTTTTAATTATCTAAATATTTATTACAAATTATATTAGATATTGTAAGAACTAATTTGCAATGGTAGCTTCACAGTTTATTACCGTGGGTCCATTTGAACCCGATGCCAATAAACCCTGTAAATGTTGAGGAAGATATAAAGGTGTTAACTAACTTATATCAGTTAGTTAATTGTTTTAGTAGACGATAGTTCAACATGGTATTTGATATAAGTTATATGGAGTCTGTGCGTGTTTTTGTTTTTAAGGAGACTTCTTAGTCTTACACTTGTCAGACCTGGTCCGCATGGCATTCATGGCAGCGACTAGTGACTGCGACCCTCTGCGGTTGGAAGGTCTCAAGACTCTGCAAGAAGTTATCGACAAGTTCGCCAAAGTACCGGAGCCTGAGTTCCCTGGGCATTTGCTTCTTGAACAGTTCCAAGCTCAGGTAACTTTAATCCTTGGTATTATTCGGTTTTGAGGATGCCGTGGACTTATCAGAATATTTTACCAGGTCGGAGCTGCTTTGCGACCAGCGTTTTCAGCAGAAACGGCGTCGCACGTTACTGCGGCTGCTTGTGAAGCTTGCAGTGCTTGGATCGGAAGTGGCGTTGCCAGAGATCTGAATGACTTGCGTCGAGTCCATCAGCTACTCGTCTCGTCCTTGGAGAAGTTAAGGGAAGGACATACTCGTCCGCAGCTCTACAACGAGAGCTTGTCCACTCTCGAGAGACTGGCCATTCTGAAAGCGTGGGCAGAGGTGAGCTTTAAAAGCACCATGGCAACCAGAGATGAATTTTACAGCTACCGATTCCGGCTACCTTACGTGTTATGTGATTCAAAAATAATTTTGTCGCAACACTAGGTCTACGTGGTCGCGATGATCAACGACGGCTCTGTACCCAGTGCCAAGGAGACGGCTCTTCGGAACGTAAATCAAACCGACGACGACAGTGAAGATTTTGGAGAGTTTGAATATCAGAACGAGAGTCTTTTGAGTTTGGTACAACCGGAACTTTTGAGCCTGAGTCAATATTGGCTGGCTGCTTTGCGAGATCATGCCTTACTCTCATTGCCACCGGGTAAATACTTTACACGATTTTTATAAATAATAATCCAATATTCTCATGTGTCATGTTATAACGATTGGAACAATTTCCATAGAATTCTCCAGTCAACTACCACACGATGGTGGAGCTTTCTACACGACCGACACCATGGAATCTGCTCGTCCCTATTATTTGGAGTCATGGGCTCCGATTCTTTATGCCGCTACGTTGTGGCTCAACGCAAGGGGTTTCGAAATCGATGAGTCCGCTAATGTCGCGAAGAATTCAACGGGTCCCTACAACAACAACAACAATACTCCTCCTACAAAGACTGATACCAATATCGAGCGGTTTCATCTTCTTTTTGGTAATTCTTTCATTGCGATTTTTAAACGTGGTGAACGGCGATTAGAATCGGCATGATTTATTTTATATTTTATGATATATCTTCTCAACAGGCATTTGTATGGAGGCATTGTGCAGTTCACGTTCTTCGGAAACTAGTCAAAATATAGAAATATGCCTCAGTGCTCTCTACACTCTCCTTGATTCAGCTTGGGCTCGGAAGGTTTTGCTAACTGATCGTTCACTTCCCATAGAGCTGTGCAACGTTCTACATAGGTAATTGGTTTAATTATCTATGAAATTTCTTCTTGACTATTATTGCTTTACAATTAAACATTCTACAGAGAACTGTGGAGCAACCATTACAAGAATTTATTTTTTAGATTACTCTTAACACGGGAAAGCTATGCCATCCAAATCATGGTCATGGAAGTTCTCAAGCAAGTGGTCAAGGCGACCCAGGAAGATTTAGCTGAAAGGAAGAAAATCAAATTAAAAGGTTGTTACCAGCTTTAAGATTGTTGAGATAATCATGATCGATAAGGAGTACTACGTAGCACTTTTGTATCTTTTCTGAACAGAACTGGCTCCATCGAACCAAGAAGTTGACCAGGTCCATGAACTCGACTTGCTAGGAGAAGGAGAGGACTCCGGAGAACTTCCGCCAGGAAAGTCATTAGTCTTTGCCATTTTGGAAGTATGTTTATGCCTCCTGGTTCGACAGATTCCTGCATTAAATCCCAATCCAGGAGGAATGACTGCTATTCTGTCGCAACGCAAATATGCACCGTCCGAAGAAAGTGGAAGATTGATAGCTTCGGCTCTTGGGGTAATGGAGACTCTTCCAAAGCTCTGCTCTCCTCAAGGTAATTGTCCCAAAGCCTAAACCTATGCCTTTGTATGCTACTTTTTATTTAATTTATTTACTTCTAACATTTATTAATATCTTAACAGGTGCAGTGGCAATCCTGCCGACTTTGTTGTACCTGACTACAGGTGTAATCAGGGAAACCGCGGTTCGCGTTGATAATGAAACTGGGAAAACCGGACCCGAAACTCCGGTTCATGCGGCATTGCATTGCCTTAAAGAGTTAACTGCAAATGACTATGCGAAAGATTATAGAAGCAAAGAACAATGGACCGTCCTTCTACAGAGCGCTCTCGCCAAAATCATTGATCTAGCGAAGACTGGTAAAAACTAGAATTTAGAAATTATATTCTGTGTACTCCCACGCGTAGCAATGTCCTACATATCTTATACTTCTTTAGGAAGCAATGAAACAAAAATGGACGAAGTGGCCATGATGTTGGGCATTGCTGTATTCGTTCTCCATGCTAATCCTGAAGTAGTAAGTGCACCGAACCTGCAGTTTCCATGTATCAACCACTTCCGACAGTCAATCCAATCCGACAGCATAATGGTACGTAATTCTAAACGATCTTACAGAAACTTAATGAGACAAACTTACAAAAATATATCTATCGTTTTCAGGTAAAATTAAAGTGCGTCCAAACCCTGAAAACAATTTTCATGCATCGAGAACGTACCATCAGCACTCCTTACATTCATGCACTCGCTCCACGATTGGTTGAGTATCTTTACAGTGACAAAAGTAAACAAGTAAACAATGAGACGGAACTTACCGTTACTTTGGAATGTATCAGTGCCGTCGAGGGTCTCATATCATTGGCTGAACCTGCTACCCGTAAGATTTTTCTATCGTTACTTTTTTTTATTAATGTTACCTATGACAATTGGTCAATAATAATGTGTTACATGCTATTCAAGGAGACCTTATGCAAGGTATGTCATACATGCCAGCAATTTAAAACCACTGCTTAATTTTAACCGATGCTTTTGATTTTATTTAATCCTTCCTATATAAACCAGACTTCAACGATTTGAACAAGTGGTTAATACTTCTTTTTCTCTCTACGTTCACTAGGTATTCAAATGCTGACCCTTCTTGTGCCGATATTAATTAACTACTTATTGGAAGATGATAAATTACAGTATAGTTCCAAATATCAGATCAGTCTTCATCAACAAAGCTTCCAATGGCTCAACAAAATTGGCCCAAAATATCCTCAGGTATTTAACAAAACCTGCCGAAAGGAATTTCCTTTAATATTTGATGTTCGAAGCATTTTATGTCATTTTATTCGACGATATTTTTTAGGAATTCAAAAGTTTAATGTCGCAGTCAACCGAATTAAAAACTAAATTAGAGAATGCAGTGAGATCAAGTCATCAACAGGCTCAGCGGAATACAAGAGCTGCAGAGCCATTAAAAACGCAAATCAAAGTACCAGCTCCGCCATCGATTAAGTTGAAAACCGACTTCTCGAATTTCAACTGAGCCGAAGGAATAATCCTAGAAACGTATTTCGTAATATCACTCGTGGTAGAACGATATAATAAAATCTAGGCTGTTAATTTACCCCCCACTACTTACATGTACGTAATTTGAAACCTAGACTATTTATTCTCCTTTTATGTGTAAATATACTTTGAATAGCAAAAGTCAGGATAAATTATTGGCGCCATTGTTAAATTCGTCAGGAAGTGAATAGAAATAAATATGATTTATTAGTGGCAAGGTGTCTTGCCAGACCAATAAACCGACACGTACAGGTTTAATTCATTGTAATGTAGATTATTAAATAGCGAGACGGATCTGATACACTCGAATCGGTTCGAACTTCTAATTTCGAATTAAGACGTCCATAGAAAGCGGTTTATTAAATCAATTTTTAAGAGTATTTTTAACGGACGCCAAAAATTGCAAAGCAAGCATCAAATATTTTATGCATCGACTTATATCGACATTTAGGCAGAACTGTGTTGTAGGAATTGTAGATAAAAATTTATTCATTCAAACTGTAATAGGATGTGACAGAGTAGTATTTACATTAAATATTATTTTGTTGATCAATGCGTTAGTTACAGTGAATGTCTGTAAATGTGTGAAAAACGCACAATCTATTAGGAGGGTATGATCTTTTTTTTTTTAATTACATTCCGCACTTGTTTAATGCAACATGTGTTACAGATGCAGATATGTTAAAAAGTATATTGAGAGATCGTAATACTCCTCAGAAATATGCTCGGCTTACTCTAATGCTTGGGTTTATTATTTTCTTCTTTGATACAATTTCTTGCGTGTATACGTTTACTACAATATATCATGTATTCGGCACAAAACAGGATAAATATTCGATAAGACTGTTAGTATTAGACAAATGATTATATAGTTATATCACAAAGTTATGATATTTTTTTATAATATCGTTTAAAGTCACCGTAATTAGGCAGATTGCTAGCCAGGCAAAAGCCCTATTTTAAATTCTATCAACTTAACGTTTAATTCATTAGCAATAGCATAAGGTCGCTGTGTACAAGGTGAAGAATTATGTCTTACAAATTGTTTGCCGTGTATAATAAATTTAAATAGTCATTCAATTCGACGTCGGTTTTTGCGGCAAACGCCGGGGGTCAATTTCCCAACTTGATATCTTTGGAGGCAGTCCAAATAGAGAATGATTCATAGGAGTGAAATTACCTTCGATATTGAATCAAATTTTCGCGGGCATAATCAAATACCCCCTGCGCATGCGTATACTTCACGTCGTTATAAAAGTATTTTCACATTAAACACATCCAAAATTCAAATTGTCAGAAATCATTCAAAGACACTTAGAAATGAGGCCGAAAATCTCTGAGGTCATTTTTTTCAATTGTGATTAGAAAATCGTGTTAAAGTCAATAGTAAAGGTACCTTTTCACTTGTTGCATCGTTGCAAAATTTCATTCAGCAAAACGTTCCGATTGGTTAAAAAGACACGGATTCATCATAGTGGATGATACGGAAAGAATTGCGAGCCACTCAGGGCGTTTTGCTGCATCCAATTGAACAGCAATGCAGCAAATGAAAAGATAGCTTAATGCTACTGTGAACGGATAACTTTGATAATATAATTTAAATTTCGCGCGGAGGTTTTCCTGTCGTGTAGTCACGTGGCGCCATCTTGACGGCGCCGGTGGACCCTCTGGCGGCTATAACCTTGTACTATTCAGTAAGCGATTGGCAACGGGTCGAGCGAGTCAAGTGATTAAAAAAATGGCATCCGCGACGACGTCGCACAATGAGGTATCGCAGCAATTTTCCGTCAACAAACTCATCCGCGTCGGCTACTACGAGCTGGAGAAGACCATCGGCAAGGGAAATTTCGCCGTTGTCAAAATGGCCACCCATGTCGTGACAAAATCCAAGGTACGGCCGCGCTTCGTCCGAGAACCTCGCAGCCCTGCGAAGCCGTCATTTTGTCGTTATATCTGCGAATAATATCGCAAGGCCGGGATTTTTCGCAGATTTCTCTCGACCGCGGGTCTGCCGTTCGCGAGAGCGAGCTGTCATACTCCCGGTCGAGGGTCTACGTCCTTCGGACCTTCGCGAGCGAGTCGCTTTTTAACTTCCGAGGACCTCCGCCACTACACGAATTCAGACACGTTGTTTACCAATTTTCTTTATAAATTGGCCACTTCCGCCTCGCGGGATCGCCCTATCAGGCGAGATCTCGCGGGACGTTTTCGCCGGGCTCCTAGGAATTCCACTAACGTTGCACCCTTTTTTTCTCCCGTTGACAGAATTACCAGAATTGCCAGGGACGTTCGTTCTCTTGTACGTGGGAGTAATTGTTTACCAATTTTCTTTTCAAGTGGACGATGCTTGTCTCAAGTACTCACCTGTTCCAACGCTGCTTCTGAAGGAGCTATTCGCTTTGCGAGAGACTTACGGATACCGATCGTCCTACGATCGAAAACAACTCTTGTGGATATGCTGTGTCTCATTTATGGCATTAATTGCTCGTTGATTCTCTTTTTATCGCAACACTTAACATAAATTAGAGAAAGACTAGTGCTCTCCTTTTTGTTAGAAATATATTGATGAAAAAGGGCTCGCTGGAAAACATCAACCGTAAAAATTTCTATTTTTTCCTCGGGTTTTGGAGAGTATGGGAAATGTATTTGTTTAGTTTTTCGACGTTAAGCTGTCCACTTTTTCCTGGGGAAAGAGGAAGGGAATGTAATTTTCATTTTCCATGGGGAGGTTCGTACACAAATTCGTACTTTTCCCTGGGATTCCTTTGGTGGAGCATAACGCTAGTGGGTACTTTTTGTGCGAAAGAGAAAGTCGGGGCAATTTTGTTCTTCGTGACGCGCGGCGAGATATAATTTTGTGAATAAGTAAAATAAAATCGCGTATGAGAGTAGAGCAAGGAAGAATTAGCATTCGGAATTGCACCGAAAGAAGAGGGATTTCCCTCAGGTTTTTTTCTTGCTTCGTAAATTACACGAATTTCTTTCATGACTTTCATGATCCCCGAGAAGTTAAGCATTGAATTATCGTGCGAGCGAGCTCGTGCATACCGAACGAGAGTTACCTGGAAATCTGAATTAATCGCCGATAAAGAAAGAGAGAAAAATAAGTAAATAACTAGAATCGACGAGCAATCGCGATGTTCAAAACTGCCCAGAAAATAGTGCCCCATGCTTCAGTACTTAATACAGAAGAAACTCGAATTTCAGTAATCGGCGTTTTCAGAAAGATCTCTCTCAAAAAATCGAGATTAAAGTCTCTTTAGAAAAATTCCGAGGGATGTTTAGTTTCCAAGATAATCGACATTTAAGTCGACCAATGGGAGCGCTTGACTGCGCGGACTTTCCCTTGGAGCCGGCTCGCGATTGGTCGATTTTTATCGCGCGATATCTCGGAAATGGGAAGCCTTGGCAAAATTTGGCAAAGAGAACTTTTGATTGAGTTTTTTATCGTGATTGTGTTGGTCATAAAAAATCCAACGATTTCGTGCAGTTAACCTGTTTTTTTAGTCTCTGCCTCCGTAGTCGTGCTTTTTTTTCACCTCTACATAAATAACGCTTAATCAAACGTCGACGCATTTCCTCGTGCACCGCAAGCAGTTGCGTTTGTTTAATTGAGATAAGTGTCAGTTAAATTTCCGAGGAACCCTCGCGTCCAGAAGCCTGAGTCCTCCAAAGCCGAGAGCGCGATGGTGATTACTGACAATTAGCGCGAATTAATGGGTTTTGCCGAAGCCTGCCACGTTAGAAAGTTCCCAGATGGTCGATCTAGTACTCTGACAAAAGACCACAAGATTACTCTCCTCTTGTTTAAATTACATTCCTCTTTTAATATGTCTTACTTCATATACAAATAACCTATAACATATAAAGCTCATAATTATAAACATGGGTTAAGTCATCTCTCTCATATTTTTCTTAACTTGCATTGTAATTTAAATGTATGCAACACAAAATTTGGGATGAATTCATTTTTATCTTTTAGATATCTTATTTCGTCTATTTTCAAAAGGATAAATATTCTTTTAATTATTCTCTTTGGCTTCGCTGCTTCGATATCTTGTAAACATATTTTAATTGTTTATAGATTATGCAGTATATCGGATGGCATTCTAGTACTTTAGTATTTTGCATCTATATCTTAATTGTTTGAATGTATTATGGGCATTGGACATTCAATGGTGTTTCTGGAGAGGTTCGAGCACTGCATCCTGACCAGTTGCTGTCATTTAGCATGTCTCCGTCACATGATCTTGCTAATTGTGTGTGCTGGCAAATACTTTGTGGGTTTGCCTTCTGCGAACATGCACCGAGCACTTTCGAGAGGCATGAACACATGTTCCAAGCCAAAATAAACCAAGACTCCTTGATTCAAGGAATTAGTACATGCAGTTTTTACGAATCCCCACCATTTTCCTAAATAAATTATTCATAGGCTTGCACAGCCTCAGATTCTTCTGTTTGGGATTTATTAACAATAAGCTAATGTCTACAAGGAAACTTCCTCCTGTCGACAGGTCTTCAACGATGGTTTCTTCCTTCCCTGAAAGCAAAACTCGTGTTAATGACACGCTTTTCTTGTTTCAGGTGGCTATTAAAATAATAGATAAAACAAAACTAAACGAGGAGAACCTAGCAAAGATCTTCCGAGAGGTGCACATAATGAAGAGGCTGCGACACCCACACATAATTAGACTGTACCAAGTGATGGAAACGGAGAAGATGATATACTTGGTAACAGAATATGCACCTGGAGGAGAGATATTTGACTACCTTGTCCGAAATGGCAGAATGGCAGAGCCCGAGGCGAGAAGAGTGTTTCGACAAATTGTTCGGGCTGTGCGTTATCTCCACCAGCAACGAGTGGTTCATCGAGATCTTAAGGTTAACAGCGAGTTCCGTCCCGTCAACCTTCCAATTCATGTGCTATTCGGTTTCTCACCCCATTGTCATACAAATCTCTGTTCACGCAGGCTGAAAATCTGCTGCTCGATGCAGACAATAATATAAAACTCGCTGACTTTGGATTTAGCAATGAGTACACACCAGGCGTTCCATTGAGCACTTGGTGTGGTTCACCTCCTTATGCTGCTCCGGAGATTTTTGAAGGGAAACATTACGATGGGCCCAGAGCTGACGTATGGGTATGTACTGTGAAACTCAAATTATTTTACCCGGTGGCTTAAGTGATAGTGCTAATTACGTCACCGTTTAATGACATGGCTTAACAATGCGTGACAACATTGCTTTTACAGAGCCTCGGTGTAGTCTTGTATGTATTAGTTTGTGGCGCTCTACCATTCGATGGTCCTACGATGCAGTCGTTACGTTCTGTGGTGATCTCAGGAAAATTTAGGATACCTTTTTTCATGTCCGCAGGTGAGTTTTTACCCTTTTGAGTAATTATTTCTTCATCGTTGCAGGATCAATGACATGTCTCTTTTTGCAGAATGCGAAAAGCTCATTAGACACATGTTGGTGGTAGAGCCTGAACGTCGTCTAAGTATATCACAGATTTTTGCGCATCCTTGGATGGGTGGCGATGGAGTGGTGGAGCCAGAGCCAGGAGGGTACGTACTTGTAACCTACTGTAACCTGAACTGTAACCGCAATAATGAGTGGAATGGCGAAACCATGGTAATTAATAAAAATAATATGTTCACCTGTGCTTTGAACTCACTGAAACTCGGTCGTGAATGTTTTAATGCAACGCGTCGAATCGACGTCCAGGTCCAGTTCTGAGCCATCCCCACAGTTGAATCAGCTCGTGATAGAGAATATGCTGAGGTTACCAGGACTCAGTGCCGATACTCTCCTGCAAGCTGTGCAAGGGAATGCCTTCGACCACGTGTCGGCCATTTACAATTTACTGGCGGATCGGTTGGAGCCGACCATGTCTAACATGCCAACTATCCAGAGCATGCCTGGAGATTACGTGGCCGACGACACCCAACAGCTGGAAAAGGTAATGCGCGTTTCTTCTACTTTTTTGCCTTTCGAAGTGGCCTTCCTAATACCAAAGAATTTAAAGTTTCCATAGAAGCCCAGGTCATATGTTGGCGTTTGATGCTCTGAAAGTTGGCTAACTAACTAAGAGTGGGGATAAAAAAGAGATCACACGAGTTAGCCAACGGTATCTCAAACATGAGAGGAAGAGAGACACGAATAGAAAAGCCAGTACTGTGTGTAAGATAAAAGAAGAATGCAATCCGCTATATATCGCCATAAGATTAAAAAACACGGAGAGACGATTACAACGCTGCCATCTATTGGCTAACGTACTATTCGTCGAGCATCAAACGTCCGTATCCCTTCTGGGCTTCTATCGTGACTCGTGAATTTTTTCCTAATACGTTGCACCTCAATTGACAGTTTGGCGAGGCGGAGTCGGAAACGGAAGAACGAAGCGGTCTCCAGCTTCCGTCGGGAACGCCTTATCACGCGACGAGAAGACACACCGTTGGTCCTGGAGATACGGCCCATCAGCCGCCCACGCAATATCCCTACACCTGCACGTATTCGGCAGGCTACCCTCCGTTACAGCTACTTCCTATTTTACAGTGCAACATCGATCCCCAAGTACTGCCCCATACAAATCTCCCCTTGAATCTTCCTTTGGTCCAGCACCAGCCTCCGCAGAATTTCCAGATCAAGGATCAGCACCTACTCAAACCGCCTCCAGTCATGGGAGCTAGTAAGTCCCTTTGAAACCAATTATTTTTACAAAAAGTAATTTTACAATATGGACGCAGACTATACTTTTAGAATCCAAATGTTTTTTCTAACGAACACTCAGGCTAAACTATTTTTTTTTCCAGCCAGCAGTTTTGGAAGGAGAGCCTCTGACGGGGGTGCCAATCTTCACGTTTTTTACCAACAACAGCACAACAGCGGAACTGGTAGCGGCGATGATGGCGGGTGGAGTCAACCTGGAAGCAGGGAACATTTACAGCCTGTAAGATTGGCTACGTCGGACATGATTTGAGACTCTGCGAAACTACGACAGCCATATTGAATCATGACAAATTAAAAAAAAAAAAAAGAATCTAAATTTCATGGGTGTCGGAACCTTCCTTAGAGTCTCCATATTTACGTGGTAAAGTTTAAAACGATCCGGTACCCCAGTTCGGAGAAAAGTTTTATAAACGAGACCCCTTAGTCGCCATTTTCATGTCACCGTGAGCCGATGATCTTCCTTTCTCTTCGATTCTAATGAACTGATGCTTTTTACAGTTGCAAGCCGGTAGTCCGACCGTTGCACAGTGTTCTCAGTCCTTAAACGTTAGCAGCGGCGAGGGCAGTGGAAGTAGCAGTAGTGGGAACAGCACAGGAAGTGATAGAAGGAGACGAAGCGGTCTTACAGCAGTTATGCAGCGGCCAGGTAAGTAGAGCTGTATCTCTCGTCAATTAATGCACACCTGTTTGTACCTCCAACCGAGGTATTAGTCGTCTGATCGTGTGTTACCATCTCCGACATTCCATATCTCGTTCTTAAGCCTGAACGGAAGGAACTGCGTGTACGCTCAGTGGCAGTAGTCCCATTAGTGTCCGTAGATCCTATCACTCGAAGTCCACTGTAAAACTTATACAATTTTTTTTTTCTCTCTCTCTTCGTCCTTCCTCAGAATTTATTTCGCACTGTGCCTCATAATTTTTGTTACTTTGGTTTATCCCCCTCTGACACCCTTCGGTAAGCTAGAAATAATTTTCTAGGATAATTTTTTAAGCGTCCTCTTAGTACTTTGCTCTTGATCCGATTATGTCAAGGTGATGCGCAATGTTAGATCTTGAAGTGGTAGAAAAGAATTGAAAATTGATGTTTTCGCATCACTTTGAAGACATTTTTCTGTGTTTGTACATGATTTTACTTTGGTTTCCGTTTGATTTGGTTTTTGCATGGTTTTGTTGCACCCGCTGCACTGCCCTGCCCTGTTGGTTGGTAACAATGCATGTAGTTATAAATCCGGAACTGGTCATGGAAGTGGAGGCCAGGATGAATAGGGCCTATCTTCCGTCGAGATTACTGCCGTCTCACCTTAGAGGATCCACCCTGCCACATCACAGGAAAACCTCGCTCTACCCCTCCAGTGCTGGTAAAATTTCGACATCTGCCCCGTTGGTGCGGATAACGTTGAAAGTCGTTGCAACGGTTCTCTACCATGTAAATCTTCGCCGGTTTTCAAAATCTCAAGATAGTAGTGATACAATGATAAGGCGCTCTTAAGAAAACTTAGGATATTAAGAGAAAGCTGGATATCGAGTATAATTTAACGGGAGACTTTCACGTCAGTTAATAGAGAAACCATGAAGATTCCACTATATTAACTTGTCCCATAAGTTCGTCCCATTTTTTTTTTTATATTAAGGTATTACAAAAGTGCGATATATATACATAAAAAAATCTACATTTATATAGCTTTTCTCCAAACTGAGTGCATTGAATAATTTAAAATTTAAAACGTGATTATGCAGGTCCCGATGAAGGTCTCGAAACTCATAACATTTCATTTTTCGAAGAAAAATTGTTTATTTTTCCTTGACAATAACCAAAAAAGTATTTTTATCGATTATTGAAATTTCGTGAGTTTCAAGACCTTAACTAGAATCTCCATCATGTGTTAAAGTTTCAGATTATTCGGTGCACTCAGGGTGGAGAATTCTTTTATAAATATTTTGACGTTTCGATACATATAGAATGACCCTTTCGACATATGGGCGAAATTCATCAAAGCGTGCAGACAATATTGGACGAAACGCCTTGAAGTGTCTTTAGTAGTCAAAGGGTTAATGAGAATTTATTTTGAGAAGTAAGATTAAACAATATTAATCAATGATGTATCCCCCTTTGTTGTTACCAACTTTTTCCCAATGTTGCATTTTTACGACCCCTCGCTTGAAAAAAAGTGTGATCAAATGTATAGTATTCAAATGGCACGAACTTGTGGGTATATTGAATTTATATGTTAGGGGAGGGCGCCGAGTAGTCGCATTATTGCTGAATGTTTAACTTTTCGCAGCAGGCAGCAGAGACTCGTACAAGGAACCAAGTCCTCATGTTAGTACGGAACGATATTCGCCGGTTCGACGAGCATCGGAAGGCTCCGGTCCACCTGGACCTGGGATCCAGGCTCTTCAGCAGGAGTACCAGCAGCTTCAAAGATTAGCATCCCCCTCGCACAGTCCTGCCAGTATTCCCGGATCTCCTGTCCACGAAAGAGGCGTTGCCGCCATAACGCAAGGTACTCTTCGAGATCAGTGACCCGACGAGTCGAACGTTTTAAGGGGGTCTGAAAATGATATCCGGAGGGTACTGTTTGCGAAACTCGTGTTTTGAAGAAAGGACATAACACCGATGAGAATACCGCTTCTTTTTTTACAGGTTTAAGCGGGTTAACCACGGCACCCGTACAGGGTAGCATAGTACATGGTACCCCGGCACAGCCGCCAGCAACACCTCTAGATTTGAGTCCGCTGAGACATCATAGATCACCTGCAACGACGCCAGTTAGTTATTCACCTAGCAATAGTCCCGCGCTGGATATGATACAAGAGGAGCATCCCGTAGACGTACCAAGGGTAAGAGGTATTACCATGTTTTGCTGTCTCTACAAACGCACAATTTCTGTGAATCGCAGCACGCATCTCTTCTGTCTCTGCATCGCTTGGAACCAATAAAATAAATCCTTATGAAAACTCGGAAACTCCAAAAAAAAAAAATTGAGTGATTTTCGTTAAGGGGCCTCCCTAGTCGGCCTTTAAAATCACGTGCTGAAGTTTCACATGATTCGGTGCACCAAATTTGGAGAAAAGTTTTATAAATATTTTTACCTTTTGTATATTTAGAATAACCTTTTCATATCACCTTAGGCCTCTTCAGGATCTTTCGAGTTCCTCGCTCGAGTCGCATTCTTCCTAGCTTTGGAAACCTTCATTTTTTGTGACTAACAAGTCCCGGCTCTTCCAGGTACCGCCGCAGATCTCGGTGACCGATGTCCTTGGCGGCCAGGTGACGCTGATCGGGTGCTCGCCGTCGCCGTCACCCTCGCCGGACTCCCTGGAGGACATCCTGCCCCACTACAGCCCGCTGCCCAGTTTTATAATTTCGGAGCCGTGCGATCCCCTGCGGCCGAGCATAACTCGAGGTATCGGTAGGCCCCTCGGCGCGTCCATCCCGACGGAGGTGGAGGTGACGTTGTCGGACGAGTCGAGCAGGCTGAACTCCGAGGCGATCCTAGGCCGGGTGAAGCAGATCATCGACGCCAGGGCGCCGCCGAAGGGCTTCATCTTCTCCAGGGAGGAGGTCGAGGGCGGTGGTCTCAGCCTGGAGTACCCTGGAGGGGTCCAGATCGAGCTCAGGGTCTGCGAATCCGAAGAGAGAGAGGTCAAGGGCATCAAAATGCGGAGGATCAGCGGGGACCAATTGCAGTATAGTCAGCTGTGCCAGCAACTGATCTCGTGCATCACCGTTTGACGGCAGCCGGCGCGCAACAAGTACTACCTTTTTTTACACTGCAACACGTTGCATCGCGTTACATTCCTGGTGGCACCCGCACCGCACATCACAGTATTGCACGCAAACGAGAGACCCCGGGGGGCGCCATGCCTCCACCCTCTGGTGGCCGTCGACTCGTAATGCGCAAGACTGGGCCGATGATCCCTGATTGCCACGCCGGTTCTTCCCTTCCGATCGAGCCGTACATCTGTTACGATGTCGCGTCGATTTTATCTCTACGTGGTTTAGGTGGATCGGCAAGAGTGGTTCGGCAGGATCGCTTTGAGTTTCGTTGAGGATGTACCATGTTAGATTTTTTACCCGGTATGTGCGAATTCGAGCATGATCTGTGATGGATGATAGAGTATGCATAGACTGTGTACTTCTTACACAGATCGTGGTATCTTCTTACACGGATCATGAATTTTTAACCGTGTAACACATTCTGGTCGACTCTTTCTGTTTACTTGCGATTCAATCGAATCGGTGCTGGATAGTCATGTAAATTATGTACTTCGTACACGAATCGAGGTTTTTATTAAGTTTCGTCGATGTTGTACAATGTGCTGTTGGGGGATAGGGATTTCTTTGCGTTCACGGTGTAACGATGTGCAATACTTGCTGGAGACTCGGTACTCCATTGTGTACGCTCGTCGTCGATGTTTCGGTCGTCGGTACACGAGGCGAAATTTGTACATATATTTTTTTTGTAATAAAGCCAGAAGATGTACAGCTATGTAGCACCGATTTCTTTATTTGCGTTGACTCGCGGGTTTGGCGACAGCTCAGAGGCCTGCGATCGTTGTCGACTCTTTTTCCATCTAAAAGTGTAACGAGGACTCGGGCATTATACTTCCTCATTATATTAGGCTGATGCATAAGTAATGGCGGTTTTAACGCGTTACGTTGTGTGTAAAAAAAACGCCATTACTTATGCATCAACCCTATACTTCCTATGTCCCTATTTAAACGAAACCGAGATACTTTATATTCTGGTAGAATGGCGATCCTGCTGCACCGCTGATCTACCAAAATCACGTTCAAACGTCATTATGTATAAACGAATTAACGGAGCGAATTAACAGGGAATTTCCTAGCCCTAAGGCAGATTGCTATCATCCGTGATTAGTGTGACATTTCTTAACTTTGATTAGTTAATCTTGATTCAGTGTAACGCGCGTTGGTTAACGGGTGGTTAACTTTAATCGCGCGTCAAGTAATCCTTGGTTAAGGATTTTAACTCGAATGTTGGTGCAACCGATAGAAACGTTCGTAATGTCTCGTACTGGACTTACTGTCCATTAATCGAACAAAAGAGCGCTGACACTGCTGGCCCTGACTTCTCGATCGGCCAAAAGTACATTTCTCGCGAAAGTCTGTCAAGTCTTTGCATTTCCATATCATAGTTCCAAGAGCCGAGGCATTTGCGTGCCGATAAGCACGTTTTCCAAATTCCCGCAAACGAGTTTCAACACATAACTTATGGATTAACAGACTCGTTAACCAGTTAACGGCGTTTAACGTGTATACACGTCAGTAAACCGTAACTTGACAGTAAATTCCGCAGTTAACTGGTTAACACGTAAACCTTTGTCTTTTTCAAATACCTCATTTTGCATTACTCTCGAACTCTCGTTTCATCTTGTCGATTTTCATTGCCGGTAGAATCGATATTTAAAGGTCTCATTGCATAGGCGCGTTTAAAAAGAAAAGAAATTCTGCATGTTAGATCATTCCAAAAGTTCTGTCTTTTCCCTTCTTTCTTTTTTTGACATTCAGTACTTCTGAAGTTACTTCAAGCTTCACTTGCAAAAACTATGGAACTTTTGGAACGGCCCGATATGTTATCAAATTTATTTTAGACTTGGTGAATGTGCCCAAAACTTAGCTTTTACCACGTTTAACCAAAGACTCCGAGTTGCAAGTGCACCGTTTATAATTGTATAGTACACGCACAATTTCAGATGAATTCGTGCGCTCGTACTGCGCTGATATGACTTCAGATAATTTCCAAAGTTATGTCGCTTTGTTCGCAAACTTTCAAGTGATCAGAAAGCGACAGAGCTTTTCGAATTACCTGATATTTTATTCTTACAAGGAAAAGGGAAACATTACCACGAGGCGAGTGTCGCTATCGTATCATCGAGTTCGCGTTTTGTTTCGTGAAAATGATTATTATATGATTACACTTACAGATCGGTTTGCACGGATCAATCAACAATTTATAATTACTTGATTAGTCACCTTTAAGGTGACGATAAATTGTCGCGATTTGTGAGCTGCGCAGTTAAATCGAGTTCTATAAATCTATACCTCAATACAGATCAGTTTACACGAATGAATCGCTACGATTTATCGTTATGGCCGCCTTAATTATTTGTTTCTTTAATAGTCTTTCACGCGTTGCTTGAAACGGTGTAATACTCGAACTCTTTGCTGCAAGTTTGATCGGGCGCGAAACCTCGTTTCTCCTTTTTTTTTTCTTATCCCTAATTTTGTTAACTGCATTTAAACGTCGCTTAGAAAGGGACTGTGCGCTGCGAGGTAGCCGAAACATTATTTTGTAGCCCCTGGACTTAATGATATGCTGCGACTTTCCCGGAATTAAACGAGGAGTCCCTTTTTCGCGCATTTTCTGGGGAAAGATCCGCATCTCGTAGTTATAATAGAAAGTAGTTCGACTGGGCTTCGGTCGTGACATCGTGATATCCACCTTTGATTTTGTAGCTGCCAATTTGATCGATTCGATGTGTCGGGTGTTGTGTATCGCATGATCCGGTTTGGGGGGCGTTTTTGTACCTCGAATCTAGTGAAAATGTTGAAAGTAACCGCCTCCCACGATTCCATATTTTTTACTATAGTAAAAATGTGAGATACTTCGCGTGAAACTACTCACAGGAAGTGAGCATCTCCCGCGATTCTGTAATTTGTACTATGATAAAAATGTGAGATACTTCGCATGAGACTACTCGACCAGAAATTTCGTGTCGAATGACGAGATCTCGGGCCGAGGTTTTTCAGTCTAATGATTTCACATTTTCACTTGGAGGACAGAATCGGGTAAATAAACTCACGCGAGGTGACTGCGAGAAATGAGCACTTTCGCCAAAAATACAGAACTGACCCCTTGGTCTCGGGACAGCTGTGATTTTCTTTTCTGAAAAATGCGGAAAGTCAGTTGATGATCGGTATAATACTTTTTACAAAAAATAAATAATAAAAAATGGAGCGGGATTCCAGGAGCGATTTGTTGCAGCCCACGTTCGACAATTCAAGTCGATTTAAGGAAATCGTTCAATTGTTATATTCTTTTTTAACTACTTTACTCTTTCTTTTTTTTTATTGTAAAGCTCGCCCAAAAAAATTAGACACTTTTTGTTGGTCGACGCGCCCGTTTAACGAATTCATTGACGAATCCTAATGATGATTATTCTATCCGGAAAAGATTTAGCGTTGAACGCTATAGGTATTTGTTGTAACTCGCTGGAATATAGAAGTACTTTTCTACTTACCTCTACGTCGTTGTCCGTCGTAAGATTGCCAGGGCGTTATTAATTATTCGATTGGAAAGTCGGACGCAGATTCGCGATCCTTCGTCCTTTGCCGTGAAGAAATTTATTTCTGTATAATTCAGCAAAAAAAGGCCTTCGTTCGCAAGGGCTGCTTTTCAGCGTGAAACGTGGCTAAAAAAAATTCCTGAAATTACCACATCGTTAATTAGCAAAATGATTGATGGGGGGATAATTTAATATTAATCAGTCGTGAAAGCCAAACGATCGGCGAGATTTGTCTCCGATTTCTCATTATATTTCGGCGTTAAAAGCGATCAAGGATACAACCTCTTGGGATTATTGTAATTAATTATTGTCACCAAACCCGTGTAAATAGTAAGCCTAGTTATGTAAATATAATCCGTGATACTTAGGTAAAAAAACACACACATATACGACATGTCACGAGTACTCGGGGAGTACTCGAGTCGAGCTACCGATATTTCTATTGACAAAAAGGAAAAAACATTAATGATTAGTCTGTTCTCCCGTGCTTTAACTGCGGCCTCCTCGCCGGGGCGTGCATATTTTCCAGTTTAATAACGCGATACCAAATGTACAAGAAACTCTTATACTATATCTCTCCGTACGAGCGATTCTACTCTCTTTGTTAAAGAAACAAAAAAAAGAAGACTATGAACAGCCGTATATTGTAAATATTATATCCGAGTGCGTTCACCATCTAGAGAACAGAAAATGGAGAGAGAGTCAGGTATGGGCAGCAGCAATTGTTATAAATTATACATCCGCAATTAATTAATAATACTTGATCGTCGGTTACATTTCCAATTTGTAATTTACCCTCTGTAGAAAATTGCAAAAATTTCTTACCAGGTCTTATCCTTCGCTGTATGATAAATCTGGTTTGTAGTCAAGTTGACGATGAGGTATCGATGAAAGAAAAGTTGTCGGAGCACTGACTCTTCTTAAAGTGGTATGAAAATTCCTGATTAATTGGAAGTGTAGTGTTGGATCGCTCTTTTAACTTTATAAATAGTCTGCCCACATCTGAGGGAGAGACGAGAGGCGATATTTAGTCAGGAAGATGTTATCTGGTCCTTATGATTGTTAACCGAATTCGGCGTCGACTTTGCGTCTTGTTAGTCAAAGTGGAGTAGCTGCTGTAAAGATTTGCCCTAGAAAAAAAAATGAAATCAGTTGTCGAGCCCAATTTCCATCAATCGCATAATTTCTGCAAGGTTCCTCCCGGACGTGCCTCGGGAATTTTTTACAGCGAGGGACACTTTTTAAAATCCTTTTATTATAAGTAATAGTCGGATGGTACTCTTTGGGCTCTTATCATTGTACGTGTGAGATGTGAGAGACTTCACTTGTAGCCTCGTTGCGAAATCGTCGGTATCTCTTCCACTGTACTTTGTAAAGGCGTTTTGAAATTGTTACGACTCCCTCGAAACTTCCAGTGGATAAGTCGCTTCGGAGATCGCTATATAATCCTTCATTTTTTATACGGTTCGCGACTTTCGAATTTAAATCGCGTATGAAATTAGTCATGAAATTCCTAAACGATTAGAACTTATCGCACGTACTCGTTTCAATTCTTGAGAGAAAAGGAGAAGATCGATTTGGGATTGTAAAATAACACACACGTTATGATAATCGAAATTCATTTTTTTCGAATTAGAATTCTTCTCGTGTAACTTTGTGACCTTGGTATGCTTAGATGTTCCATTAAAATTAAAACTAAATTACTATTATACTAATGCAATTATTTAAGGAAACAATTGCAGATATATTCTGTAATACAAATTATAGAAATAACGACGTATAGAGAATATATGTCATGTACAAAAAGTTGTATTTATTGCTTTTGATTCATGCAAATGGAGTTTAACTGTAGATCTAATTTTTATGGCAACGAGTTTAATAAATAACGGGAAAATATGTTTAAAATCAGTTATGACAAATTATTAGTATGGAACAGATAAGCGTCGAGGCATCAAAGTGATCCGATAAAAAATGTAGATCCGATTAGAATTATTGACAATTTCTTTCTAAAGCTCCTGAACTAAATTAAAACTTGCGAATGTTACGTGGAAATAAGAAAAGTAGCTGAGGGAAAAGGGAGATCAAGAACGAAGTTGGATAAATTTCTTCTCGTGCGGTGTCATTTTCTAATATCTACTCGTAGAAACAATTGATTAATTGGGCAGAATATGATATGCAAATTACGTTGATGGGAAGAGGGCATACGATCAATTACGCACAACCGTGCATAAGGAGTGCATCGTTTAGTGTAATGTAAAATCAATTATTGTACATAACACAAGATACACAAAACTGTACCGTACACCGATGTACCACCCAAGGTATACACATTTTATGCTGGAAGGAGTTATGTACATATTATTATTATACGAATAGAGTACAGATAGTATTTTCTGCTGTCAATTCTTCAACTAAGACTGTGATTTTTAAATATACTAATTAATAAATTAGTGCTCATACTTCATATGCTTTAACTACGTCCAAGGCGATTGAAAAGGTTCCGAAGGCATATGTTCTGCATCTTCCTGGTTACGGTAGAACTACCCAAAGTGTACGACACTCAGCTTGTAACACTTCAGAGGATAAGTTTATTGTAATATTTATAAATTTATACAGTGGTATTTTCTGTTGTCAGGAGCTATAAGAATTTTTTAAAGTATGTCATTCGAGAAATCTTTTGCACTCATGCTGGGTCGATGTCCAAGCATACTTTCTTACGCAACTGATATGACTCTTTTATTTTTAAATGTCATGCTGGGGCCAATGGACCGATTAGGCACTGCCCTGTGTACGATTACGTTGAATGATACTGGATTATTTCATGTGTTGTTCTTTGCATGTACATGTGCATACATTTACATATAAGAAGTATGGCCACTCTTTACACCATGAAGCAGATTCGAGTACACGAGCAAAATATAATTTTCCTCGACACTAGATAATAAATTTTAAAGAAAGATTTTTATAAAGTTTTAACACTTTCCATACACTTGCGTATTGGATTTGTTTGTGTTTATTGCATTATTATCAAGAGCCATGAAAAATTATCACAATGCCTCTCTTCATCACTGGATTTGAATGCAAAACAGATCGATACGAATAACGGTCTCTTCGATTTACAATTTAGTTCTCGTCAAACTTTCAACAAACGTTTAAAAAATAATCTGCACTTGACATTGAGCCGTTCTATTGTGTCTACCGCTGGGATAAGTTTTATATAAATAAGCGGAAACTATAAATATCTCATATCTCGTGTTAAATAAAGACACACTGTAAATATCTGCTATCTCATTGAACTGCACAGATCGGAGGAAAGTATGCAGAAGTACGTAGAGTTAATAACCATAAACGTGCAAAGAATAAGTCATTAAGTAATCGAAGCATTCCCTTGTGAAAAAATTTTCTTTACAGATGGACAAGTGATATATAAGCGACATGCACTCTAGCATATTATTTTGTAGATTTTGTATTAACATAAACAGTGCAAAACGTTCAAGAATGACTCGTCATCGCAGCCGCCTTTTCTCGCCAATCGCATTCCAGGAATGCTCGGTTCCAACGGAAAGTGGGATGATCGTGGTCACGATGCGTGACAGTAGCTTGACGACCGCTGACAGATCTCTTCACGTGTCGAATTTATGCATATCTGGCGCGGATCTATCCGTTAGATCCGCCTGTATCGACCAATCGCTGACGACCTGGTCCAGGGTGCACCAATCACAGGCCTCCGTGTGAACCTCTCCGCCAATCAGGTAACCGCATTGACAGAAACGCTACATCCGCCTAGTCTAAATTAATCGACATTTATTACATAATAATGCACTTTATCCTACCATTTCTTCCTCTGATATATGGAAGAACGTAACGTATGTTCAATCGTTTCAGTATTACGGGTTTTATAATGGTCGTGGGTGATTTAAGACTTCTTGATTGCGAGGCGTTATTTGTCAGTTTTGATCAAATCTCGCGCGCGTATTGCGGTTAGCCGATTCCCACACATGCGTTATGTCAGGTGTGTGCAACAAGTCCGACAAGTCCCACGCGTTGTTACACGTTTAGCAATCATACATCGCGAGTTCGAATGTTGGGGAAATAATTCGAAATTTTTCATTAAGCATCGCGCGTGAACGCGAGATTGGCATAGAGCGATAAAGGCGTCCTTGGGACACGTCCGACATGTAGCCGAGCCTCTGTTCGCGAAGGACTTGACATTACTTGACATGTAGGAGGACAGATGGTAACAGTGGCGTGAAAGTGACAGTCGTTAATTGCTGTAAACAAAGGTCTGTAAGCCACTGGGAGGCCTAATTATCGAGGAAAGAGCACCGCAGACTGCTTCTCCTCGATACGCGACGATATCGAGTGAGTATTGTTGAGTTGATTGCTATTCACGTGCGGAAGTCGTGTTAATTGTTCACCCTTTCTCTCTTGTAGGTTATGAGTCATCGGAGAGTTCAGATTCCACTGGTATCAAACTTTCAACTCCCCGACTTCCTCCCTATCTTCTTCATAACTGTCAGATTAACTTAATTGCATGAGACTGCAATTAGTGTAATTGTATTAGTCGTTCGATACCGAGAGTGATTGTTTACTTTTTTGGAGCTCAGGAAAGAGATCTCACAGATATTATTTAAGATACGAGATAAAGCATTTAGCGGAGCATGTACTGTATCAGCTAAAGAGGAGAGGAATCGTTGATCTGCAAACTTTGAAATGGCCAAGGAACGGCGAACGGTACATACTTCGGAATCGGTGTAGAAGTTTTGTATTTAAGATATTGATCTCATTCATAAGATTAGAAACTGCAGGAAATAATTTGTCTGTGAGGATCGGAAAGAGTATTTCCATATACAAGTATTACATGTCGATGTGGAATGAATCGATAGACAGAACTATATTTTAATGATGGCATAAGAATTTAGAATTCCCAAAGCTTTTCGAGAACAATAAGAAAAATTAGCTCCTTCAGTATTACTCAACATTACATTGAAAATGACGAGTGTTGTAAAAGATGTTCCTTGGGGATTACAAGCTATCGAATGGACATCGTCACGCTGTTGCCCGCAATGTAGATTCAATCGAATGGCTTGGCATCGAGGTGGTATCTTAGCCCTGACCTACCTGGGTTACACTTGCTATCATATGTCTCGAAAACCAATATCAGTTGTGAAAAATGTCTTAAGTCTGAACTGCAGTAGCTTATCCCCACCACCAGATATTCCAATCAACGATACCAATCGAGACACATGGTGCGATTGGGCACCATTTGGTAAGTGTTTATCTATCCTTTTTACATTATACATGAATGAAGAATATACTAGAGTTTACAAAAAAGAAGTTTTAATCTTTTAATAAAATTGTGCATTGTAAGTAACGTTTATCTTAATTTTGTAGATACTGAAGATGCACCTGCATTACTTGGTACATTGGATTCTGCATTTCTATTCGCGTATGCAGCAGCCATGTTTCTTAGGTAATTGCACATCGTTAAATGCATTGTAATCTGCGATATTTAAAGCAGAAGAAAAGAATTGAAAGATTCACATTAACTATTTGCAGTGGTTTTGTAGCAGAACGCGTAAACTTACGCTACTTTCTTTCATTCGGTATGTTAGGATCAGGCATTTCATGCTATCTTTTTGGTCTCGCAAGATCATACAACATTCATAGTTTGTGGTACTTCGTCTTAGTACAGGTAAGTAGAATTTATCACCCTCAATTTTATTGATATTTCCACACTTAATATCAATCATGTAATATAATTAACCATGACTAATTAAAAGAACAAGTACATCTTGCATAAAACAAGAATTTTAAACGACTTTCTTATTTTTTTCTGCAGATGAGAAAAAAGATTCAACTATTGTCTATTTTGCAAAATATTCTAATTTTTTTTTTTATGTATTGGTTATCCTTAACTATAACGATACACTTTATATGACTAGTGAAATACTAAATGTAAACGTATCTACATAATTGAACCATGAATTGAATCATGACTTTGTTATCTATTTGCATTCCTCTAAAACATTATCAATGTTTTGGTATATTGACGTTACTATGACAGCAACTTCATTCCTCTATTTCATTGCAGGCCTTGGGTGGTGTCTTCCAAACATCCGGATGGCCTGGCGTGGTAACTGTTGTGGGAAATTGGTTTGGAAAGGGAAAACGAGGTTTCATATTCGGAGTCTGGAATTCTCACACATCTCTTGGCAACATTTTGGGCAGCCTAATTGCTGCCGAATTTGTTGAAATTGACTGGGGCCTCAGCTTTATGGTGCCAGGGGCTGTAATGGGTTTTGCTGGTTTTATTCTTTTCTTGTTCTTGGCACCTAATCCTATGACAGTTGGATGCATTCCACCAGGTCCACTCGGATACAGGAAACTCGAAGTAACAAATAGCTCAGACGAATGTAGTTGTTCTGATGAGGTAGAGAGAGCTCGAGTTGGAGGAGATGATGTAAGTTTCCAATAAAGATCACTATAATTACTGTTTATTAAATGCTCTTTAGTATGTTGTGCATGTATAACATTATAGAATCAAAATTAATTAACAATTGAAACGTTTAAAAATTCTAAGAGCATGTTACAACACTAGATTTATCAGAGGAACGGTGACATTTTCTTTAATGCACTTATTTAAGAGTCAAGAAAGTCTAGATCTCAAGAAGTCAAGAGAGTCAAGAGTCTAGATCTCCCCATTGTTAAATACTCTTGACAAAGCTGCGTTACATTTAATTTTATATTTAGTTATCCATCATCTGCTTGTTATACTCTAACCTTTCTGCGTGGTATACTTTAGAGAATCACCTACCGTGGTATGTGGCGTTATCAAGACCTTAACCCTGTAAGTGCATGCTAACTTTATTTTTATTTATGTAAATTATCGTTTATTTACAATCAAGAATGGAGCATGTTGCATCTGCATGTGTTGACAGTCATAGTCATCTTTCTGGTTAAAGTTAATGTTATATTTATCATGAAAATAATTACAATCCATAAGCCAATGTGATATTAAATAAGTTATGTCATTAGTTAATAGAGAAGAGTTTCAGTGTTCCATTAACGGGGAATCAGAGTTACTAGAATGCAGAAGATACTAACAAAAAGAAAGAATTTGTTATCTTAAACTTGTTCCATGTATCGATTGGGATTTTATCATCAACATAATTTGTGTATATTTCTTTCTAAACCAACTTTTTTCAGGATACTGCCAGTATACATTCCGAAACCAGTCCTATGTTGTCAATAAACAGGCGTGTTTCATCCGGAGATGAAAAAGCCATTGGTTTTATCGGAGCAATGAGGATCCCTGGTGTCCTTGAGTATTCCTTCAGCTTGTTCTTTGCCAAGCTTGTGAGCTATACATTCCTCTACTGGTTGCCAAAATATATTACAGCATCGAGTTAGTATCTTATTATTGTTACGGTTTAACATTCTCTATTACTTCGTAATAATTTGCATGATTAAAAATTCTCCCCGGCCAGTTTCAGATAACCAGCATAAATGAAGGTCTTTTTCAACATGTATATCAAATATTTGTATATATTAATTAACAAAAAGTCTTGGGTGTGCTTACCTGAATCTTTCTTCTATTTTATTAACTTGGGCTACCAATTAAGTTTGGTTGTTCTGTATTAAGTATACATATTAATTTTCTACAGTTTACATTTCTAGGTTATTTTACCCAACTAGTATGTACATTGTGACAGACCTGTTTACTAAAATTATTTCACAAAAATATTAGCCTGCTTAATAAGGAAAAATAATTATTAACTATAACTTTTTCGAATTGGGCGTTTTAACCTATAGCAAGAAAGGTAGACTAAATAACCCAAAACTATTATTGCAAGAAACTTTTCCAATTGTTGTAGCTAAGTACAGTGCCACGTTAAGTGCTGACCTGTCGACGTTATTTGACGTCGGTGGTATTGCAGGAGCAATTGCAGCTGGTGTTTTTTCCGATTACAGTGGAATGAGTGCCTTGACCTGTGCCATTATGCTCTTGCTAGCTGTCCCTACGGTAAAAGTTCCTGTTATTGCATGACAGTTTATATAAACCCGCAGTGCACGAAGTTGAATCTTCCTATAAATGAATACATAGTCGTATCCTTTTCTTTGTTTATAATTTTAAGTGGTACTGGTTCTACTTTAAATTAAACGTAGTTTAAGCACATTGCTTGTATCAATTTGCGGCAACTAAATTTTAACTGTCAACAAAAAGTTAAACCCGTGATCCTGTATGTAATCCTGTTAAAGGTGTGGAAAGGAAAAAATGTAATCGTTTTACTTTACAGTTATTTATTTACGATTACATTGGAAGTTCAAGTCTCGGAGTCAATGTAGTGTTGTTATTAGTAGCTGGTTTACTAGTTAATGGACCGTATGCTCTTATCACAACTGCCGTATCAGCTGAGTTGGGAACACATCCCAGCTTAGGAGAGAATTCTAAAGCTCTGGCAACTGTCACTGCTATCATTGATGGAACTGGTAGCATTGGTGCGGCAGTTGGTCCTTTGCTAGCAGGATTGGTTTCTCGGTGGGCTGGTTGGCATAATGTATTTTACATGCTAATGGCTGCAGATGTGCTAGCTTTATTGGTAAGTCGATGAAAAATGTGTAACTGTATGTAACAAGGTGTTTACAATATGTTCGTTTCAGTTGCTGTCACGATTGGTGTATAGAGATATACGGTTGTTTGCACAACGACGCAGAACTGTATGAAAATACCTTGTGGTGGAAATGTGATTGAATTCTGTAAAAAAACATAAAAGGATCCCAGAAATCGACTTGCTAAGTAAGCACAAAAGAATACGATAGATATGTATTTTATTCGTAGCGTATGTCCCATTGATTTCTGAAGTTTTCCATGCAAACACCAATGTACAAAATACATATTATATTTTTATAATGTGTTGTAACTGTCCTAGATGAGATATTAAATGATCGTACGGAACTATAATCAGGAATACATCATTAGGTATTCACCTATTCTCTTTTTTTTATTTTAAATATTACTGCGAAATGTAAACAAAATGTGTTTAATTTCTTTGAGAGGCAAAGGTTTTAAGTAAAAGTACCAAAATCTTGACAAGTACGCAATTTTAATATATAAAAATGAATACATACATAGTGACCATTTCATGTTCATGTATGTATGTTAAAATAAATTAGGATTATTAACTATCTAATGTATATAGTTTCAAGGAATGCCAGTAGGAAAGATATAACTTATAGAGTCCCCAAATTCACCCCAATTCGTCCTTTGTGTTTGATAAGTTATAACCCATGCCAAGAAGATGCCTGTCCAAATAATAGCTCCTATGCCAGAAAATATGACATCTAAAAATAAAGAATTACTGTTAATTATACTGTCTTAAATGATTGCAAGTACTGTTAGTATGTATACAAGTAATCGAATAACCAAATGTACATTTTTTAATCTGCTTCTGTTCATCATAAGGAGGAGCTGTAAATGCTTCTTTCGCAAACCAAATTGCATTTACAGTCCATAGAAAGGGCAGCGCCGCAAAACCCGCTGAAATAATAAGTAACAATGTCATAACAATGAGAGGACTCACAAGATTGTGAAGTAAAGGCATAAAATATTTATATAAAATGTTATAAGAAATTCCCGTTACCTCGAAAGTACCACTTGCAAAGGTACAATTTCTGCTGATTGGGCATTTTGGATAAATCCATATTTAGTTAAATTAAGGGAAATACACTGGCTAACCTCAAAATATTACAGCTAGTTTTGTGGCACTTCCATCTATGCCATGAAAAAAAAAATTATGAAATATGCCGGAGATACAGACAGAGTTGAGTTGGGAGATTGCTCACGTGCAGGGTCGCGCGATCGCATCCTGTGCTGCCCCCTGATTTCGTACGTTAAGCTTTCACCGTTTTTTGCCCCCAAGGGCGGCGCAACGAATTTCTGATAGGAGCTCGCGCATTCGCAATGGCGGTACCATGTACCAGTCGCCATTGGCTCACGTACTCGTGATGGTAATACCATGCGGCAGTTGACCGTGGTGGCTTACCTACGCTTACCGACACTGCTCGCTTTTGATGGTAAGGGAAGATCACTCGTGACGCTCCTTTTGACTTTATCTACTTATCCACTACTATTAAGTATGTACACCGTTATTCATCGATGGTTTCCCCGCGGACCTACTGCCCTCTACAAACGCGCAATGTACTAGCGGCGGGAGCAGCGCGGAATTTAAATCGCCCAAGGAGAAGGGGTCTATTACGTAAAGCATATTGAGCGAAAATGAGTAGCCCACGGTATTACGGAACGTCCTTGGTGGTGAAAATGCGAGACCATTCATATGAATTGGCTCGACACATTTTTGGTGGAATCTCTCGGCCATCTGCAGTCAATTTCGCGATTTCATAGATGGCTCGGAAATACAGCGAGAGTTGTGAATCTTCTTATCACGTAATCACGGCTAATTTATAGACGCCGCCATCACTGTCGTTTGCCGCACTCTGTTTTCAACGAAGCATTTTGACAAGATGGAAGTGTTAAAGAATTCTGTTTCCTTAAATGCGAATAATTATTTGTTGCCAGATTGGCTTAATGCAGCCCAAAGTACAGGGGTAAGTATTACATCTTTTGGCACATCGAAAAAGGGTTTACATCTTCTGACTGCGTTACATTAATTTTGGTTAGGATGATTGTGCAAACTTTTGAACCTAATCGATAGGCGCTGTCACTTTTACACTTAACTCTGTTGTAACGTGATTTTCTATTAGCTCCTAATTACCTTCTCAAAAAGTCCACCTTTCATTATCTGACAACTTCCCAACAATTTTATAGGTTATGTAGAATAACTGTGTCATGACGTTTAAAGGCAATGACTTGACAAATTTTAAGAATAAAAACAGTCTGTTCATGTTTTATGAATCTATAGACTAAGTTCTGCCTACATATTAGACAAATAATTGTGTCTTTACAGACATCGATCATGGCTTGTGAATTTAATGGAGGTGTCGTAATCGGGGCTGATTCTCGTTCTACAACAGGGTAAACATAAATTTCTATGATATGTGACTGTGATTCATTTCGGTATTCGTATACGTTATCATTCCAATTTTTAGGGCCTACGTTGCCAACCGTTATGCAGACAAGCTAACCAGAGTGACCGATCACATATATTGCTGTCGTTCAGGATCCTCAGCAGATACTCAAGCAATTTCTGATATAGTCACCTATCACTTGAGTTTTCACCAGTAGGTTTTCATAGACTTTGGTTCCTTTAATGTTAATTTCTCTTGCTAATGCTTATTCTTAATTATTTATGCATCAGAATGGAGCTTGGAACTGCACCTCTTGTGGAAACTGCAGCAAACGTGTTCCGAGAGCTGTGTTACAATTATCGTGACTCCCTGCTGGCAGGTGTTCTGGTCGCAGGTTGGGATCGTCGCAATGGAGGTCAAGTTTACAGCATTCCTATAGGCGGCATGTGCGTTCGTCAACCGATAGCAATAGGTGGTTCAGGTTCCAGTTATGTTTATGGTTATGTGGATGCACACTACAAGCCAAACATGTCAAAGGACGAGTGCGTTGAATTGATTTCGAACAGTAAGTTTCCCATCACCCTCTCTACTACTTTTTGATCTCTGCTCTCCAAAGTTTTACTTATTACTCAAAATACAATATTTTCCAGCCCTGGCATTAGCAATGTCTCGCGACGGGAGCAGTGGAGGAGTCATACGAATTGGAGTGATTACCGAAGACGGAATCGAACGGCGAACAATTCTAGGAGACAAGCTACCGCAATTTTATGAGGGTTAAAATTGATCATGAACCTCTCCTTGAAATAGAATTACCACGCTTGTTATTTGCGCGTAAGTCTGCTAAGCAGTTCACTTTGCATTTGGTAAATAAAATTAACGAAACTTATTCGTTTCCATACATTACTCATCCTAACGATATCAGATACGTTTTCTTCGATAAGGTGAAGTGAAAATCGACATCTCGCTATTCAATAACTTGAATAGTGAAACATCTTGTGTGAATAAACCCTCTCGAGTCAGTGTTGATCCTTTGATCTCTCGGAAACTGCTTCGACTCGGTGTCAATGGTACTTTTACCACGTAATTTTTTCATTGTACAGTTAAAGGACGTTCGTAATCTGCGTTTCTACCAATCTGTTAGACCTGTCACGTGAAAAATAAAGGCGGGATATGCCTTCATCTTTTATCAGGGAGGGAGTTAACGACTTCCCGACCTTGTAAACAGTTCTTCGCCCATGTTAACGATCCTTTGACCTTGTAAACACCAGCTCGAGACTCGTGTTAACGACACTTTGCCCTTGCAATCGACTCTTCGGCATCCACGATTCTAGACCCACCCGAGCACATGTATATCCGTATTGCCCCGACTATATTTAGGTCGCATTATCCAATTACGAGGCTCGTCGCTCTGCCCGCGATTTTTACCGAGGTACTTAGGTCCATTGTCGAGCTGATGAGAAAATTGTCGCGTGGATACAGCACGCACTACCGCAGTTATGGATAATGGTAGCGGGAAAAGAGACCGACCCCCTTTTGCGACCGCGAGGAAGCCGCAGTCCACGCAGTCGCGATTCGCGTTCCAAGAAGGTGCGAATCGCGCACCACCTCGACTGGTATCGTCTCTTCAGCCTTGAATTCAACTTTTAAACCTGGAAACATTTTCCTCCCACCTTTGAGGTAAGTATTACACATTATGGAAGAAGAAATAAATGGCTACCATGCGCGTCGGAGGTGAAACTTCTTCTTTTTCTTTTTTTTTTAATTTTTATTTCACTGTAAATGGCATTGATTAACCGAGAGAATAAGCTCCTATTTTTTAATATATGAAATTAGAATATCGTGACATAAGTTTCACTTGAAGGAAGGAAAGGACTGGACTGAGTTTTGCGCCAAATACATTGCGTAGCTCAGCTCTCCCGAGGAATTATTTTGCGATTAAAAAAGAGATTCTTAATCGATTATTTATTCCCTTTTTACCGCAGCTTCGGCTTGCCTATATGGTCCTTTAATACGTCACAAGAACTTTACATGCAGTTTAAGTAAAATTTATATCCAAGTGGAGGACGCGATATCGCTCTCGCGCCATCCTACGTGCATTCCCTTTAACTTTCTTAAATATCTTCATTTCTCCTTCCGTTTATCATTAAGCCGCCTTCGGCACGCAACGGGCAACTCTGTGATTAGTCACGTCACTTCAAGTACCATTAATAAATGATAGTGTTTATTTCCCCTTATTGCAACGGCATTTCTCCAGGAATAATATCTTTATCTTCATTGTTCGTCCGATCGTCCTCTGGAGAGTCCGATCTGGAAAATTTCAAAGTGTAACTTCTTTATATGATGGCAATGCATGTAAATTTGCATGTTAATAAAAGTGCATCGAAAAGTCAAACACATTAGTTTCTTTAGTTTAATTTCTTATGGCACAGTAATACACGTAAATTCGCATATCTTGAAAATCGTCCGTTTCGAAAAGTGAAACATTTCATCTTTTCACATTTAATTATTATTTACACGTCCATCTATATAACCATTAAGTCAAGTTGTGCAAGCAATTTCCGTTAATGTTAACACATTGTTCTCTCGGTTAATCACTTTATTAATTATTAACCATAAGTAAAATGCACAGGTGACCCCAGGATCCACCTCTTCGGCAAGCATTCGCCAAAAATGAAGATCACCGCCTGCACGCAGAAGATACTCCATCAAAGAAACTGATATCACAAATCAGTCCAATCGATCCCGTTGCATTTTAATTTCGAGATCATCGATGAAGCTTTGATGAAGAAGATACTCCATCAAGGAAACTGATATCACCAATCGATCCCGTTGCATCTTAATTTCGGGATCATCGATGAAGCTTTGACGGAGAAGATACTCCATCGAGGAAACTAATATCACAAATCAATCCCGTTGCATCTTAATTTCGAGATCATCGATGAAGTTTTGATGGGCAAAACTCGCAACGACTCAAAAAAAAGAATCAAGAGGACACCCCGTTTAAGCAGTGGAAGAGGTCGGTAGAGTTCCTGAAAAGTAACCAGATCGCGAGATTCCTTTCTGCAAAAAGATGGCATCAGATGGTCCAGGTGACGACTTACCTGGGTGGGCACCCGAGGTGCCCTCGGTCCAGGAAGTCGGCAGATCTATGCAGAATTTCGGCACTTACGATTATGCCATTTTCACGGCGATGTTGATGGCCTGCGGCTCCATCGGGGTCTACTTCGGGTTCGTGAAAAAATCCACCGGGGAAGATGAGTACCTGGTCGGTGGAAGAAACATGAAAACCTTCCCCATAAGCTTGAGTCTGATAGCCAGCTTCATTTCCGGAATTTCCCTTCTGGGCACGCCCACGGAAATTTATGTCCATGGCACAGCTTATCTCTTCATAGGGTTCGGGGTCATCATCGTGGGGGTGGTCATGTCCAGGGTGTTTCTTCCCGTTTTTCATGAGCTTAAGCTGACCAGCACTTATCAGTACCTGGAGATGCGGTTTGATAAGAAGATTCGCCTCCTAGGCTCTGTGCTCTTCTCCATCGGTATAGTAAGTGACCTGGCGATGATAGTTAAATATAGTTATCTTTAATACTTTCATTGCCCTTCTGAGTACATTTTCTATGGACCCACTTTCTTATTTGTTTTATTTTAGGCAGTTAATTATTTTGAAAAAAAAAAATGTGAAAATATTTAGAGCGGCACTTCTACACTGAGAGAATAATTTCATTGAACTAAAGGAATACTTTTTAAATTCAAAGAATAATTATTTCACTCTAATAGGAGCTTAACATTTATCTGGTGACCGAAGAGTCCCAGGGAGGTAACGGGGAGTTCATTTGTTATTAATTTCTTACTTGGAGATTTCTGATCGATCGACTCTTTTGCAGATGACGTGGCTCCCGATTGTCATCTACGTGCCAGCTTTAGCTTTCAATCAAGGTAAACCTACGGATTGGAAAAATGTATGAAATTAATTTTGGAACCTTTACAGATCTGTCCGTGAATTTATGGAACGACTCAGTACTACCTTTATACGCGAGATAATAAATTCTCACGATATTTCACTCAAATGTAGTTATTTATACGACACGATCTGCTTCACTGGTTTTACTTTTTTTTTTTCTCTTTTCATGCAATTCTTAACATTTACTTTATTCATACAGTTACCGGAGTCAACGTCCACATCGTCACCCCGTTCGTCTGCATCGTGTGCATCTTTTACACCTGCGTGGTAAATAAAAAATGAAAAAAAGGAATTATTTAGTGTTGCGAAATGTAGGAAGGAATATTTTAGCGTTTACCTAAAGCGTCTGATTTAGGGTGGACTGAGAGCGGTAGTGTGGACCGATTTCGTTCAAGCTTTCATCATGTTCGGAGCCATGCTTTTAGTCGCTATTAAAGGCACTTCCGACCTCGGTGGTCTACAAGTCGTGATTAACAGGAATTTGGAATCTGGAAGGATCGAGTTGCCTTCGTGAGTTTTTTTTTCGATTTTATCCTGATCTTCTTTGTCCATCATTAAGGTGGTGTGAAAGTGGCGTCAAAGAGGTCTCGTTGATGAAACTTTTCTCTAACTGGGTGTACCGAATCGTCTTAGACTTTAAAACGTGAATATGGAAACTATAAGGAAGATCCTGACACCCATGATATTTCAATTTTTTAATAATTTGTTTAATAGCACTGCTAAATGTTTTTTCTAAGAAATGAAATTTCATGGGTGTCAGGATCTTCCTTATAGCCTCCATAATCACATTGTAATGTTTGAAACGATTCAGTACACCCAGTTAGAAGAAAAGTTGCATGAACAATTGATCCCTCGGATGACACTTTCATATCCTCTTAATTGCAAGAATGGAACTTCCATTCATTATTTGGATATCTTTCGAAGGTTTGATTGGAGTCCTTTGACCAGACACACGATGTGGTCTCTTGTGATAGGAGGCTTCGTTCACTGGCTACAGATCTCAGCTATTAATCAAAACATGATTCAGAGATATCTTGCATTGCCCAGCTTAAGATCAGCTCGCACGTACGTTTTAAGATTATAAAGAATCATGCAACTTAGGTCTTATTCGTAACACGTAATGTTAAAGATTAATGCAATTTGATGGAATTTGTTTTTCCCTCATGTGTAACCTTTTTTCAGTGCGCTGTGGTTTTTCATCGTTGGAGTTCTCATTCTGATTGGAATATGTGGTTACGCAGGCCTACTTATTTATGCAACTTACCATGAATGCGATCCCCTCACAACGAAGGTAATGAATATTGAAAATATTTCCTATTTTAAATAATAAAATTAAATCAATTCTATCATTTTTATAGAACTATGTAGCTTGCCAAAGCAAAGGATCAAAATATATCCTGCTCCGAGAATTAGTTGGCACATCAATTGTATCGTGTTCAGAGAACAATGTTTCTAATGATTGTTTTTCTTTGCAGCTTGCTGGAGCAAAAGATCAATTATTACCTCTCTTGGTGATGCATATTCTTGGAGATTTTCCAGGATTGCCAGGACTTTTTGTCGCAGCGGTGTTTAGTGCAGCACTTAGGTACTTCATTCTTCTCATCCGATTAATCTCAAAAGTATTTTCCTCTTCAACAATATAGCGTAATGACTTAAAAATAATATTTGCAGTTCTCTGTCCACTGGATTGAACTCAATGGCTGCTGTTGTGCTCGAAGACTTTATAAAACCATTTCGAAAGACACCCTTTACTCGAAGGGGAGCAGACATATTGATGAAGTTTACAGTTGTCCTTTTGGGAGCACTTTGCGTGGCACTTGTTTTCGTAGTCGAGAGGACTGGATCTCACATCCTGCAGGTAAATAAATCCACCCAGAAAAAATACGATTGACACTGATTTAAATTTCTCCTTGTTAAAGTTATCCATGAGCTTGTCATCGATTACCAGCGGACCATCCTTGGGAATTTTCAGCATGGGTATTCTGCTGCCGTGGGTCAATGCAAAAGTACGAATTAGATATCAATTGTTGAAGAAACTCTGCACTTTCCAGGTTATTCTAATTTATAGTGTTATAAGAATTATATAATACATAGGGTGCTCTTTTCGGTGGCCTCTTTGGACTTGGATTCATGGGGTGGCTCAGCCTCTCCGCAGAAGCTGCAATCACGAGTGGAAAGATCAAGTATTTCCAAAATATAATTGCCACTCCTTGCTTTCTTCAATAGACTCGTTTCTCAACTTTCTTGTATCTTGAAGGTTCATCGAGAAACCAGTCACCACGGAAGGCTGCACGTACAGTTTCCAGCAAGTTGAAAGCTTATTACTTGTCCCACCAGATGCAATTTTAGACGATGAAGATTTAATGTCGTAAGTACTGTAACGTATTTTTGAAAACATACATTTTTACTGGATATCACTGATTGATCCATTGGGAATTCATTTTTTTTAGAGAACCTTGGGCTGTGTATCGTGTCAGTTACCTGTGGTACACCGTCGTGGGAGCATTAGTAACGATGTGCATAGGACTCATAATTAGTTTCATTTCTCCCGACAGTACCGAAAAGTTGGATCCGATGTTAATGGCGCCATTTGTTCGGAAGTATTTAAAGAATCACGACAAAGAGCTGCAGAGAGCCCAAGTAAGCGAACTTTCAGAGTATCTCTACCCATGAATATTTTTATATCTCTTATCATTAACAATAAATCATTTTTTAGGGTTTTAATTCAGACCTAGAGCTTCCAGCAGTAAGTAACGACAGAAACGCGGACAGCGAATCAACCACGTAGTTATGCGAAAAATAAAATGAAATTCAGTTCACGTTGAAGGTCTTCCATTGTATGGTTCCTCTGATGAGTTCGCTAGGTTTTTCTACTATCCATGGATAAATAAGTATACACTGTGCCAGATACTGTGCTCGCTGCATCATCATGAAGACTTAATGGATCGTAGTGATAATTGCAGTATTAATAGGAAAAAAATCTTTATTTCCTATACATAGTGATTTCGGATGTAAACGTAGCAAGGCATGTCAAATGAAAATATTGCAGTGACAGATCGGTAACACGGTGATTGCGCAAGTTCGGTACATCCTCTTGCCGAGTGCTTAGAATTAAAAATCCCATTATTAGAAGGAATCTCGAACACTGACAAGCATGTATAACGACGTCAAACCTATTACAAGACTAAGATATGGAAAACGATGCTCGGTTAATGCGTAAATTACTTATCAACAACTTGTATATGTACATTGAAATTAGACACTATGACATTCCTATGCCGACTACAGGATACCCGTTTATTACTAGAGTCCAAGTACTTTGATACGAGTGACACGATCCGAACATTGCAATTAATCGCAGGACAACATTAAATAAACAGTAATTATTTTTCTTTTCAATTATTCTGCCACTCATTACATATATCAAGTATTACATTTTCCTGTATGAGAGTAGATAAACTCCGATGTTACTCTAAACATGTATAAACAATGGTAATACTTGTGCACTGTCACGAGGACAAGTTAACACCGCACTGATAACAATGTTTATCGTCTCATACAACAAAACATGATGTAGTGTAACTGACATACACAGTTATAGTATGGACACTAAGAAAGAGATGCGTTGAAAGATGTCTAAAAGATGTACTGTATTTGTTCCTGTATATCTGGAGAAATGAAAGTTTAGACATACTTATAGAGTGTAAAGTATAAAACATGAATATCTTAAAAAAGAGAAGAAGAAATGAACATGGTCACATAACATGTACATGGTTATCGGTTCAAAGTTAATAGCTAAAAATGCAGCAATGGTATCATTCCCGAGGTTGGTATTGTTTTGTATAATGTAACGTTCATGCCTCAGGAAAAGATGTTCCTCCCTCGTACAAACGATACAATTGCAAAAGTTTACTTCGATAACCTTTTCAATACTATGGAGATGTAAATCCCAAATAAAATACAGCCAAGAGGCTAGAAGTATTGAAAGTGTTAAAGAATTATTATATCTAATGATCTAAGTATACGTGTATGTAACTATAAATTACTTCAAGAATTATTTATTCAACTTACATATAGCAACAATGTATATTTTAGAGAAAATTCGTCATAAAGAGCATTCTGGTAATAAAGTCAGTTTCTCAAAAATATGGATCTTGTGCTAAAACGACAATTTCTCATCTTAATATGGGAATTCAGAGTATCCAGTTAATTGTCAGACTCTGAGTTTATCTCCAACTATTATTGTGTTTTTTTGTGAGAACAAAGCTTAGTGGTTCCAAACAAAAATTGAAGAAAGTAGGTAATTTCAACAAGCGATAACTATTCTTATTGTACTTGGAAATATCTTCCTTATGATAAAAATATGTTATAGACTAGAATCAGCCCTGAGACTGTGCAAGACATTTGGATTTCTTTTTGTGTCCATTAACTTTACAGTATTTTTCACTTTAGTGTTCTCATATTGTGACCATTCCGATTCCTAACCTAATTTCAAATAACTTTTTCTAAGTACGGTAGCAATTTTAGAAAAATATTTCTTAATATTTGCGTAATGCTGTTTTTGTGGATGTAGAGATACGTGGTCCTTACGTTCATCGGAAGATTGGTCAAGTGATCGAAAGAATCAGGTAAATGAAAAACTAGAATGTAATTAAGAAATATGGTAAACGAGTTTGAGAAAAACCCACAAACTCGTTTTCAAGTCATTTCACGTCGAGCAACTCAGAAGACATTGACATGTCTCTTAAGCACTCATATCTCTTTTCTTAAAGTGGCATCGTAAGTGCGTTTTCCTTATCGTAAAATTCACCCCTTTAAACTTTCGAAAACGAAAAGTTTCACAACTTAATTAGTACAATTCCATGCATATTCATTGTTATACCTAGAAATCAAGAAATGTCTTTACGACAAAATGCTTGGAAAAAATGTTCTTGTCTCAGGCCACTCTACGAGCCCCAAGGGACTACGAAGTAATTTCTTGAACCGATGGCATTCGTACTTTCTTCTCATAAATCATCGCATGTTCCGTACATGAACATCTGTCTTCTTGTGTGCTGTAATGACCAAACTCTGTTCGTCTGTTCATCTTGAAATATATAAGCGGATAAATAATGACATTCACAGTATATTATAAAATTTATATTCCAAAGGTAGGAAACGTCTATGTTTATAACAAATAATCTAGAACAAACCATTACAAAAAGGAGAAAAAAAAGTTTCAGAATTTAGATTTGAAGGCTCCATCGCTTTCAGAAAATAATAGTATTCGAAAATCTGCTGTCTTTTCTCTCGTTTATATACAACTGTCCTTACCAGGGTTACATTTTCGACGCTGCTGTCGCTGTCGCTACTACTTGATGTATTTCCATCCTCCAACATGAGTTTTGTCCCGAAACCATCAAGTTCCAGGTCCGTATAAAGTTGACTGAGTTGGTCGTTCACCAGAAGAGGTTGATTCATGTTCTTCAGGGCATTCTTATCCTTTTGCAGAACTTCATCTATTGCTTTCAAGGGCATCTGGTACTCGTAAATTAGCTGCGGTGTCAAGTCGACACCTTCTAACCAAGACGGCTCTTTTCGCAACATTCCTTGACACGGATGTCTTTTTTCCTTCTGTAATACATTATAATATATATTCTCATTTTCATCAAAATAATAGACAGGTGCATATAAGACACCTAATTTATACAAAGAGATAATTGATATAACCTCCTGCGTTTTTTGATCAGGATTGCAGCTGCTCCCGCTACTCTTATATAGAAAACTACTGTAAATACTGGAAGAACTGGATCCGTCTCCGTTATAATTATTGTGGCGAGGTGGCTTTATATTCACAGGCATAGCAGATTCAACGAGACTGGAGCAACCTCCGTCGACACTGACACATGGCGAAAACATTTCACCAGATGACTGTACCTGCAGCACATCACACGACAATTAAAACTTGTACACATTCCCCAAACTATGTATCACTGAAACGTGCATCTTCTTCAGTATATACCTTCTTTGAGAATTCTGATGCAACGGCAGTACTTCCACGCTCGCCTTTGACACGTGTCGCTTGAATAGTTGGTTCCTTCATCTCCATAGAATTATCAGCAACGGACTCTGAACGATTACACGTTGCTGACGCGTGCTCGGACATTGAAAAAGGCCTGTAGGTTGGAGCAGGAGCACCGATTATAGATGGATAGAACATATCGCCCATTCTATTGGTCACGCATTGAACTGGAACCAACACTGAAGAAACTAGCTATTAGTTTTCTTGCCTAATTTTTGGTAAGAATATAACATTTGCATTCACTCCTTTTGTTACGGTGTTATTTTAATCAGAGAGCTAAAAACCTTTACTGTGCTGTGAATATAGATTCACACGTAGGTATCAGCAATACAAGTCGTCAATTTAAATAAATTGTTTTTTTTTTCTTGACTCTTCAGTTATTTAAACTTTCTTTTTTTTTTAGCATTTATGGTAGAACATATTTCTAATCACCCACTTTTAAATAGTAAATCCTTGGCATATAGAGCTCTGTACCGTCTCGTTCAAATGTATTTGACTCGAAACTCTACCTTATTTCTTTCTATCACTCTTCATTATTTCTATGAAATTCTGTTGACTAGGAAATGTCACTCAACTGTATGGGTTTTGAAGCAGTGCTTGAGCCGATGGACAGGTTGACGAATTTTTGGGAACTGAACCCGTCATGGAGTCCTTAGTTTCAGATACAGGAACATAATAAACTGGTATCATCGAAGGGAATACTGGAAGCCTCGGTAACGCTTGGAAGCATCCTCTGAAAAATAAACGATTTGGATTTATTGAACAAGAACTGAGTACGACACATTGGGCTCCGCTGTTGTCGAACACTTTTCAACCACTGCAATAAATAAATAAGTTGCATAATAATTAGCGTAAATGAATTAACCAACCCATTAGTGGTGATACAAGGTTGAGCAGGTGTTAACGATACCATGGCAGCGATCGGAGCACGCATCGTAACATTTACATTCGATTGACCAAGAGACAGAGTATTGTTCGCAATTGTAGTGTTTATTGATGTAATTCCGGCATTATTAATCCCTAGAGTATCCTCGTGTCTGGCCATCTGTAGGGTAAAACATATTAGATTTTAAGGGTGCCTCTGTTTATCGATTCCTTTTTTTTCACAATCACAACTGAATTGAAAAATCGCAACAAGACAATAAGATTTATTATCTTACTCCTATAAATGGGTGCAGAAAAATCTGGGCTCGTGAATTTAATATCCTGTCTGCAATGTTAAAAATTGGTTTCTAGTACTCATATGTAGCTTTGATAGTTTAGGCACTCATAAATATTCCAAATATACATACTACCATTATGTGTTATATATCATACATAATATACCTTCAAATTTCCAATTTCGCAGCAATGATTTAACCTTCTCTTGGTTCCATGGGGCTGACGAAAGGATTTATCAGCGGTGACCTTTTTCAGAGAATCTTTCAACCTGTTGCTATATTTAATCCTGGACCTTAACTCCTTATGTTTCTGCACCATCAGCTTCTCCATGTCCTCGTTATGCTTGTTGAGCAACGACTTGGTCAACATAGGATGTTTAAAATGTTCAGGCCCCATGTTGTTGATTTTAACAATCAAAGTTTCCTCTCTGCTGGCTGAACTTGTCAGATTATTGGAACCACTGCTTAAACATTCCGTGCTTCCACTGCCACTGATGCCACTTCCATTTGTAGGAGATATACACTTTCGTCCTGACCGATAACAAGCACGAAAGTTAGGTTATATAAATATTCTTTGATTCGCATACGTAACAAAAGGTAAACAATTACCAATTTTTCTTAGAATTTGAAAAATGTTCTCTCAAAATCTTTGCACTTTAAAAAATGATATTAAATAATCTTTAAACTCTTTAGAAGCACTCGTTTATGCTTTTTAGCACTAAGAATTGTTTCAGCATCAACAGTTGTATAAAAAAACATTGTTTCGTTCACCTGCACAAATCGATTGAACTTGTCTACCCTCGTCACTACTGGGGACACTGACAAAAGTGGTGTTTTCTTCATCGCTGCCATAAGTTGCAATGAACGGTGGCTCACTGTTGAAGAACCTCTCGATGTTCTCATTGAAATTGAGCTGGTTATAGCTTGGCAGTGTTTCTGTAGAGCTTTTGCTGTCCTGGTACTCGTGGTGAGGAGACATCTCCCCGATAATGACGCTGTCGTGTTCCTGCAACAAGGGATTGCGTGATCCCTTCACAAGTATATTGTACGAGTTTAGAAATGTATTCCTTTTGACACCGTCATGGAGCTTCGGAGCAGTTGTGATAAGGAACTGTTAATCTCCAGGTGCTGAGAGGTTAGCCAATTTATTTTACAACCCTGCAACAGCATTATACCCAAAATTTCTAAGCACTCTACTCATAATCTACATAATTACCTACATTGTTACCCTGTTCTTAAATTCACTTAACCCTGAGCCTCGCTTAATAATGACAAAATCATGCAAAAAGGATGAAATAAAAAAGCTACGTAATCAAATTTCTTATACCTTTTCGTTCTGTTTTACTGTTCACTTTGGTAAAAACGCATTTTGCGACACAATAATCTTTGGATAAGCTGGACGATGAAGCGATTCCATTTTCGATACATTGTCTGAAGACCGAGAAGATTCGCTTTGTCTGGGGCCCAAATATTTGAAGAATATTTTATTATAAAAAATAAGGTGGAGACTTACCGACGTGCCTACACGGTTTCGAAATTGACGCTATCCTTCACCGTCCCTACAATATTTTCTTTGCCCTCTCGCCGTCGGTGTCTATGTACAAAACAATTTAGTACAGATTTTCCTAGTTTCATGGGAAGCGTAATTCACGTTAAATGGCGCTTCTAAACGCTTAAACGTGATTGTGATAACGCAGCGAGTTGATTCTCTTAATCAGCTGTGACTGCGGATTGAGACAGGTCATGGATTGATATAATTAAATGCTCTCTACTCACCTCTTACATTGTCACTTGTCTCTAAAAACGTTCAAATTGTTCTTAGGCAACAAAACTTATTTTCCCACTTCCAAAAGACAATTTGAAACCAATCGCATTAGCGACGTTTCATTGTATATCCGCAAAAACAATTTGCGATTATTAACGATGATAACCACGTTTTACTCTAATTTTGGCTTTTAAGAATAACGTAGATGTATGATTTCAAATTCTAGCCCGTTTCCTGCTCTCCAAAAACTCTTCCTTAATTCTCCTCGCGTTAAAAAAATGTCACGCTTTCTCGCCGATGAGTGAATAAATCTGACGATCGTTAAAAAAAAAGAAGGTCCAAGCAATCGTTAATTAAATAAAATTAATAAGTATCTACGACCTTATGCACATTTTGAATGAAATATTTAAAGACTCTCTCGTTCCACCCTCGACCAGCTTGAGGCACCATTTCTCTCGGATAAATTCAGTTTATTTCTTTCTTCTTGCAAAATTGCAATTAGCTGGAATTAGCGACTGTGTCGAAGAAACATAAAAATGTTAAGAAGCTGTCGCTGGTCCGCACCGCGGTAAAATGAACAAAAGTACCTTCCGAAACGACTCGTCAAATCAGAGTCGAGTTTACTGCCATTTTCGTAGCGTACTACCAGAGCATGTCTAGTGTAGTAGCGAATGGTGAGTTGTCGATACTAAAACGTAGATTATAGTCACCGAAAAGCTCCTATCGTCTCCTGTAGGATCCTTGACCACCTTCGAGGACTCTACTTCGTGCAACAGCGATTCCATGAAAGAGGCCAAAACGTTGTATCTCGTCGAGGTGTCGAGTTGTTCACCCACCTCGGACACTTTTGAGAAGTTCTGCAAGAGAATGATTCAATTGTCAGATTTCGATAAACTAGGCTTAATTTTCTATGTAATATGTACAGAGCATCAGGGAACTCGGCAGAGTCTCGCGCCATTTTTCTATTATTTTACGTTTATTTCAAATATTAAATGAAAATATGGAAAGAATTAAATTTAGTCCAAACACTAAAATGTTTTAGCTAAATCGCTTTGTCAATTTGAGAAAACATTGCACTGAATAAATCGAACGTTTTGGCTGTAAGTACCAGATTAGTTTAATATTTAGTGTGACCTACCACAATATTTGATGCGATCAACCAAAGAATTTAATCACGTCAACCAAATAGTTGTTTGTCGGTATAATAACCATACTCTATGAATGAACCAACAAAAAGTTGTACCCTTTCGACCAAATAGTTTTCTGCGTGTATACGAAAATGAAGAACTGAACAAATTATAAGATACACTGATAACACTGCCCATGTAAATCTACATTCTCAGTCGTTGATTATTTCGATGCCACAATAAATTCCAGTTAAAAGTAAATTGTCCCTGTAACATCACATTCAGCATCTGAGTTAAGTTAAAGAAAACTATAATGTAATGTTGCATCTAATTCAAGTTAAATCCCACTAATACGGTAGATATACAATGTTACGTATACTTGAACATGGCCTAATTTGCAATCTTTCCATTTTACGTCTTTCTATGTAAACCTTCATTTATGAGGTATACAAAAATGTATGTAAATTTCCATGGATTTTTATAAGTGCAAGAAGTGTACCTCTCTCAAAAGGGTTCGAATCTCCTCCTCGATAGCTTCGTTCCTCTCGGCAAGTTTTTCTCTGAGAGTAAAGGGCTCGTCGCGGTTTGGCTCTTTCGAAAGCTGATCATTCATCTCAGGACCCTCGAGGACCCTGTGTTGACCTACGACAAACTCTATTTTTTTTGTCCAAGGATTGATAAAGGACGACCAATGTGTCTCGAGTGTCACGTAGTCACCGTTCCGTCCTGCGAATCGGTATGGTTTCGACCTGAAGGAAGAGCCCTCCATTTTGGTCACCTGTATTTAGAAAAAATCCCCAGGCAAGGTCAAATCAGGTGAGTCACTCTCGGGTTTCTCGCAACGAGGATCGAGTGCAATTTACCCTAGACTTTCCGCGCCTTTTCTCAATTAATCGATCTCAGCTTTGAATTTCAGAAAGAGAGAGAGTACATATGACCATGGGGCCAAAAGTCCACTGTAAATCGCTAGACGGATCGATGCTCACAGTCTCGTGGATTTCTTTGATGATCGGTACGTCCTCGGGGTGGTAGAAGTCGAAAAGAGATCGTCCAACCATGTCCTGGGGGAGGTGCCCCAGGTACCGGGCCACGTCGGGGTCAACGTAAGAGATGCGCCAGGTCGCGGAATGGCGTCTCGTCAATTTCGAGGAAATCGATGTCTCTTCTGGCGCTAAGGTGTGGCAAGAAAACGAACATCAGCGATAACTTCTATCAGGATGCAATCTAATACAATGGTTGCTAGCTTTTGCCTCGGTTATGCACGGCCGTTTATTCCCAATCAGCCCTTGATCGGTAGATCGATCATTGATAAGACTTTGTATTCCGGCTTATCATCCCCGAGAACCCCAGAGTACAAAAAATTAGCCCACAGGTACACCCATAAGTACCCGATCCAAGACCGGACACACGCTCGCACACTGAGAAAAAAGAGTAGTTGAGCGAAACAAATGTACACGAAAAAAAAAGTATATATATATATATATATAAAATTATACATTTGCACTTTCAGCAAAGGACAGCATTGCTGATAAAGTTTTGCTCTTACTGCAGGAATAATCGCATCAACGACAAAAAATGAAGTACCACTGGTGTAGTCGGTGATGACAAGTTAAACGTCGTGGCGATGAAAAAGTTACGCAATTAATTGCTCGTTTTGTAACATTTTACGTTTCTAATCAATTACCGTCAATTAGTCACCTGGTCTTGAAATCAGAATCCAATCGGAAGATACACGCTCGAAATGTCTTTTTTATGTAACATCGTTACCTCTAAAATTACCGAGGATTACCCAACGAGAAACTCAACAGGGAAGAATCCTTCCTTGACCTTTTACCGAGAGCGAGCTTAACGACTTCGCGATTAATACATTGTCAAAAATCAGCCGCACCTAAAAATCAAAATTATGCAAATTTGACAACTACACATATCGTTTAATATAATATTTTCAGCATAGCTGTTTTTAAAACCAAACTTGAACCCCTGTGTCTTTACATTATCCTACCTCAATATTATCCTAACGGTGCAATTAATTATTACAATATGTACCATCGAGACTATACCGGCGACGATAAAAGAAAAAATAATATAAAAGTAGGAATAAAAATAACATAGGTATTTAAAAAATGTATGACAACAAGACGACATCGTTAGCCTCCGATTTGCAGGATTATCATTTTCAGGTGTCGCGATTCCTTTTCGACGAGTATCGTTCGCTCGCTTCTTCCTAGATTACCGATGAATAATTTACCATTTTTACAGAGTACTCGAAGATCGGGGCAGCTGATAAGTCATCAGCAGCTCTCGCGAGTAAAGACGTACCCTTGGACCCCTTATCCTCGCGGGTGATTTGATGCCGAAGAGAGTCCTTGTCCCTGGGTTGGGCAAAGTCGGCGAAGGGTCGTCCTGTCCAGGAGTCTCTCGCGAATCCTAAAGCTCTGCCTAGGGAGGAGGTCGTGCACAGGACGAGACCGTCCTGCATCGATACGACCGTGCAAAACCTCTCCTGGGGGAAGATATACCGAATCGATTAAATCGGAAAAGGTCGATCGGTCGGCCGAAAGAGAAGGAAAGTCGTAAGCTCGAAGGAAAACGGTGTTTATACGTGTATACGAGAGTCGACACGAAATCTCGATTAGCTTCTAGGCATTTCCCTCCGAGGGTCTCAGAGCGAAGAATCGGGCAGGTTCTTCGGCGCGTTTTTTCAACGGAGAACAATGCCCACTGTAGGTGCGCAAGACCCGAGGGATCGCCGATTTTCTGGAAGTAGGTCCTTTGTAAGGAGGATAAGGGAGCTAGGTTGTTCGTTATTGATATGGAGAGGTCATTCTATGTATATATAGACCGTGAAAATATTGATAAAACTTTTCACCAAACTGGGTGGACCGAATCGTTGGAAACTTTAACCCGTTAATTATGGAGGCCCTAAGACTCCGAGGATGACTCGAGGGTCCTCGAGAGTCCTGCCCTCGCGTCAGGACCGAGGACGACGCGCGTCTCTGGATGGAGAAATCCGACCAGTGTTCCTTTTTCTTATGGCTTTACCCCAATCCTTGGCGTACCAGTGGATACATCCAGGTTGATACTAACATCTTGAAAGCTGGACTCGTCTTGAGCATTGGTTCGCGGACCGAGTCCTGCGCCAGGACCGGACCATGTCTCCCCTTTTCGTTCTCCAGGATCCTCGGCGTCGACCAACTCTACAACTGCTACTTTATCATATACTCGTCAACAAACCATACTCTTGATAAATTGTCTAAGGACTACCCCCTTCACTCTTTCAATGATTAATTCTCGTTTTCCGTATTTCTTGGTTCCTTTCATGCTTTCGGGGGAAACTCAGTGACCTCTGGCTTCCGGTCCAAGATGGGAGAGACGCGAGTGGACGCTGGCAAATTTTCGCACCCCCGGGCGCGATATCGATGGCCTTATCGTGACCATGGCAGACCCGAAAGTCGTTTGGTCGGTCGGCAGCCCGAAGAGCCTCCTTGTGACGAGAGAGAAGAGGATGCCCCTCTGTCTCTCTCACTCTTTTTCTCGATCCGATCACCTAGGCAATTGTTTACTCCTTCGATCATTCCAACAATGCACCCCACGACCTCCATCTTTGAATCGATGATCGACCAATCAATGATTAGCGAATATTTCGATCGAATGACCTATCTGCTCTCGAGTATCAAACTCGTTGAGTTCGACTTTATGTGGTTAAGGTGATACGAAAGTGGCGTCAATGAGGAAACAATGAAATTCTTCTCCAAGCTGGGTATACCGGATTGTTTAAAACTTGACAATGTGAATATGGAGGCTATAAGGATGGTTCTGACACCCATAAATTTTCAACTTTTTGAAAACTTGCTTATAGACATTTTCAAATCTTTTTTATAAAAAATGAAATTTCACGAGTGTCAGGACCTTCCTTATAACCTCCATGTTCACGTTGTGAAGTTTGAAATGATTCGGTACACCCAGCTTGTAGAAAAGTTTCATGAACGCATCCCCTTAAGGTGATATAAAAGTGGCATCTGAGAGATCAATCGTTTATGAAACTTTTCTCCGAGCTGAATGTACCGAATCGTTTGAAACTTTACAACGTGAATATGGGCGATATAAAGCAGGTCCCGACACTCATGAAATTTGATTTTCTACGAACAATTTAAAAAATGTCTATAAACAAATTTTCCAACAATTGAAATTCCATGGGTGTCAGAACCTTCCTTCTAGTCTCGATTCTTTTTCTGCGTGCAGGGAATGATACCTACCGATTTCATTGATGACAAATTAGGAATCCAGAAATGGATATTAACGATTCCAATTTCAAGCCAGGCCTGAATCGATCGATCGGCGGAATTAAAAGTGTCGGCGAATAATTGCGTAAACACGAGGTTACATAAGTAAGCGGTATATATTTTCAGGTAACAACGACACAATTATGGCTCGCTGGGAGCACAGGAGGGTTATCTCGGAATTATGTAAAACAGACGGACGGGCGTCTAAAACGACAGATTTAATTGGCTAGGTCAATTTAAAGCGACTCCACCTTTATCGACTGCATCAATTCATCCGTTACGAAACTTCTCGATAGGGGATCATGGCAATACAATCGCAATAAATATCTTCGTTTAATTCAGTTATTGCTTATCAGTACCAAAACAATTATGAATGCATGGTGCACGAAAAAAAAAAGGAAAATTAAACAAAAATACCGTTTCAAAATTACCGTTCATGATGGGTTGAGAAAAAAAAAAATTATTTTCCAGGAGAGATTAACTACGTGCAGAAATTTACGTATTTCATGACAAAGAAATTCCTCAGTCCAGTTATTGTATCAGGGTAAAGATAAATAAAAAAAAAAAATTATAAATGCAGGGGGCACCGAAAATAAAATGAAATAAAATTAAATAAATCAGGGCGTACATGTTCGTGTTCGTTCGATTTGGTAATCATATACCGGTATGAAAATAATTAATGCATAAATGCGATAATAATTACAGGTTCATGGTGCATGAAAAAATGTAACTAAATGAAATTAAGTGAATATCGTAGCGTGCAACATTATGGATAAATGGAATCATGCAAATTTCTCTCCTAGGGCGAGTGGAATTTCCTATCATCTCCAGGAATTTTATCATAGGGTCAACGCAACTTGAAACGTCCCGTTTATTTTTTATATGTTTATCGAATTTTACCCGCGTTGGAAATAAAATTGAGATCGACGAGTGACTCCGGTCTGCTCATGGGAGTGAATTGCCAGGGTAAAAACGGCATCGATACCTCGGCTCGTATCGAGGTGTCCACATTTATCAATCAGTGTTAAAAAAACTCCGAATCAAACAATGTCCTTCGACCAGCCCCTCGCGAGGAGCAAACTAGACTTTTTCAAATTTTCATCGACAATTATGCTCGGAAAACTCTCATTCTTCTTCCCTCTCCCTCCAAAACTTCTCGTCAGTTCTACTAAAATGACTAAATGTATTAATATTAATATTAGAATGACATAACAAAATTAATATAAATAGATGCACCGACAGAAGAGTTAAAGCTTCTGACGAGAGATTTTGGAAAAAAAAAAAGAGGAATTCCATCTGAGGTGCGACTTTAAGGGGGCTTGACTTCGCGTTAAGGTCCTTTCACACCAGCGCCATGCACTTGCACTTCCTCCCTAAATCTGAAAGAGGAACTAACCTGCATAATGTTGCACAGTATTCGACGGTGCATTTGTGTCTGCATAGGATGGCAATTGCACCGCAGCATCCGACTGTTGCCCTGTATTTGTGAGGATCAATTCCGATTCGACATTCTCGGCCGAAGTCGTCTTCGACTTCTTCTTTTTGTGCTCCTTGTCCTTCCTTTTGCTGCCAGACTGCAAAGCCTCCCTGGTGGATTAAAGATATTTAATTAATGTCATTAAATAATTAATAACAAATCTAGTCTAATTCACCAGATTATACGGTTGTCCATCAACTCATGAATAACGCAAAGAGGCAGAAATCAGAATCTACTATTGCCAAATCATGGCATTGCAAAATATTGTTACGCAATATCCGCGTCTGTGATTTTCGATGTGCATTTATTGACAGAAGAAACCACGAGGAGACAAAAAGAAAGGTCTGGGATACTGCTAGCCTTCGAATATTATCACAACATGCCGAGCGATAACGATATAATTAAAAAAGAAAGGCCACTTTCATAATTACGGAGACAATTATCAATCACGTGGCGATGCGCAGCGTGGCAGTCTCTCTTATATAAAATGAAATGATCGTTTAAAAATTAATTGGAACATAAATATAAATAGACTTCCAGGTAACAATAGTTTCCCTCATTTCACGGATGCGAAGGTAGATCGAATGTTTCTTATTAAGATTCAGCCACGGCTTAATTTTTAAATCGACAAAACAGGGCCGTTATTTTTTAATTTTCATTTGGGTCTTATTATCTTTTATTTTTTCAAGTTGTTCTTTTATTTTTTTTTCTTTCTAAATACATATTGAATCTGTTAATGGCTAAGATTAGAACCTAGCAACATTGTTACGGTTGCAAGGCACGTGGCAAGTCGTGTGCAAGCAACGGAGGGAGTAATGCGTGCCCTGATTACATGTACTTACATTTCTATTTATTCCAGTGTGGCGTAAATGTATATAAATATATCTTCCGTAGAAGTAAATAATAGTGAGTCAAGTTTTAAGAAACTTCAACAAATATTTCAACGGCACAAAATCAGGCAACGAAAAAAAAAATAAATAAATAAACACCTCCAAATCGGCGGAAGCTAAATTTAAAACTATTTACCTGTAACGTACAAATATGTACACGAGATAAAAATTGCTCGCAAGAAATGAAAATTCGTAAATTTTGCCGCGAATAATTTGGAATACAGATTTCGGATGAAAAAGATGTCGCGAAGAAAAAATAAATCGTAATCTTTGCCACGTCCAATTTAAGATAAAAATTCAGATCAGATGCGTAAAATTCGTTGCGCACGATTTAAGGTAAAAATTTCGATAAAAATCGTGAAGTCCGAACTAATTGGACAGGATTTTTTAGACTCATTAAATAATTACCGGGATTCAAATAAAGAGGGAAGCCCATCGCAGTAGCCGCTGCTTTCAGATTGGTTGTTGTGCCTCGACACCGAACTTTCGCTGCTAAAAACAGAAAGATTACACAAATATTAGAATTCAACAGATGAAAGCATTCCTGAAAATAGCGAGGGAAAACCTGGGTTTCAATTCAGGACGAGGGTTGGCATTTGTGAAAGGGAAAAAAAAAAATATCCTAATACTAAATGTCGCTGGACTTTCATAACTTCACGTAGAGACACGTGCTCGTATATACGTCGGAACGTTGCAAAATTCCCCGGAACGAATTCACGTGGCCTGGAAGAAAACGATTCGATTCACATGTTTACCAAACGTGACTTCAAGATCCTTACAAGGGAAGTAATGCCTTTCACTGTCCCCTCTACCTAAGTATTCTATAAGGTGATATGAGAAACTGTACAAGCAACATTACATAGTGATACGTGTACTATCAGTATAGTGATAAGTAGTAGTATACTGACATGAGTAGAATTAAATTAGAGATAAAAATGAATATACAAATTTTTCGACGGATAAACAATACGTTTTATTTTAAACGTTATTCCAGAAGGGCATTTCTCATAATTAGAAAGCAAATCGTTAATAGAAGTGATATCGAAATAACAACTCTTGCTTACTAAAATTGAAGAAAATCAATTATAAAACAGTTAAGATAATTTCAGGCAACGTTTTAACAATTTGTTTTTCTTTTTTTTTTTTGTTTAATTCACCTGTTACATTGGCGCATCAAATTTTCCTCCCACAGGAAAAAGATATGTACATAAAGTATATGACAAAAAAGTAATGAAATATGCCGAGAGAAAAAAGAAAAAGGAAGAGGTAAAATGTTTTACAACGTAGCGAGGAGTTTTTTCGGCTTAGTAAGCCGATTAAATGAATAATACTTTTTATAGCTTTTCGAGAGAAAACTTGGATTTTCATCCTCGCGAGTCTTCTATTATTTGTCTGAATTATGGTCGGTATAAAAGTAATCGTCGTCGATATGTTGCTATTTGTAGACCAGAAGAGAGAACTCTGCCAATCAAATGTACATCTAATTAATTCCGTTTGTTGAAAGCATTCAGTCGTGGGCATTGTATCCGAGTAAGGAGGGTTCCATTGAGCATTTATATAATCTGTGATTCAGGGGAAAGGTTGAGGAGGATACTATAATGAGGGAGGATTGTTAACAGGTTTGTCCTTCCTCGTGTTCACTCCACCTTTTTATAGCGACTCATTATTTCTTCAAAACTTCATGTCGATTTAATTGTACCTTCGCATATTTTAAGGTCTCGCGAAGTAACAATTAACTTACAAGTAAATATTGTTTAAAATGTTCTTGATTAAAAATGGTGCATGATGAATTAGCAGCGAGTAAAACAACTAACATATAAACTCCGTAATTATTTAAAACTCAAGAAAAAGTATTTAGTTTCCAAATGTACGTTACAGAACCCCCTTTAGCAATCGCATAATCCTAATCATAGGAAGACATCGAGCAATGAGATGCGTTATTACGTAGACATCTTTTAAATACGCCCATTCAATAAATCATTACAAAATAAAATTCATAAACTACAGCGCAATATCTCGAAAAAAAATAGACCCAACAGTAGATAACTGAAGGGGTAGGAACTGCTTCACATCTTTTCCGAAAGTACAAAAATCACGATTCGCTCCACCACAAACTCCCCGTTAACAATTGAATATTCGTAATCATTCATCGACACGAAGAGCACATCAAATATTTACACTCCCAGTAGCATAAAAAAGAGAAACCAAGAGCACTCTTCTCCTCCCGAAGCACCAAAAAGCAGAAAAGAAACTCCATAACGATTCCTTCCACCACAGACTCGCTCTACAATCGCATAATACTAATCATTCATCAACATCGAGAGTACATCCTCCGTTACATAAAGAAAAGAAAGAAAAAGAGCCGAGGTCAGCTGCTCACCTCTGCGATTGGCTGTTGCTGCTGTTAGAGTAGGCCGAGTCGGATACTTTGGCGTTACCATCGAATTCCTCGATTTTCCTCGCTACGACGTCGGGGGAGGACCTCAGGTGAGCAAGTGCCTCGGTCATGTCGAGTGCACTATCACGGTTATCACTGGCTGCACCGATAAGCCTACACCTTCGCGAATCCACCGAAAAATCCCAGACGGTTCGCTCAGTCTTCGAGGAAGACGAGTCGACGAGGAGGACGCTTCTCGAGGAGCGTCTCGAGCATATGGTCGAGTTAAAAAGCGAGAAAATTAAAGTACTTGGGAAATCCTTAAATGCTATTCCAGCTCGGCCGCAGATATCGCCGATTAGTTGTGCACCCGTGTCGAGTATATCGAGAATTGGCAGTATCGGCGCATTGGACGCCTGTTCCCCTCTGTGGTACTCGACGCAGTATACAGAGAATTCCGCCATCACGCAGCTCGCCACGTGAGTCGGTGCTCCCACTTTTTCTGGCGATAATATCCTTGCGAATCGGCGCCCCTCTTCGGCCAGTAAATGCGATTCGACCGGCAGAACGGGCCGAGCCTTCCTCGGCTTCTGATGTCCCCTCTCCCGAGACATGTATTTATTTTTCATATTTCATGTAACACTCGTATAGGCTTTCGTTTCTTCATATTATATTCTCTTCTACGTTCCATCTTCTAAGTGTTGCCAGCTGCTGCTCCGAATACAGAACTGATAACAAAGAAATGAATTAATCACAGTTGCACTCGTAGCTTAACATGCCTTTCTCGAGGTCTACAGAGACCCGCACCGATTTCCTTTTATCATTTACCCTTATTTGCTGTTTTCAATCACCTAAATATTGATTACACGGAGAAATTAGAAAACCTTCTTCTAAAGAAAAAGAGCTCGTACACCCGCGATCTAAAATACAAGGTACTAAACAAAGTGCTGTACACTCATGCCATGTATTATCTACACCCTAGACTCGACACATCGACAATACTCAACGGGAAATGATAAGAATCGAGGAAGTATGTACAAGGATCATCGGAGGTTCTTAAGCTTGATAAAAGTTTATTACCAAAAACCGGTAGAAAAACGGAACAGTCGTTACTCTATGTATGTACAGGGATGTACTTATGGAGGTCTAAGCATTCTCTTTGGCAGGGTCACTGGAAAAGAGCGTTTCCCGTTTTGTAAGAAACGGAAACGCGATATCACAGTCATCGCAGGTACAGTGGTTGGGGTGACGGAATGATCATCAGAGTCCTGAAAGAAGAAAATTGTACACATGAGGCCTCGGAGATCTCCTGAGAAATGAGTCGGGATAGTTCGAGCTACCTTAAGAAATACGTAAGCAGTGTCCCCTCGTTTATATCCTAGAGGAATATCGTGTACCCGAGAACTCTCGGCAAGTCTGTTACAGTCTCCTGGTGTGCGCTCAAAATCAGTTCGGTCAAGGCCTATTTAGATTCCCGGGTGCGGCGATCAGTGTGTCGGTCGTGGACCGTAAAAAGAGACGGGAGTAATGACAAGTCGGCAAGTATATCGATGTAGTATTATTGATATTCACTGGAAAGATACACGAAGTGCTCATACCTCGCGACAAATGCAGCTCTAACTCGACTCGACCGAAGACTAATATCCATATTCGTACCTCACATTTATTATTAAATATACCTCTCTTATCCACTTAAGACGCTACGGATAAAAGACGTACTTTAACGATAAAACTGAGGAATGAGTACAGACATATGGCAGACTGCACGCTGAAAATACAGACAGCCAGCACGCATTTATCTCCCCACGCAAAACAATGAAGTAAACGCCTGTCCCATGTGCGTAGAAATNTATATATATATATACAGAGTGGCCCATTTTTAAGGACTCGTTAAGAGTATTCTGAGAATTATGGTTCGTGCTTGTACTTGAATTTTAGCATTAAATGATGTCTTTTGTCTACGTTCGTGCTCATGCCTCAATTTTAGCGCTGAAAGACGTCCTTTAGCCGTTTAAAGTCTACAGATAATAGTCTTTTAAAAGAGATTTGAGTACAGGCCTCAGGGTATATTTAAAGAATGTTTTGCCTTAAAATTGTGTGACTTCGAGGGGGAACAATGGAAATAATACCAAGGAAAGTGTAATACTCCCAATGATGATATTAAAGTAAACCTCTTATTTTTTTTTAATGACACCCTTTATTTTTCAAATTTCTTGTTAGAAACCCCATAACTTTTAGAGGAACCATTTCTCCTTCAATACTGTTTTCCCAAATTTCAAGGCCAAATCGTCGTAAGTGACTTAGGGCACGTTGTTCCCCTTTCGAAAAAGGAATTATTTCCACGGAAAGAATATGTTAAATAAAAATTACAGTAATTATTCGAGCCGTTTAATTTTTCAAGCGAGTCAACCATATTAGACCCCTTAAAAATAGGACTCCAAGCAAGCAACTTAAGGAAAAAAAAAATTTATTAAAAGCAAAGAAAGATGAAATATTGCTTAATGTAACATCATCATTGTAAATCCTACATTTTCCTTTATCTTCTTCCTACTCTTCGCCCTCGAAACAAAGAAACTTTATATGAAACATTCTTCGGTTAAATCCTCGGTTCATAAAATGGGACACCCTGAAGTTTCATTCAATGCTTCTTGAAGCACTTGCAGCGTGCTTGCTGTGTGCGTTTTTTACGTGCGGCCTGATGTACACGCGACATCACATATACCATGTGCGTACCCTCGGGATCATAAGACCCAGGACCTCGAAGACGACGTCAAGACAATTCCTGAACACCCTGGTAGTCGCATGTCCAGGAAAAACCTCAAAGAACCCCGAGAACCCAGTCTAAAAGCAAGCCGTGCCTTCCAACATAATTCAAACGGCGCAATTTATGGGCATTTACGTCGTCAACATTCATTAATGACTCATTATCTCAATTCTCCCCTTAAAGTATTATTCGCAATCGACTTAGCGCAAGAGTACTGCAGACATGTAGCAATAAAACCCACGTAGTGCAAAATTAGCATTCAGACAGAACGGGAAAAAAAAGAAAATCCCACATGAAATTCTATCCCAAAACGCCATAAGTTATGGGGGCAGAAAAAATTCTATTCATAGTTGCAATATTCTTTTCTAGGAACAACAAATTCCCTATCACCCATTCCTTTGAATAGTGACGACAATATTTTCTTTTTGGCAGATGCAGCAAATTCATTTGCCAATTTAGCAGGCATTTTCTTTAAAAAAAAGCTCCCCACTGGTTACGACTACTATTCGATACAATTGCAAACATTTTCATTGTTGCGATTATTCCTGTAGTAAGCGCAAAACATTATCGGCAATGCTGTCCTTTGCTAAAAATGTAAATGGCCCTTTTTTTTTCTACGCGATGTACGACCCTTAACGCGGGGACAAATTAATTTAATTATAAATATCAAGGCGTACTTAACGATCCCGCGGGTACACCATTACACACTAGACACCGTTCGTTCGACATATCGGAGTACTGTAACTATATATAAAATTCATGCTATCGCTAATGTCCAGTTAAATATCGCGTGCCGCAGACATTCGCGGTGCGCGAGTCGTTGTGTACGTATAGCTAAAACGTGGATCGCCGAGATGTAACATAAAGTCCGATTCAGCATATCCGTGACGTGTCCGTGAGGATGGAAACATCTCATATTTTTATTAGCCCTTTGACTGCAAAGCCCCTTTGACGTATGGGCGAAATTCCCCAGCGTATACAGGCAATAATGGACCAAACAGTAGACGTAAACATACGTCTTCAGCAGTCAAAGAATTAAAATATTCCCACAGAGTTTATAAAAAATGGAGAGAGCAATGCAATAATATACAATAGTACATGTATACGTTCAAGTATCCTAAGAGAAATCATCTTTCTCTAAACTTTTCCGGAAGTAGGCTGCGATTGAAATCTTTTGACAAAGGAAGTTTAAGCGACGGCATGAATATGGCTATGACGTACTCTACACTTGCGCAGTAATAATTTTAGGAAAAGTTTCGACAAAAGATACCGTCTAACCTTTTGACAATCTCTTTTAGATCGTCTCATCCATGTCTTTAAGCTCTATGAGTATTCGTACATTTCCGTATTCGTTCAGTATCCGTATCCGTCCGTGTCAGTGTCAGTGCGCCGACACTGATCTGAGTCGATAATTTTACGGTACAGCATCTTTTCTACGACTGAATTCATGCTTTTATGCTTCCTAGTTCTCCCCAAAATATTCCTGTTCCATTTCAATTTTATTTTATTTATTTATTTTTTCTTTTTAATACAATATGCGGCGAGAAATACCCGCAATTTTACTTAGCGGGTTTTTTTGCATTTCTGCATGCAATCGTGAATTGTGTATAACTAAAATCGATTTATTTAACCAAACTCGTCATTCAATCTTGGACAACGAAATGCCCATTAAATGTCTCTTGTTAATCGTTTGATAAACTCGATTCATTAATTAATATGGCAATTATTCTACCTAAATACCGTACAAAATTGCGGGAATTTTGCACCGTACTCCGTCCTACATTAAATAACCATTAAAACATCCCGAAGTATCGACAGAATTTACTTTCACCATCTATAAGCTCCTTGAACAACATTCTACATTTTTCTTTCTTCCTTTACAAATTTCATGGATCCACTTGCGCTTTTTGCATAAAATGCAAATAAGTGAAATTAACGAAATCAACGAAATTAGTGAAATCCCTCGACTGTAAAATCCAATCTTCTAAGTGACTCGGCATACAGTAACCGCCGTGTAAGAACATCCTGTTCCCTTTGAACATTCTATATCTTTTGAACATCCTGCACGGACGAGGCGCGAACATGTCTGAATCGGTCTTAACGAGACCACACCATAATGGAAAAAAAAAAAAGAAAAAAAAAGGGTACTCGACATCCAACGACGGGGACGATCCTTGCTTTGGAACGCGAGTCGATCAGCAACCACATCCTTGGCATGCAATCGGTTATCAGAGCATCGATAACTTGAACGTGGAACGTCGCGACTTGATCTCGGCTTCTTTTAAAAAAAAAAAAAAAAAAAAACAGGCAGAACCGCGAATCATGGATCGACCGAGAAATAATAAAAAATATAACAAGTGCTAATGCTACGGCACAGAATGAACACGAAGCCTGTGCGAATAGTACACTTGGTGAGGTTCATTCGATGAGCTCCCAAACTCTCGCGGCTAATCGTTACTCGTAAGTCTAACATTGTTTCACAAACATGTCGAGAGCGCGTCGAATTACGTCAACGTACTTAAAGTAATCTCCGTTGGCACATACTGTCGCTAGTCCGGGAGGTGTCGTCGGCGATACCTCTCGTAATGCGAATCGATTCGATGATTTCTTTCTTTCTTTTTTTTTCCCCCTAAATTTCAGATTACCGACGAACGGCTGTCAAGAATGATCTATCCGAAATGTAAATGTGCACGTAGTACGAAGGGACTCCGGCGAGTGGCCTTGGATTTTAAGTCCCGTTTAATTTTAAAAATACAAAAATATCTACGCGGTAATTCTCGTCATTCCTTGTTTCATGTTTTCTCTCTTTCACACTCTCTCTCTCTCTCTCTCTCTCTCTCTCTTTATCTACTTTAGACGCAGCGATTGCGTATATTTACGAACAAACGCGGATGTCGCATGCACAGTTTCCGCCGTGGCTTGGTTAAGGGTCCGGTAAAGCCAAGTCGGCTCTTTTTTTTTGTTTTGTTTTTGACGTCAGAAGCGAGGCAATCGCGTGAAATTCCCAATCAGTACTTAAAGATTTCACATTTTTCACGTATTCGTCGAAATAAAGAAGCTATAGTAACCAGTGGATGCATAAAACATGTCAGCTGGTCCGTGTTTGTGATTGACAGTGTTCATTGCCGAATTATCGGACCTAATCTCGTCAACGGGCCAATTTTCGGTGAGTGATATCTCATTTCGCAGTGCAAGACCCGTTATCAACTAATCGACTGACACTTTTCGTTAATACCAATAATAATAAATTCCTTCCTGTCGTACTATTCATTGGCAAATGTCATTCGCTTTGTAGAACATCGATTAGGAACTTTACCCGATTTCCTCATTTCTGACGTTAATATTCAATATTGCCGATCTGACTTTACTGGACTCTTAAAAGTTAACTGGGATTAAATCAGACTCCGATATCGACGCAGTCTCACGTGGATATTTGATATATATATATACACACATATATATATGTATATATATGTATATATACTTTGAAGATATCACTCTTCGCACAGGCCTGTTCAAAGAATGAGTTGCGTGAAGATGTTGTAAGTGTAATAAGTAAGGGAGGTATCGTTAAGGTTTCAGTAACGTTGATGTTTCAAACGTAAACGATAGTTAAAAGTAGTTGGAGTTTCCTTTGGATGCAGGCCCAACGTGGTCAAGTGAGTCTTAAAATTCGTCTCTTTTGTTGCGTGCGTCCAGCTTGTGTATACCAGTCAGTCTGTGGAGATAAATAGAAAAATTACATTTTCTCTCTCGTTTTATCGTGTTACCGGTGATCGTCATCATTATTGTCAGGCAGTAATTACAACTCAATGTACACAACTTGTGGTCATGGGGCTTCGCCGACTTACTTACGTAATACACGAAACCGGAATTTAATGCTCGTCCTCGTCCATACGTAAGCGCTTTCTCCGATCCTCGCCCACGTTACGTTCTTCGGCCTCCAACACCTTCAACCGAGACCCACAAATCTCCTGCCCATGTAAAACCTGCGAACACATTTACGCGTCCACCATTAACAAACTATATTCACTTGATCGAGGAAAGTATTCTCGTTCTTGAGGAACTGGATATGTAGATTTATAAACGCCAGATCGCAAAGTTACATCTTTCATCGCCGGGATCTTATCGCAGTCTCTTACCACTTGTCGACTGACTGCATATTACTGTCGTGTGTACACATTTTCTTTAAATAAGTATATCACAGTGTACAATTATACAATTTAAATCAATTCTATTTTAATTGTGTTATCTGTATACTTGAAAATCATTCCAGTTTAGCTTTCGACGGATCAAATCCACCCATTGAACTAAATAAAAACTCGCTTTTCAGAGAGAATGTATTGGGAATCGTATCGACCTTTGAAAGTAGCAAGTCTCTTAATTATCATACCTCGATAGCTTTATTCGCGCTTTCCACAGAAGCATACTTCGCGTATCCACAATTTTTCCCAGGGAGCATGTAAACATCAATTAGGTTACCAAACCTAGAGAATGCATCCTTCATTGCATAGATTGGTGGAACAGGTGGTCCACACACAATAAAGCACCTCTTCGCAACCTCGGCGTCGATGCTCGCCATTGGTTGCACCGGAGGTAGTTTGATGCCCAGATTTTGTTCAACACCCAGTGAGCCTGAATGGATCACAGAAAATTATGCTTGAATATCACCACAAATCTGTTAATCAAAATGTTGAGACACAAGTAGCATTGAATTAATTACTTGGTGCTGTCAGTCCTGCAGCCTGTATAAGGGATGTAGCTTGTGCGATGGTTTCTGCTAGATGTGCCAAATCCGTTCTAGGAAGACCTGCTATACTAGAACTGGTAGGTTTCGAAACAGACTTTGGAAGAGGTGCAGCACCAGTCAAGTCTGGCTTGACGATCATTCTGTGACCGGGAGGATATTCGAAACCATGAAATTTCTCTCTCGCATATGCGGCTGCACTGGGATTTGAATAGACGACTGTAGCCTGACCTCTGGGCATTCGATAGCGCACATCAGTCTTCAAGTGACAATAATCCAATCCAGGAACGATATCGAACAGTCTCCATAACTGATCCTGGTTTAACGCCGGGTGTGCAATGACTTGAAGCCTCGTATAACCTTCTGTGTTTGGATAATTTGTGGCGATCTCCAAATTGACGCTACTTTTTCCAAAACTCGAAGATGTATATGCTCCTCCGATATTGTCATATGGTACGGACAAACCATTACTGTACTTTGCCTCTGTATGCTCAGGCTTTGGCTTCTTCGGCTCAGCAAATACTGCTTTATATTTCCTGTCGCACTCTTCGAACGCCTTGGCTGCACTGGATACTTTCCTGAACTTCACATATCCAAATCCCTTTGATTCGTTGGTATTTCTGTCCTTAACTACGGTTGCATATTCAATCGCTCCAAACTTGGAAAACTCTTGCTGAAGCTCGCCATCTGTCATCGATTTAGGGAGAACACAAAACAGACGAACCCACCGTTCCTCTTCATTTGTTTCACGAACCGAACCTTGATCGCGGCTGAAATTTCACATTTAACATAATACAACATTAAGAATTAATGACTTATCCATGAATTTTCTAAAAATAGATACTTACTTTGAGGCTATCATCACTTTAATGGGCCGTCCAACACAGCCCAGCATTTTCCCATTCATCTCTTCCAGAGCAAATGCTGCTTCCGATGTCTTTGAGAATTTAATGTATGTAACACCTATAAAAGAAAAAACAACTTTGAATATTATCAAATGTTATAGATATTTTGACACACGAAGCACTTCTTTGAATATTTTTCTTTCAATATTTGTGAATAATCTACAAACTTTACCAGTTTCGTCCAACCTTTCAATAATTAAAAGAAGTACATAAACATGAAATATGCACATAAAGAAATGGCTTAAATTTAAATGTTCCGTTTTAAAACGACACACCGACAAAACGTGGCGAAACCCATTATTTTAGTTTTTCAAACAACGTTAATTTACAAATAAAGCGGACGTCGGAAAGATCCGAGTTTAAAAGCTTCCCGCCGAAATGAGCTCCGGCGACGTTTGCCGTCGCGCGACATTTCTAATGTCAATGACAAAATATAACCATTGTCATCGTTCGATCTTCACGGTCGTATGCAAAGCTCCCCGGCATCAGTGACAAAGTTTATCGATCGCAGTCCATAAGTACGCGGTACCTTTATTTTCCCCGGTGTTGCGATCCTTGACCACCCAGATGTCTTCGATCTTGCCGAACTTCTCGAAAGCCTTCCTGAGATCATCCTCCTCCAGGTTCTTGTGGCAGATGACAAATAACCGGGAATTTGGTGGGTCGTCATTCTTCGAACGCGGATCCGTTTGCGAGTAGTATGAATCCCGTTCTCTGTGGTCCGCCATCTTGGAAATGGAATAAGCGAACGTCGCGTAGCGACCCGCCAGCGTGCCTACTCGTGGTTGTCCAATGTCGCCGCGGCACGCGCGCTCCTGATTGGCCGCTTTCCGTTAAATCCACCAATGGCAGGACACGATTCACCCGCCTCGGTTCCAACCAAAGACTGCGACTCTCCCGGCAAGCGAAGATCGGTTACATGCAAGGTTAGTCCAGGGTCGCGCCAGGTGGGGGAGGGTTCAGAAGACCATGAATAATTCTCACATAAGAGCGTCTTCGTCGCACCCGTGACGTAACGAACGAAAAGAAAAAGAGACGGTCTCGCTGCGAATAAAGAAGAGACTGGACATTGAATAACTCGCGGTAAACCGATCTCGGAAGAAAGTCGATGAACCGTTTCGCTGCTATTAAAATCGGCTTCTTTCTTTTTTTTTCAGCAAAAAGACGGACTAACCGAATCGTGCTAAATGCTCTCCAAAAATTTCACTCCATAGAGGGGTTCCATTTCACAACCGAGCACGTGCGGTTCCGGTAACTAAAAAATAATAAGATACATTATTTTCAATTTTTTGGCACTTAAGTAAATATTGAATAGTTATTTAAGGGGGATTCAAATCACCTGTCTGGATTTAGCGTGGAATCTCTGCCGGGCGAAGCGCTTTCGGAGCCATTTCGTAAAACTTGAGCGAACCTTCTGCCTCTTTCGGCTTCCCCCTCTCCCGGCCGGCCACGTTTTAAATGAAAGGCAAAAATAAAAATATGCACGTAAAATCTGTGCAAGTGGAGGACGCATGCGCGTATGGAAAACTTGAGCGAATGGTCTGAACTCTTCAGAACTCGCCCGTCGATGTTCCTTTTTCCCTCGGGTCGAAGAGAAATCTGGCTGCACGCGACATCCGTCTTTTGACATTTCGAGAACGCTCAATTTCGCAATAACTGTATTTACAGAACATGCGATAATCTCCGCTTTCGAACCTGGAATTTTCCGGGTTGCTTACTTTTCATTTAGCTTTTCTAGACCATCTCGGAGAAAGATAATGGCAAGCCGGACAATCCTTAATGACAGTCATTTGCGCAACTAATGTGAAAGTGGAAGCGTCGACAATTACTAGCCCGTGATTGCACTTGCTTTCACTTCCATGACATGTCTTCGTTCAGTCGTATTTCTTAAATGTACAGTTTGTACTTTTAAAAATAATAAATATATTAAAGTCAATGAATTGAATAAAAATCCAACAGAATGAACTGCTCAAAAAACGTTCTGAGAATGATCGAGAAAGGCTCGAAAACGTTCATAAACTGTCGAAAAACACTCGATGACGCTCGGAAACGCTCGAAACCGCATAAGGCTCCAAAAAATTGAAAAACGCTCGATAACGATATATCCAACTATGAATGCCACTTAACAGAAAAAAAATTAATATAATGCTCAATAATTTATTCATAACCATAAATTGAAAGCACAATGGGCTTTCTTTGTAATCATTTACAAAATGCTACAAACCATAGTTTCATGTCCCGCAGAATTACGTTCGTACTATTTCATCAAAATATCCCATGAGATCACTTCGAATCACCATGTTCATGACTATGTAAAATGAGGTCTGCGATTCTACTATAAAAAGCATAAACAATTATAATAAAAGTTTCAGTTTGTATATATGTACATTAGGTGTCAAATTGTCATGTCTGTATGCAGTCGATGCAACTCTTCCATTGTACGCATACATTTTATGCATCATACGTTGATGCAGAAACGTTTCCTCCATGTCCTGTCCAGTTTGTATGTACAAATTTTCCTTCCTGTCCAAGAAGCTCATAAGTATGGGCTCCGAAGTAATCACGTTGTGCTTGCAACAAGTTTGCAGGGAGTCTTGCTGTACGGAATCCATCATAAAAAGCTAACGCCGTTGACAATGCAGGAGTTGGTATGCCAAGGGTAACGGCATTTGAGACGACTACCCTAGCACTTGTATGGCATTTCTTCATAGCATTTGCAAAAAAGTCGTCCAGCAACAAATTAGACAGTTTTGGGTTCTTATCAAATGCTTGCTTGATATTTCCCAAAAACGCACTGCAAACCAATAAACATCGTCAGTACTTTAATTATACAATTATTAGAATTCTAGAAAATATCCAAATAATTAATCTAAAAAGTTATATAACAATTACACAACGGTTACTGGAACACTTTAAATTATACTTAAGATACTTCTTGTGCGTTCTTGAAGCGCTTACATGACCCTGGCATTAATTGCATGACTTGCCCTTCACTTTCTATAATCAACAAAAAATAAACCTAAAGAAGTTACCTTCTAATAATGCAGCCACCTCTCCACATTAATGCAATGCCACCATAATTCAAATTCCAATTGTGAACTTTAGCAGCTTCGCGCAACAACATAAAACCTTGTGCATAGGAAATAATTTTTGAGGCATATAATGCTTTCCTCGTATGCTCCAGAAACTCTTTCTTATCACCTTGAAATTTACCCTTGGGACCTTCGAGAACCGTACTTGCTTCTATTCTTTCAGATTGCAATGCGGACAGACATCTTGCAAATACAGATTCACCAATTAGAGTTACGGGAACTCCGTAATCCAGGGCAGCTATGGCTGTCCATTTCCCAGTTCCCTTTTGGCCAGCTGTATCTCTTATCCGTTCTAGTAGATATCCTTTTTCATCCTTGTATTTTAGAATATCTCTGGTTATTTCAATCAAGAAAGAATCCAATTCGCCTTTATTCCATTCAGTGAAAACATCACTCATTTCTTGTGGAGAAAGCGAAAGACCATTTCTCATGAGATCGTAAGCCTCGCAAATCAATTGCATGTCACCGTACTCGATTCCATTGTGAACCATTTTGACAAAATGTCCAGCTCCTGTTTCGCCAACCCAGTCACAGCAAGGTTCTCCGTTAACTTTCGCACAGATTGCCTAACAAGTGTAAAGTGTCATTTAAGGAGACAAATATATTTTTTTTAAACTATTAGTATAAAGTGTTTTCTTTGAGTTACCTGAAAAATAGGTTTGATATGTGGCCATGCTTTAGGATTCCCACCAGGCATAAGGGAAGGGCCGTACCTCGCACCATCCTCTCCTCCGCTTACTCCACTCCCAACAAATAAAATTCCTTTCTTTTCTAACTCCTCTGTGCGTCTTTGCGTGTCTTGGTACTCGGAATTTCCACCGTCGATGATAATATCCCCCGAGGAAAGAAGAGGAACTAACTTTTCAATAAATGCATCTACAGCTGGACCGGCTATAAACAGTTCATAATTTCACCATAATACTCATAAATTAAAAATATACAATCGTTACGAAAGTATGCAACATTTAATCTCGTAAGTGTCACCATTCTTAACTTTACAACCAATTCTTTAAAGTAGAGAAAATTACAGCCTTTACCTTTCACCAGCAGCATGACTCGGCGTGGCGATTTCAATTTCCTGACCATCTCCTCCAAGCTGAAGGCACCAATAACTTTCGTGCCCTTTGCTTCGTTTTCCAAAAACTGTTTTACCTTCTCCGTCGTACGATTATAAGCACAAACGACAAAGCCATGATCGTTCATATTAAGAATCAAGTTCTGCCCCATGACAGCCAGTCCAATGAGGGCGATGTCTGCTTTCCTGAAAGAGAGAATTACAAAATGCATAAACCGTCATTGTGAAAGCACAAAATTACAATACAACCTGTTAGATAAAACTTAATTAACTTTGTGAAACAAAGCTGATTAATAGCATAACTGACGTATCGAAATCACAAAGTTCCTTGCCAGTACTTCTTATATGTTTATCCGATGACTTAACTAATAATTAAAAGTATTTTAACATATCGAAGGTCACAAGGACTATGTGAATAAGAACAGTAATTGGATTATAATTCACAATTCTACATGCTGCTTACGGTTCTGCCATGATCCCTATGTCGTGAAACAATATAGCCAAGGGATAAAAGCCTTCTCAGATTTTCAGGAGTCTCCAGTAGCAACAAGTGGTCGCTTTCTGCTACTTGATTGCTAAGTCAACTTATCCACGCGGGTAAAAGACCTTCGTACACCGCTCGCGGTATTTTCTTCGAGCAGTCAGCCGACACCTCGATAACCAATCGTGTTGCTTGAAAAATTGACACTGCTCCTCATTATCTTTCGTCACTACCAAGTCACGACATGACCGGCTGACTCTGCAAGTGATCCCTCTACGGTTGCCTTCGCCGTTGGATAGCCATGAAATTCATTATTCCGTCACACTTCGACATGCTCTCGATATAGTAATACAACCTGTAATCTCACGCCAATTCAAAATGACATTCTTTTCCGCGATTTTTCAGTGCCGCGATCAACTCTTCGCCGCATACCAAATCTACATTTTTTTTTTAAATGAATCGAATTCTAAAAATACGAGTTAAACGTAGCTTTCCGAGAGAATAAGCTAATAACGGTTTGAATTTTCGCGCGCGTAGCAGACGTGCCAATCAGCGACGCCCATTCAGCGATGACGTCATCCGTCCGCCGGAATCATTCGTCACACTTCGCTGCTCTCGAAATCGAAATATAAGCCAGAGATGAGTTGGGAGATTGCTTACGGGCAGAATCGTGTGATTGCATCCTGTGCTGCCCTCTGGTTTCGTACGTTAGCTTTCACCGTTTTTTGGCCCCAAGGGCGGCGCAACGAATTTCTGATAGTAGCTCGCGCACTCGCGATGGCGGTACCATCTACCAGTCGCCGTTGGCGGCTCCCGCCCGCCCGCACGCACGCACGCACGCACGCACACCCGCCCGCCCCAAAGGCTCCAAAAAATTGAAAAACGCTCGATAACGATCGAAAACACTAGAATATCACTCGATAACACTCGAAAACGCTCTGAAAATGCTCAAAAAACGTTCTGAGAATGATCGAGAAAGGCTCGAAAACGTTCATAAACTGTCGAAAAACACTCGATGACGCTCGGAAACGCTCGAAACCGCTCTCAAAATGATCGAGAAACGCTCGAAAACGTTCGAAATCTCGCGTGCGTGCGTGCGTGCGTGCGTGCGTGCGTGCGTGCGTGCGCGCGTGCGTGCGTGCGGGAGCCGCCAACGGCGACTGGTAGATGGTACCGCCATTGCGAGTGCGCGAGCTACTATCAGAAATTCATTGCGCCGCCCTTGGGAGCAAAAAACGGTGAAAGCTAACGTACGAAACCAGAGGGCAGCACGGGATGCGATCGTACCATTCTGCCCGTAAGCAATCTCCCAACTCATCTCTGGTATAAGTCGCCATCTCGCGCCGATTCAAAGCGACATTTTTTCTTCTCGTGAAGTTGCGACGCCGCGGCGAACTTCTTGCCGCGTACCAAAGATACATTTCTTCAAAGTGAATCGTATTTTAAATACACAAGTAAAACGTAGCACTCCGAGAGCGTAACGAGGCTAGTGTCAGGTTGAATTTTCGCGCACCTAGCAGACGGGCGATCCGCCGACCAATCAGCGATGCCCATTTCGCGATGACGTCAACCGGCACAGTTTTGCGATCGCGGATTGGTGGTTAACCAGGTATTTCAATGGGGCCTCTCAGATATTCAACATGTCGCGATTCGCTTGATTAGATTAGGGCAGGTCTGCGTTATATTATCCCTATGTTATCGTTATTCCTCGACTCTCGGTTATTTATTAGCGGTTGTCACCTACATAATCAACGAAAATACGTAGGGATCCACCGAGCCGCAGTGACTTCTCTCGGGATGCGGCGAACATAACCCCGCGACTATGAGAATCTTCAGGCCCGACGCTGATCTCATTTTCGAAAGTAGCACCGTGTCGTCGTAAACGTAGGTAAACAACACTACTTCCACAGTTTAAAGGCCGAGCCTCCAGTATGGGACTATTATTCTCGAGATTGTGGAGTTTTTTCGGAAACGAAGGTAAGTTTGACGTGTCTTCGCCGCAATTAATTGTCCTTTCTCTTTCCTTTGTGCAAGATGGTAATCGGTTCGCTCGCCTGGAAGCATGCAAAGTTTTTCGCTGACAGCTGGGTTTCTCGAAAATCCACCGTCTCTTGGCGGAAACGTTTTTATAGACTCCTAATGCGTAACTTTCTCCTCCCGATTGGCTTCCAATGGTGTGCCATGACGCCCCATTATCATTTTATGTCTTACGTCAAGTAATCTTACTTGCTTCGCTTAATGAGATAAGCTGTTGCTTAATGTTTCTCTTCATTGTCATGCATTGAGATAAATTTATTGATTCAGCATGTTTGAATAACACATAGCCAGCACCGCTTTTTATTAAGACTTTCACTTCAGGCGTTTAGTATTTATGTGCATCATTCCGTACCTGGTATGCTCTTTCACCTGAAACTCAGAATTTAATTCTCACTAAGGCTCTGAATATCGTATAAAGACAAGAATTTAATCTTATGTAAATTAAATCATAAACATTTAAATATTACATTTACAGAACATAAGATAGTTATGGTCGGCCTCGATAATGCAGGAAAAACGACGATCCTGTATCAGTTTTTAATGAACGAGGTTGTCCACACGTCACCTACTATTGGATCTAACGTCGAAGAAGTGGTGTGGAAAAATATCCACTTTATAATGTGGGATTTGGGTGGACAGCAGAGCTTACGAGCTGCGTGGTCCACTTATTACACCAACACTGAATTCATCATCATGGTCATAGATAGCACTGATAGAGAAAGATTAGGAGTAATCAGAGAAGAACTGTACTCCATGTTAAACCACGAAGAACTAAGTAAAGCCAACGTTCTAGTCTATGCTAACAAGCAAGATTTAAAGGGCAGTATGACGGCTGCCGAGATTTCGAGGCAGCTAGACTTGACGTCAATTAAGAAACATCAGTGGCATATACAAAGCTGTTGTGCATTAACCGGTGAAGGGTACGTATTATCTCTTACAGTTTGTCCCTTGTTACCACAGATTATTTAATCTTATCAGTAAATTTAATTTCAAAAATGAAAATTAATCTCATGCAAAAGTTATTTTTTTAAATTAAGTAGGAAGTGAAAAAATATATTAAATATCTTATTTTTCAGACTATATCAAGGATTAGAGTGGATCGTGGGCCGGTTAAAAAAGACATGACGTAGATTATGAGAATCGAAGACAGCTCTAACAGAGTATTTGATATGTAAATTATGTAACGGGTGTAGGTACCGTGTCACTTTGACGGTTGTACAAATTAACATAAAGAGGCATAAGATTTCCCTATCAATTTAGCAAAATTCAGTATAACCCTCAAAGTGTAGTCTCGTAAAAAATCATGCGATGCTGAATATCGTTTTACAGTAACATGGTGGACGGGAACGTTTTTTGTTATCAGACATAACGACGTCAAACGAATTCAGATCATCCATCGAATAAGCTTAAGGTGCATGTAATTGTGCAATGTTTTCTCGGAACGTGCTCAAAGTTTAATACTAGTATTTTGCTACAAAAAGGTTATCCATATTGGTTCGCTCCTACTTCTACCTTATATTCCACGTTAATCTGTAAATTAAGCTAAAGCTAATGGATCGTTGAATTTGCAAAGCCATTCGACGGATACGCTTTCATGAATGAAGTACCATCCGATTGTCACTTTGAAAGAGTGTAAAAGTCTTGTAGTAATGTTTACATAAGAGATCTGCAACCTGTAAAAAATCTCGTCCACCTTTGTAATGTAACAAATCTTAAGACCGTCGAATTAAATTAATCGTTAATTCTATGTGCGTAATGATAAGTCGTTCGGCTTGTTGCGAAACTATAACGATACATATATGCCGTGTATATAGTTTTTATACTTCCTAATTGACAGCGATCCATTGTAAAGAGCGAACTCGCATGTAGCATTGGGATAGGCTCAGATTTTTAAAGTCCCTACATAAGAACGTAAGCAGATTCATTAGCATTCGGTACGTGCAAACATCTTATAAGACTTCACCGCGAGGTTACTCAACAAGCCTAACTGTAAACTTGTAAACGGAATGCAGACTACTCTGTGATACAATGTGGATTTAACAATGAGACAGTTGTTTGCTCTAGAATAACGTAAGGGATGAGGGAACTTTAAAGTGGACATGTATTTACGATGTACACTCGTTTATTCCACGTCGAATGACTTTCGCGATCTGTAATTTATATTTTTTAACGGCAACTGCACTATTAAGTAGTTCCGTAAGCTCACGGACAAATTTGCAAACGCTTAGAAAATGTAACTTCATTGCAACGAAGTGAGCCACGTGTTAATTATTCATTATTGTTAATTTATTCGTCGGCACGGATGTCTCGGTAGTTTTGTTTAAGCATGCAATTATCTTTCATGAAAATTCCCAGCAAGAAAAATTTGTCCTCGAATTTATGGCACGACCCAATACATCATACTTTCCATAAGTTTATAGACAAATTTGTAAACGGCTTAAAAATGTATTTTCTTTGCAAAGAAACTAATCACGTGTTAATTAACAATGTATTCTTCGACACTCTTGATAATTTCTCGGTAGATTTTTGTTTTCTAAGCATGCATTTATCCAACGAAAGTTTGCTCTAAGAAAAATTTGTCCCAGAATTTATGGAATAACTCAATATATCATTTGTTTTTCGTTTGGCATTTTTTGCGATGTAAAGACAAAGGAAGGAATGAGGTTAAGAGCATGATTACAGTCAGGCTCGTATCGTTTTAGGTGCACGATTAATTAATGGTAATTAAATCGAGTGACAGCTGTCTCGTCCCTTTCATTCGAGCTGTACATGTATAACGATTAATTTCTATGTAGCTAGAGAAATAATCTCCGTTAGGTAATTTTAACTGATATAACATAAAATCGTAATCAAGACGGTCGAGCATTATCGAATGTAAACGAAAATCCATCTTAGCGATCATTAGAGGTACTCTGCGAGCGAGGAGGGTAAATAGCGTCCAGGTTTAAGAGTGAGACGAACGTTTAGGAGTTTTAACACGGGAAGAGGGACGTTGGTTTTTTTCTCATATTGAGAAGATCTCTTCGAGGTGGACACCTAGAGGTACTTTGTTCTTTGCCGAGGTTCGCTCAATCGTCCGGTCATCTCTTGCGAGCGATTTGTAGGCAAATTATCGAACTGGAAATGTACACTTTGATCAATCCTTTTTTTCTCTCCCCCTTTTTTGTTCGTTTTTTCTTTTATTTTTTTTTTTTAACGTATACTTGTTATGGCGTACCGATTACGAGATGTAGAACAAAAGGCCGACATTCGACGAGTATATGCGCTAATTGGAGACGATGCGTTCTATATAAATTTGTTAAATGATTTGAAGTTTGACATTCTGAAATATAAGTCGAAGAGGATTCCATCGAGAGATACTTACTCCGTAAATTCCCGTACGACCCGCGAGATGGCCTGAAATTTATGCAAGTAGTTTCCGAATTTGCGAATCAATTGTTGGCGAGCATTCGGAAAATTCAGGAATTCGTAATGTAAGGCGCGCACTGTTCAAAATGAAAATTCCCGTCGACGGGATTCGTAGGGGGGAAAATTAGAGAAGGGCGTCGCGCATGATTTGAAATCAAAATTTTTATCAATGGTCATTTGTAAAGGTAAAAAATTCTTATCAATGATTTTTCGTAATGGTAAAAAATTCCTATCGATGGTCTTTCGTGAAGGTAAAAAATTCCTATCGATGGTCTTTCGTAAAGGTAAAAAATACCTATCGATGGAATTGGTAAAGGTAAAAATTCCTATCGATGAAATTTGGCAAAAATAAAAATTCCTATCAATGAAATTCGCGAAGGGAAAAATTACGAAAGTTCGTCGCACACACTTTGAAATCAAAATTTCCATCGATGGGATTCGTGAAGGTAAAAATTCCCATCGACGGAATCGGTAAGGGCAAAAATCCGTAAAGTTCGACATGCCCGATTTAAAATAAAAATTTCTATTGGTACAATTCGTAAAGTTCGTTGCGCCCGGCTTAAAAGTAAAACTTCCGATCGATGGGAATTTACAGATTTGACTGCGCACGATTTAAGATGAAAATTTCCGTCGAAAGAATTCGTAAAGATAGACAAAAAGGTTCTCAACGAGTGGGAATCTTACGCAATTCGTGCCAATTAGGAATTTTCCGCGATTTTCTCGCATCCGGCGTTAAAATTCAAAATGGCCGCCGTTGTTTTATTGGGCCCCTTGAATCGGGAATTCGCCAAGTAAATAAAAGAGAAACCTCCACCACGAATAACCATCAGCTGGAGTTATCAGGATTCCTATTTATTTAATCTTTCTTACTTCTTGTTATAAATAAAGTACCGCACACACTCATCCATTCGCTTGACGGTGGGTCTACCACTGGTCGTTCTCCGTAATTTACACGCGGTCCTTACGGCGTTAACGTACAAAACAAGCGGCTTCTCATCAGCTACGCTCTCTAAGAACAATAACTGGGCGCATTAGGCACGTCTTAAACGCTATTCTCGTTTATGTACTTCGTTAGGTGGACACGCAAACATGGGAGAACTAAAGGTTTTGCGACGGTCCTTGCCGAAAGGACGCTCTTCGTTAGCACCAAAACTTTGTTCGGCCTCGGTGCAGAACACGTCCTGGGACGTTATTAAAACGCTTCCCCCGTCTCTCGTTAATTCGATACAAGGTCGGGCGATCCATACGAACCAATGATTCCAAAGATCCGGTCGAATATTCACTACGGATAAACAATGATTACGGTCCTTGCGGATAAACAACGGGCGCATAAACGCGCCCCTAGAATCCAGCCAAAATCGGCAAATCGATCGTTCCTTGACCTGACATTATTCCCTGTCCTCGCACATCTCCTATTTTACCTGGTGATCGTCAATTATCCTAATATTGTCCTGTGCGATTAAGGTCGGCGATCGTATCGACGCCTCTAAGGTGTCCAATAGCGTACAATCGTGTACCTCTCAAGGTGACGCGAAAGTAGCCTCGAAGAGGTTTCGTTTATGACACTTTTCTCCTAATTGGGTCTTACGAATAGTTTCAAACTTCACTACGTGAATACGGAGGCTACGAGGAAGGTCTTGAGATACATGAAATTTCAATTTTTCTTTTTTTAATATTTAGACATTTTAGACATTTTTTATATATATAAAAAAAAATTGAAATTTCACAAGGGTCAGGACCTTCCTTGCAGCCTCCATGTTCACGTTGTAAAGTTTGAATCGATTCGGCACACCCAGTTAGGAGAAAAGCTTCATAAAGACCTTTCGGATGCCACTTTCACATCCCCTTAAGGCGGGTCAGGAGATATGAACGAATCTCTCACATGAACGGAGAGACCTCGGTCTAAGTTACTCGTGTTTCTAGTCGAGCTATCTAACTCGCTTCGTCGCGCGGTCCGGGTCGAGTTGTACAACCGATGACACGATTAATCGTCGGCGCCTCCCTCGGCGAGGGGAACGCGAGGCTTTTCGTTAAAAATTCAGCGCCCCCTCCTTGGATTTCTATAAAATGATTCCCGCTCTTCCGGTGGTCCGGAACGGTTGCGCCGATCCTGTAAAAATCAGTATCAAAAGGCCACGAGGAGGCCTCGTAGCCGCGATTCCGTGTGCCGACGATGTTCCCTGCGACCTCCTGTGATGCATCTAAGGGCGAGCAGCTGACTGCTCCTGGTGAACGCGTGATCTTGCTCGCGACGACTCCAGGGTCTGAGGGTCTTTATTTCCTTAAGCCGCCTTGACGGCCTTCATGAGGAGGTCGGTGCTGAGGGACTTGGGCCTCTCAATGGGCAGGCCCAGGGCGCGGTCCCAGACCAGGGCGGCCAACACTCCTAGGGCTCGGGACACCCCGAAGAGGACGGTGTAGTAGTTCATCTCCTTCAGGCCGTAGTACTGCAGGAGCACGCCGGAGTGCGCGTCCACGTTCGGCCACGGGTTCTTCACCTTGCCGGTCTCCAGGAGGATGGGAGGGACCACCTTGTACACTTGCGAGACGAGCTGAAAAGCGACGATAGGATGTTAATCGATAAACAGGTAACCCGGCTAAAGATAATGCTACGGTTCCACCTCAAGAGTCAACCGTTTGGGAAGCTTTTCTTCGGGGTGTAGAGAAATGTCTGAAATGTCATCAAGTGATACCAACCGTGATATTTAATCTTCTTTTATATAAAATTTCATAAATGTTTGAATGCAAATTTTAAAGAATTAAATTTCACGAGTGCCCACCTTCGGGGCAGGTACACGTTCATGTGGTGAAATTTCAAAGAATTCAAAACGACCGATTCATAGAAAAGTCTCCCAACCGCCGCTTTCATGCTCCCTTGGTACCGCATCTCATACATGTCCCCACCTTGAAGAGGCTGTCGTCGGGAAGGTGCTTCAGGGCGAACTCCCGCTGGCAGGTGTACCTCGGATCCGTCTTCCTGAGAACGGCGTGGCCATAGCCGGGCACCACCTGGCCGCTTTTAAGGGTGGTCCAGATGAAGTCCTTGAGCTTCTCGTCGGAGGGGTTGTCGCCGACCTGCTGGCGCAGCTTCTGCAGCCAGACCAGGACCTCCTGGTTGGCCAGACCGTGGAGAGGACCGGCCAAGCCGTTCATACCCGCGGCAAACGACAGGTAGGGGTCGGAAAGGGCGGAGCCGACCAGGTGGGTCGTGTGCGCCGATACGTTGCCGCCCTCGTGGTCGGAGTGAATCGTCAGGTAGAGGCGCAGCAGCTCGATGAACTGGGCGTTGTCGTAGCCGAGCATGTTGGCGAAGTTCCAGGACCAGTCCTTGTTCGCGTCCACCGAGCCCAGGCCCTTGCCGCCCTTGTAGGTGTTCCTGTAGATGGTCGCCGCCACCACCGGCAGCTTCGCGATCAGGTTCATCGAGTCCTCGTAGACGGTCTCCCAGTACTTGCTCTTGTGCACCCCGCTCGTGTACGCCTTGACGAACGCACTCTCGCTGTTCAGGATTGTGATCGCCGCCGAGAACTGCGTCATCGGGTGCAACGACTGCGGGAAGTCGTTCAGCGCCTTCGTAACGTGGCTGGGCAGCTTGCTTCTCTCGGCCCATTCCTGGGAGATGGCCTTCACCTGGGCGCTGCTCGGCACGTCGCCGGTGATCAACAACCAGAAGAGACCCTCCGGCAGCGGTTCCGAACCCCCCGAAGCTTTTGGCAGTAGCTTTTGACACTCCGGGATCGACTTGCCCCGGAAACGGATGCCTTCCTCGGGGTCCAACACCGATGGCTCCCATACCAGACCTTTGATGCCTCGCATGCCGCCGTACATCTGGAAAATTGTACAAACCGTTATCGTCGTATCACACTTAATACAAATTTGGGTCGGCCCATGAGTTCGTTCTATATGAATATTCCAAATTTTATTATATCTTGTTTTAGCTAGAGGAGCAATAACTGCACGTGGGGAAGAATGAGGGACTAACAACGGGAAATATATCGCTTAATATTCGTCACAGCTTCTGTACGACCCGAGTCGGTGCTAAATGATATTCAAGGGGAGAAGAAAAAAATTTATTACGGCCACGAAATTCTGATAAGAGCTCCCTGTTCACGGCGGACGCTGGATCGCGATCACATAGTAGTCACGCGGTGCACACCCATCTCGCGACGTTTATCATCCGCGTGTTATCAGCAACATACAGAAAGTAATTCGTCACGACTCTAGGTGATAATTTCGACAAAGTACGCGCACTCGTTACTAGCGTTCCATGGATCGAAATGGCTGATAAGAGATATCCTCCTTTCAAGGATCCCTCGGACGTCGGTTCACAAATTCCTTCATCTAACTAATCCTAATGGTCTAATTAATCCTGGCGCAATGGTCCCGATCCATTATCAAGAGTTTCACAATAGCTGAAAGAAGTCATACGTATTAACACGACTCTGAACTAATTTCTTCACGTGTTAAATGCATTAGATAAGAACCCAGTGAAGGCGATAACTACCATGTCGACGGTGACTTCTCCAACTTTGGTGTTGCCATAATTCTTGCGGAAGGTCTTGACGCGCTCCTGCTCCTTCGGGATCTTCTCGGCGAGGACCTTCTTCAAATCGGTCGACGCATCCGACAATGGACGCACCAGCATCGTCGGGCTAATTTTCTGCAAATAGAAAAGGCGAGATTAATGACAACGCTCGACAATAATGACCCCTCGCAGCGACACGTAACAATGATACGGAAATTTCGATTGATCTTCAATGCCACGCGTAACACGGAATTCGTCACAAAATAATCGCGAACCTTGATGACAACCCATACATTGTTTAATCGACGACAACCTATTCATATTTCAACGTTGAGAAATTTCATTCCAATAGTGCCATATCTGCTTTATGCGCGTAAAACGGAGTATCATAATTTAAACATCACAAGCCCATTCTTTCCTTTTGATATCGCAAAGAAATGGACGCGCCGGAATAAAGCAATACTCTTGTATATATATTAGCATTTCATTAACATATGTTTTGTCGAAGTAACGCCAATCTATTCATATCCTATCGAAAAAGTCTCACGTTATCAGTGCGTCTCCGTTTTTCGCGCGTTATGCTGTCAGATTAACGGAATCGTAAATAATAATTAAAAAACGAAAAGAAAAGAAAAGAGACAATGAAGTCGTCGCCAGTCAACGATTTTCCATACGCCCTACACCCAAACACGTAACATTATTCTGGATGACATGGCAGGACAAATTCACCTCCTGATAACTGCACTTGTACAACCGTGCGTGCTTATCGTAACATGGACATCTACACTGTTGAGACTAGCAACGATACACAAGGGGCACGAAGTATCGTTAAAGTACGCGCGCTACTCCGGCAATGTTTCCACGTTATCTTTCACATTATTTCTTCCTTTCTTTTTTTAAGCATAACCTTACAGCAAATTTTCGCTGGCCTTATCGTTCGCGGTGAATTCAATTTGCACGAGGGGAAAAGAAAAGAAAAATGTGAGCCGCTACGCAGAGAATCCACTTGACCAGAAGTGCATCGTTATCAGCCTTGAAGAATCTGATTGCTCTTGCACGCGCCGACTCGGCGCATCGCGATTTCGCCTTAGGGTCAGAGATTAGAGTTCATTATCAAATCCGAGCTCGCGGAAACGCTCACGGATGCCGACAAAGGTCGCGAGCGAGAAGCTGGACCAGACGTAATCGCGATAGCGCGTTACGATTACGTTACATATACATATTAATGTAGTAGCCAGACTGTAAAATCCGGCGTTTTGTAAAACGCGGCCAGATAATCAAATCCTCGTCCACTTAGCTTTATCTTATAACCCGGCCAGTCATTTTATAATGCGATTAGGCGTATTATAAAACGCCGGATTTTACAATCTGACTACGACATACACATTTGCGTCTCTAAATGTTAAGGGGAAGTGAAACACGTCGAGGAACTCGGTCAATGTCCATAATGAAGATTTTTCTAAATGCCTACGTTGCCGACGTTCGTTTTTATATTGACAGCTGGGTCGAATTATATTGGGTATTGTACCAAATGGCATACTCAACCTGTCGTTTTCGTACAATAAATATCAAGAAATCGACGTAAAACTCCAGAAATCCTCTGGATTCATGCTTTCTGGGACCCTAATTGACTGCAGAGAGACCCCCTGCGCCATCTGTGATTTCCAGGTCAATTAAATTTTCACTCCGAGACCTCGTATTCCCATCGTTTTAGCATAAAAGTGCATACAACACTTTTTTTGCCTTTATCCCGTTCAAATGCGACTTTATCGATTACCAGAGTGTTCTAAATTGTCGTAAAATTGTCCTGACCCTTTCGTTTCTCATATCAGAGTCTTCGATAATTGTATATTGATCGAAATATGAGAGCTCGACGCCATTTTGGTTTTGGTCTGAGCTGAGTTAAAAAATTTGTTTAAAAAATCCAAATTTTGAATGTGTCAGGACAATTCTTAAATGATCAGGAGTGACGTGTCAACGTTTCGGCGCGTTTAGTCTAATACCTTTGAAAAAAAGTGTTGTATTCGAATCAACTGATTTGAAGGGGGTTTCACTTCACCTTAACGGTCGGCGAATCCGACAGAGGGCGAAGATCGCTAAGAGGCCGATCGTCTCTTATCGGACGTGACGTTTAATCGCCCCGTCCAGGTCCTGCGTAACCCAGCCATTCGCGGATGGGACTTTTAATGTAAAATTAGAACGGAGTGACCGTTGTCTCGCAGACGATTGGACATTGGACGTTTCCCACGAAGACGGGAGGCCCGAGACTGGGGGACACGGCGAGCGCGCTCTGAAGAATGCGTCCGAATGGAGAAAATCGCGAATCCCGATGGATTACGCACTTCCAATAGATAGGCGAAATCGCTGTTACGCACCTCGATTGCGCAAACCCGGCGACCTCGACTAAGCGCTTTTTAATTCCCGCTTAAGTAATTCCGTGTTTAATCGATTCCATCGATAGCCTGGGAAAAGGGATGTCCATTCTTTCCTTACTTTTCGCTTTCATCTTTTTTTCTTTTTCAAGCCGCTTGGTTAGACTCCTCGAAGGATGGACTGGAGGATCGGGCATGGGATGGGATCTTGGGCTGAAAAATAATTACATATGAGATATTGGTTAAGGTGATAGGGAAGTGGTACCTAAGGGGTCGATCGTTTATGGAACTGGATGCATCGAATCGTTTGAGATTTTATCTCCGTGAATGTGGAGGCTCCAAGGAAGGTTCTGACACCCATGAAACTTAATTTAGTATTGAAGATTAAAAAAATGCTTAGAAAGAAATTTTTAAACAATTAAATCCCATGGACCTCCACATTCACGTGGTGAAATTTCAAACGATTCGGTCCATCCACTTAGGAAAAAAGCTTCATAAACTAGACCTCTTTGACGCCACTTTCATATCACCTTAGAGTTCGTACAATTAATCGTAGAAAAAAAAAAGAAAAAAAAATAGCTGTATCAAAACTACCGCATAAGGCATAAAGATTTAATGTCGAATAATTCATGTTGACGTTCAACACGATCGGTTACGAAATTGTCGCATCAGGAATATTGCGCAAAACGCGTGGTGTTAATTTTGAAAAATTAATTCTCACATTTCAGTAGGTCTGTCAGAAATTAGTTGTATTAACGATATCGGATAAGACACGTAGAGTTAATCCGGAAAGATTAATTTAATCATTCCAGTTAATTAATCGGAAAATAGTTGTATCAGGAATGACGCATAAGATACGTGAAATTAATGTTAACGACAGGACAGAGAGAGATTACGAACATTTGTATCGACAACCGTGGTATGTAAGGTTACTATTTGTGAAAGGAACTTATTCATTTCGCAATATACCTGTGGAATTTTTTAAACGAGCACGATAAGAATTTCCACTCCATCAAGGCGTGCAATGTAGAGACCGCGTGTCCTTAAACATTGTCTTTCCATCGTAAAGGCAACTATCGTTTTGACCTCTCGTAAAATCATTTTAACGAGAACAACAATTTCTACTCCGCTGAATTCCGTTGTTCAAAGACACGTGTGTGAAGCTTCCGTTAACTAAATGTACGATTTGGCAGAAATTTTCCGCCGTAATAACGACGAGTTAGAAATGCATACATTGCATTGTTTTCTTAAATTCCTCTATATAAGCAGCCTTCAATCATTTATAAACATTTTCACAACAAGGACGATAACAATTTCCACGCGGCCAAGATTTGCATTTAAAAAGACTCGGGCTCACGAGATATCTCGCGACTAAATATGCAAATGATATCTAATTATCCTTTATTCGATAACAACGCGTTTTATATTCAAAGTAACGCATGTAAGCACGCACCGTAATGGTTTTCGCGGTTACGAGTCCTAACGTAATTCCGGAATGCATAAATAAATCTCGTACGTTTTGTTTTTCCTTTCGCGAAACAGGTGACGACTGTCAATGATGAAAATGCAAGGGTCATTTCCGCAGTCATTGAACGATGCGTTAATTATTGCTTTCCCTCCCACGCAATGTCACTGGCGAAATGCGAGACGGTAATAGGAGAAGGCTTTTCCATTGCCACGGACTAGATTACGAGGTGTGAAATTGATATCGAGTACTGCCCTGGACAATGGCCGAGTAAACGGACTCCGCGATGCAGATATTTGATTCTGAACTTTCCGCAAAAAGAATTGATTCACGGTGGATTGCATTTCTTCAAAATGAATAATTACCCCTTTTATTTAAGCATCATACCCGATTTTTCTCCGAATGAATTTATAATCATCTAACCTCGTGTTATCATTTTATAAAATCGTATGGCAAAAATTGATACATTTACATGCGAGATTTTAGGCAAGATTTTCTACCTTCGCCGAATAAATTGTGAGGTGTGAAATTGATAATATCGAGTATTGTCTTGGACAATGGTCTAATGACGATTTTAGAGTTTCAAACAATTCGGCCCACCCGGTTCGGAGAAAGGTTTCAGAAACGATTGATTTCTTAGATGTCACTTTCACATCCTCTTAATTCCTAAAAGGTGAAGGATAACGCGACACCGATTACTTCGTTAAGTGTATTCGGCAATGCAGCCTGAACAAATTCCGGCTCGGACGTTCGATCCCGACACGTAACAAATTTTAACGCGATTAAAGGCGAAGCTGTAAATCGCCGGGAGTGACGTCACGAGTCAGAGTGAGATCCACAGGTTGCTCGGAAGTCGTCTTTGTCGCACTCATTGACGACGGAGCGAGTATCGCGCTCGCGAATTAATTTGATGCGCTGAACTTGACCGCGCACGTGTCGCCAGTGCCGGCGAGTAATCTTACGTCACTGCGAGTAAAGAAATTAGGGAAAAAAGAGAGAGAGAGAAAAAAAGAGCGAAAGGCTAAATGGAGAATCGATGACGTCATGAGTTCCAACGTCGTGAGGGTTAACACCTGAGATATAAATACATACGAGCCTACGCTCTCAATAACCACAAACTAAAGGAACTCGAGTTTCATACACGTAAATCTAGCGGAAATAGGGCGGTATATTTAAAAATTAAACGCTTATCCATCCACGGTTGTTTCTCCATGTTATGTACGAAATTTCATATGCGCACTCAGTTAAGGGGAAGTCAAACACCCTTCAAATCAGTCGATTTGAATACAACACTTTTT